TTATTAGCAATGGTTTATCATTGCTTACAGGTATACATTAAATTACCTATAATAATGGCTGCACCCGTCCCCATTATCATAAGATAGCTTTTTTTTTATGTTAACACTTTTTCTACTAGAAAGCTTACTCCGATGTATATGATGTAAACATTTTAGACCCTTTTCTGAAAGGAAATGATTTTGGTTGTACTTTAAGAAGTTAATTTTTGATTCTTTTAGCTGTTTCCACAATAATTGGGAACAATTGGAAAAATAGCCAAATATTTAAGGGGTAAAGATTTCATGATTTTATATTTTTATAATTTATGATTTCTACTAGAAATCTTGCTGGCGGAAGACCTATTTTGTTGCATTTTGGATCTAGTTGCTTACGGTGAAAGTCGGTTTTTGATTTTATATATACTATTATCCTTTATGTAATTAGTCACTAAATAATAGAAAAATTATTTTATTTTAATAATTTATGTTCTTTTCTTTATAATAATTATTATTTCTGTTCGTGCAGGGTACGTGAAACAATTTATGTCTATAGCCATGGTATGGGTACATAGTATATATTAAAGGCTAGTCTAGTGCAAAGTGCAAACTGGCATACTGCATTGAAGAATCGCTCGACTATAAATACTGAGTCTTGTTTGTATACAATTTAGTATTTACACTATACACTATACTATTATACAATAAAAACAGTCACCCACGGGCTACGACCCACCCACTCACCAAAAAAAGTTCTGGGTCATTTACCTCACTTGTCATACAGGTTCGGCGCCACTGGTTACAAATTTTCGTATAGACTTGAAATGTATACAAAAAACATATACTTACCTTTTCTAAACGTGGTAACATTTTCAACCCAGAATTTCAAAATTTTTTTTTATAAGAATTTTAATAACAAATTTTGACAAAAACCGTAAATATTACGACCTTTCAAAACATGTATAACCGAACTCCGCTCAAAATCGTTTTTCGTTGGCCAAGATTAATCGTTGCATACACATATGCAACATATGTAATATATACATTAAATTCCCCTCTATATCTTACCTTCCCAACTTTTCACCTACAACAGTGGCCCACATATCGTGCGAAATAAGTCCGTCTTTTTTATATTTTATATGTTGTATGTTCCACCAAGGTAACCCAAAAATACAATACTCAAAGTATTCTATTTAATATACATTTTTTAATTTACTTCTTTTTTATTTAGAAAACACGGATCACTTTCCAGGAAAGTAATTTTTTAAATAAAGAAATAATATAAATATTATTTATGTGCATATTGTGTTTTTAGATCTTTATGCAATATTCATCACTATATTCTATTCGAATTTTGAATTGATTTTTTTTCTATTTATAATCTACAATGGTTAGCCTACTTAACCCGAATTAAATGTAATAACGAAAAATATTTATAAATAAGTAGACAGATAAATATACTTTTAAAAAACGAATAAAACTATTATAGCTCAACAGATCAGTAAATCTAGGTTATTTAACCGATACCCTAAAAAATATTAGGTTTAAGTTTAATATTTTATAAACGAAAATAATAATCGACCGTCTATTTTTTATTTTAGAATTCGCACTATTATACAAACAGTACCTTTATACAACGAAGGAAGGTAAATAATATAAATATTACAATTGTACGTGAAGTTTCTATATTTTTTTTTTTACTATTATTTCAAAATGTTAGTAGGTATACATCGATGGTGTTTTGTTAAAAGGTTTATACCCACTAAAAATCGAATAATGTTATTGTTTCTCATGATAAACATTATTAAAAGCTGTTTAGCTGTTTCTTTGCAAAGTGGTTTTTTTTTGCTTCCTAAAAAAAAGTTGTTCAGTGGTATAGACTCTTTTAACAATACAAAATCGACATAATAATATTAATCTACCCATACCTACAAATACAATTTTATTGATATTAAACATTTAAAAATTATTTTTACTTGTACTTTCGTTCACGTACTTAATTTATCCGTATAGCTCATTATTATAATAATAAATTATAATATTATGCACTTTAATTAATATTTAATTAACTGTTTTCTAGAAATATTCAGGTGACTTAGTCTCGACATCTATATACGAGCGCGTTTACTTTAAACACTTCAAATGTGCACAGCGCTCTCAATAATCATTTAAACGCTTTCATACTATTTTTTTAGACATAAGCGTGACTTTTTATTGGACCTCAAAATGACCATAATATGAACATTGATAACGTGAACTTGGTGGGGCAGGGATTAATTAGCTATTTTTCCAACTAAGCAATAATGAATCAAACCGGCCCACGAACCTTCACAAATCAAAGACATAAATATAATTAAATATCGGGGGTACTAAAACTGTAAAGGGGTTTAAGAAACAAGTAAAGTTTCTTAAAAATAGCGATGGTACGCTAATTACATATCCAAATGATATTTTAGATAAATTGAGAGACTGCTTCGAATATCTCCTTAATTGTGAAAATCACATAGATTAATTTGCTTGAACTGATGTAGAACCCAATTAAAACAAATACCCTTAACCATCTAGAATTGAGATAGCACAACAATTTAAGAGGTTAAAAATCATAAAACTCCGGGTGAAGATGGATCCAGGGTGAAATTTTCAAAGTTTGTATGAAGAAACCATATCCGATTCCATAGATAGATGGAGTATTAGTTAAATAATTGTTAGTGTTCAAAGTTTTGATTTTCATCAATTCATTGATTTTTAAAATTGCATAATAATAAAACGGTCCACACGAAGAGTAGCTCATCGGGAAATGTTATCTTTACCCGATAGAGCAATCTGCCCTCGTTTATTGAACAAACGGTTATATTTTAACATTATTGAGCGTTCGCCTAATCTCACCTTCGAGTGGCAGAACGATAACATTATAGGACGCAGATTCCGTGACGTCGTGGTGGTTGTAGTTTTAGCGCTAAATCAGCCAAACCGAACGGCCTTTACATACATACAGTACATATAGGTAGTAGTCACTTGTAAAATATAAGTATAAACGTTACCTATTACCGGACCAACACAAATATCTTATCCTACCCAATATAATTTATTAGTTTAACAAAAACGATTCCCGAAAATAAAATTGAATACCGACGAATCAAAACAATTCTGACTAACAGACAATCGTGATATACCTATAAATATTACAACCAAACCACAAACGCCTAGCCATAGATACTTACGTTGTTCGCGAATAGGTTTAAAATCTTGAAACGGTAGTTCTTGTAAAAATGACAAAACTCTCGGATTCGTCGTTGTCAAGACTAAGTCGCCCGAAGTCTGGTCAGCAGTCTGATATTTCATTATTGTTTTATTTTATAATGCAGTCACAAAATGGGGTTCAGCCATATGGTGCGAAAATTCTATGACGTCATGGAGATATAATTACAAGGTGCCTGATAATTCCATAGACATACTAAATGATGATAGCATAGAAATTTCTAATGATGAAACATGATATATCTATGTATACAAAAATTTAGTCAATATTTAAGTGTAATTTTTTTTTTTAATTACTTACCTAAGTTCCAAAATATCCCAACACAAATAAATATTTTGTTGAATAATGAAATGTGATATTTTTTTTATTTTTTTATATAAATATCACTTACAACGGCTATAACTATATAAAGGACAATCTTGTATAAACGGATACTTTTATCATGAACCAGCGATATACCCATAGATAATAAGGGAAAATAGTTTCATTACGGAGTCGGTAAATTGCGTCCCCGAAAAAAGGTCATGGTCATATACTATGTAAATTGCGGCCCGGGTAAATTTCATACATACGTAAATTAGGTATATTTTGTATAATATATGCCTAAATATTTTTTATTGATACGTAAATTACGTCTAAGGCTTTTTTGCAAAATCAATATTTTCCTTCCCATTTTTCAAACTTACAAGACTGGCAATATAATTGTATTAATATTGGTATGGTTGAAAATATTGGTTTTGTTTTTTTTTTTTTCATGTATCTTTAAAATGTATTATTAACAATTAGTAATAATATATGTCGGGTAAAAATGTGTGTAATTAAATAATTCGCTTTTCATAACGTTCATTTTTATTAAATTCAACAAAATACACACAAAGGTACGAACAAATACTAGCACACTGGCTGCCAGTAACATTACATTAGTGAACATATTATTATCTACATTGCTGTTTATATCTAAACTTTAAAATGTACAGCCGACAGAAAATCGGAATATCCGGGCTACAATTTATATACATTTCAAAAATACTAGTCTACTGTACAATTTAAAGATTACCTAGTAATACTCGATGGTATAGATAATATTATTTATTTTCACTAATATAAGTTTTTACGTTTTTACATTGCTCTCTGTGCGTAATTTTTTTTAAATAAAATTTATTTAAACATATATATTATACAAAATATACCCAGGACGCAATTTACGTATGTATAAAATATACCCGGGTCGCAATTTACATACAAAATTGAAAATGGGACGCGATTTACAACGATCCGTTTCTGTATTATCTACGCACAGATAACAGAAAAAATATAGTTTTGTCCTTAGATAATACACGCTGAAGCTCTATCCAGCGTGTATCACGCGTAGTCTGCGTTAGAAACAGACCCGTTCGACCCCGATGTATTTATTGCGCATACGTCAGAAACGAAATAGATAACGCGGGACGGAGTAGGAATCAGAATCATTGTTTATACAAGTGTAATATAATTGCGGTTATATATATTACTCTATGGTATATACCTATTACCACAAACACTATGTTTCGCACATGCGCAGTGGTGATCGGGGCTTAATTGCAATACTCTAAGATTTTAAATCATAGCTCTATCCAGTGTGTATTATCTAAGATTTTGTCGTTAATATTTCTGTGCAAAAAAAACATCAATATAAGTATCAAAACTATTTTTCACGAGAGAAAGGTAATGTTTCGCGCACGCAGACTGAGCTACGGATCGCTGCCGGATTACACCTGACCCGATAATGGTGGGAGCCCTGGGCGAGGTGGTGAGATGATTCATGATCGAGCGTTTTTGTTAAATGGTCCCATAAAAAATTGATGGATCTAGTTATTGAATCAACTGTATTACCTATTTACTTGCAGCACTGGTTCTTTTACCTTGTATATTTTGAACCTACGGCTCGGTTACCCTGAAATAACCAAAAATTTGTTTTACAAAACCACGTCGGGTAGGTTATAGAGAAAAAACAAATTAATTTTGTTTCAAAAAATAAAATTAAGTGTAATGTAGTTTTTTTTTATAAGTTTTAAAATCAAATTTTGATGATACTCGTTAGGTTGGTTACTAATTATTAAGTATTCTTGCTTTGTACAACATTAATCCTTTAATTTCTGTGGTATAGGCAACTTAAATTACACACCAACCATGATACTTTTCTTATCAATAAAAGCACATAGCTTTAGGCCTAACTTCACGTATGTTAATTTTTTAGTAGTTTAGCAATTATATACAATTATACAAATATTAGGAATATTATTCTTATTACATTATCGGGTAGGTAAAAATAACATAAACTATTATTTACTTCTATAGTAAAGGTAATAGGTAAACAGTTTCCGAGAACTTGTTTTATTATAAAAATATGTCTATTCAATATTCACCTACTTTAGGTTGTTGAAAAGATGGTTGATCTGTACATAGACTGTGTGTTTATGACACATATGTATCTTTTAAAGACTAATTTGTGACTTGCTTTTATTACAATATCTAATTATAATTAATGTACGTACGACGTACCTACATAATAGTCTAATTATGATTATCTATGCTAAAGAAAAATAAAATCTGTCAACAATTACAGTGTGTAAGTATCTACCTATTATAATAATTCCTACCTAGTTTCAGTAATTACTAATTAAGTAACATGATATAGTTATAATAATTTTTTTTAAGTATAATACGTTTAGAGTGTACAATATTTTATAGATTATTAGCTAATTATACGTCAATTTATACTTAAATATTAACAATACAGCAAACAAATATCTAATAATGATTTAAAAACGAAGGTCTTTTATTTAACAACTATTTATAAATATAATTTTATTAGTCATATTTATATTCAGACATTTTTTTTTTCTATTAATATGATATTTTATCATTGACAATGCGCAACAAATACAGAAAAAAATTGTTTATTGCTCAATATAAATACATTATTTTAATCTATCAATTAAATATTATTATTTAATAACCGCAATGGTCGTTTAATATCATGCATCGTAACATTCCTAACCTATGGAATATTAATATAATAATATGATCAATATTTATTAGGTAGCTAACTATATATATATGTTATAAATTATAAAAAAATTTAAAAAATGGTTGGGAGGAAACATAATGACAATGCGAAAAACAAAATATTTTCAAGCAGGGACTGATACCTTCTGGTTTTTACGGTTCCGGTACTTAATTATTTTATTAAGAGGTTCTAGTTCCAGTTCAGGTTTATGCCAATTTTTATTTAAGGCTTCTGGTTCCGGTTCTGGTTTTGGAAAATTAATTTAAGAGTTTAAGGTAGGGTTCTAGTTCAAACCAGTCTTAAACGATTCCAAAAATGTATATATTTTTATTTATTCGTGTACAGCCTATTGATGGTTAAGTGGCGTTGCTCATGTTCTCTACGCAGGGGAATAATACCTGTGGATGTTGATTCCATACTCACCGTGAGCAACTTTTCTTTATACAGTCTACTGTCGATGACCCCACAACTTGACAACCTGAACAGCTAACTGTTTGAATGATGGCTAAACCAGTAGGTATGTTGATGTGTTACAGAACCCTTATTTGCTTCCCAAATAGTCTGCATTTATCTTTTATTAGCAATAGGCGATAAAATAATAATATACCAACCATTGTAACTTATTAGTACCTATAGATTATTTTAATTTTAACTTTAATATACAAAAGTAAAGTCCATAAGTCATAATATTACTTATTATGATTTCACAATAAATAAACAGCTCTAAACAAAAATAAAAATAGAATATCAAAGCAGTCGTATTTTAATTTGTAGTATAAGCATTATAGCCGATAAATTGAACATAAGCGACTGAAGAGAAAACAAAATAATTTAACAGTGTAAAACCCGTTGTTTTAATTTAAAAATACGGGTTCCGGTTCCTAATATTTTAAGGGTTTTTGGGTTCCAGAGCCCAAATTGAAATTAAAAAATGGTACAATATTTATATTGTCGATAACTAATTAGGCATTAATAATATTGATTGGTAATAACGTATTATTATCAACTGTATAGGTGTAGGCGTCTCCAGACATTTTTCTAGGAGGGGCAAAATGTATATTATTCAGTAGCTACTAGCGGCTAATAATTTATTGTCATGTGAGCACTCAAACTACGATAACATAAACGAATTCAAAATTCTAGTTGGGAGGACAAATGCACCGTCTTATCCCCTCTGAGGACGCCCATGTGTATAGATAAGCTATTTGGTAGGTACCCACGTATCTGTTATGACGTTTAAAAATTATTATTTGAAATCATTCAAATATGAAACACATAATAGTTAATAATAAATACCTAGCCATAACGAGAACAACTTTGATACGTTGTTATATCTCAATGTCTAATACTATTTAATACAAAAGATCGAAGGTACAACGTCAATATTATTTCGATGATTGGTAACCGAAGACCTCCATGTCTGTCGTACTATGAATATATTTTGCGCCCCATGCATTACATGGGTCGTGGATGACAGTACCGTAGAGCAGTAGTTCTCAACCGGGGTGACATAGACCAAATGTAGAGATCTATTTATTTTATTTTTATTAAAATTAATATCGAATGATTACTGGGCCTCACTGAAAAAAACTCGTATGGACGCCCAGGGTTATCTTGGTTTATTAACTAAGATAACCCTGATATATTTACTAATAATTCTTGCTGATACAGTTAAATATTATTACATTTTTATATAAAGACAAATAAGGAATTTTTCATAATAAATACATAAATAAATAAGTCAGATTTCCTTTTAGAAAAAGTGCTATCATTATAAATCAGAGCAAAATTGATGGTGGAAAATTTATCAACAAAAGAAAAAAAATCATATTATTTTATTACCTAATATTATACTTCGTACATTTTCCCGTTTTTCTGTCTTTTTTCGGTTTTTCACATTCGATGAGAAAACTCTCGCGATAATCGAAAAATCATCTTCTTAAAGTACCACCCCGAGAAAACTTCCTTTCAGAAAAGGGTCTACATCTTATATCTTGTAGTAAGCTTTCTGGTAGAAAAAATGTTCACACATAATAAACACCTTTGTAAAACCATAAGCTTCTTCGCCCATCCACTTAGAATCTAAAATAATATTAAATGTTATAACTAGGGGAGTGTGTACCGAAAACTCCCTTCATATTTTTTTGGAAACTATCCATAACCCTCCCCCCATTGAAAATTCCTGACAACGCCACTGCGGTAGGTATACCTACCTATGGGTAGATGCACTGGATATACCTAGGTAGGTATTGATTACAATGGTATTACGATTCGTTAGAAAGCGATACCTATTTATTTTATTGTATCGTTCATCGATACAATAAATATCTTATATGTGTTTACAAATTTCTAAAGCATTATATTAACAAAGTGTGTGTGTGTGTGTGTGTGTAGGTAAATGAGGATCGTGTTATTGTCGACCTTTGAACCAGTAGGTCGATGATACCGACGGATATAACAATTATATTGTCGTTGACAAAAATCTATGTACGGGAAATCGCTCGACGATTACGTGATATTTATTATTTTGTTGTATAGATAATATTTGACCGTGGCAAAGGGTAGATGGCCGGGAGTGGGGGGCAGTAATAGCTCTCTCACCGACAGGTTCGTCGTCGCCGACGATTATATTTCGTAAAATCGTTTGTCTTGACATCTGCAATCGATAGTTGTCAGTGGGTATGCGGGGTAACGTGGGCGCGCGGGCGACCGCAAAATAGTAAAGCGAAAAATCATCACCTGATAAAATCATAAAATATTTTTCTGTACAAAATACTGTTGAAATAAAATATTTTTCTTCTAAAATACAGTTCGACGTAAATATTGGTCGGATTATTTATTTTTTGACAGTTTTATTTTTCTGATAATAATTATAAATATTTCTGAAAATATCATTCTAACAAGGAAAATTTACGAAGTCATTCGTTATTTTATGATAACGGACCACTACTGGGTTATCTGAATAACCGGAGCGTTAACAATCCGTCACGTGACCGAAATAATGATTTTAATTTATCTATTCTGTGGTAATGTTGGTCATTTTGAAAAAATGTTTATATGATATTTTTGAAGCTTAGAATTTTGACCTGGCAACACTGCTTTACAATAGTATTGAATTATATAATAATTATTATTATACGGATATCATATAGTTTAATGGGTCGTAAATATAAACATTAAACACAGAATAGAATATGCATCGTTTATTGTTATCAGTAACTTCCGATAATATTTTAGGTTATCTTTCTTAGATTTTCGTCGGTGGCATTATTCTCATTTGTTTTTGATTCAATCATTTTGTCCCTCCACATAACAGGTCAGTTAATTATTCATGATTTAGTTTTTAGTGTTTATTTTCTAATTTTGTTTTGGAGCGTTGAAGAAAGTTACCGTTGTGACTGTAATCAAATTTTTCAATTGCAATTAACTGTGCTATTTCCGACGGTTGTTAGAACGTTTTTTGTAACTGATTATCTTCGAAGTATATAATTTTAATATTATATATTTAGCATATTAGTATTGCATTGACAATTGAGAACCACTAGGTAATATTACTAAAAATAAATTTTAGATATCTTAATTTCATTTAATTCATTCGTAAATCTATAGAAATTAATAAATATTTGTACTCTCCTTTTTTTTTTCTATTTTTATTAAGTCGCATTCGCATTTTTGTACATTTAGGTTAAACAAAATGACATACTTCCTTTATTGTACTTGTTATAACTAATATTTTATTACTTCGTTTTGTTTCGCAATAGTAGCTTTTAAACTCATTTACATTAGCTGGCAACAAATTGTTAATTTTACTCTCTTCCAATTTGTTTAAATTTATTCCCTCTTTCTTTTCCATAAGTATTAGACAACTCCTTTACGATCAAAACATCCCCAATTTTGTAGTTAAATTCTCATGGAATTTCATTTAGGTACCCATAACAATAAAGTGGCCGACTAAAGGGTCTATATTTTAACAGCCGTTCCCCCACTCTAATTTCTTAGACTGACTTATGCCCTATGCTTAGAGCTCATATAGAAAGTTGGTGGTTGAATCAATAGACTATTTTGTCTCCTGATATAGGAATATTTCTCCAACAATTCCTTTCAACCCATGGTTCCATTATTTAGAACTTGGTAGAAAAACAATTTCCTCTTTTACATGCTTAAAATTTGGACATACTCTACTCTCATCCCATTTTTATAAGCTTTCTTTAAATGATATTCCTATATATATTCCATGTAGTATATCACATAACACTGCTAGAAAAATCAGTGGAACATGGTGACACACTAAATTATAAAATGTTGTATTAATTGTATTTAAGTATTTACGATATTCATAAATACTGCCGTCCTAAAAAAAAAACGTGTAAAACTATAATATTAAAAATAATAAATTCGATTTGTTACGTTTTTTTCTTAGTACAGCAGAATACCTACCTAACTTTTTTTAGTATACTCCAGGTTAAAAACTTAATGTGAATTTATAGCTACATTGGTATACTTGACTAATAATATTGCCCAAATTATTATAGATACCTAATATATATTTCATATAGGCTGAAATATCATAATTTTTACTGGTCAATTTAAAATATTTTATTCGTTTGTATTTTTTATTAGGACCAAAATTTCAATTGTTTATTTAAAGTGATGAAAGGAAGTTTTTGTGTCTGTAATGTACAACATAAAGAAATCTGACATTTTTGGAATATTTTTTAATTTTATAATTTAAATTCTAGACTTAAAATATTTGGGACAAAATTATTAACTAGTAGCGTTTTCTACTTTATGAATTTGTCCATCTGTCTGCATGCACTCTATCTCTTATACTGTTGCACATTTTGAAATGTGGTTTTCAGTTATAAAAATAATTGTCTAAATATATATATATATATTGTGTATAAGCAATATCGTATTTGGGGAGAATTTTAAGATTTCAACATTCCCCTAAAAACATTTTTCCAAAATTATTAATATTTATTATTTTAAGAGAAATGTTACTTAAGTTTATGATAAAAAAAATTGATGATTTAATTTAAAACAGTTTCATACATTGTCCTATGACCTTATGACTATACCTAGTTGATATTTTTAAATAATTGTTAAAAATTATGTTTAGATATTTTTACAATGGCAGAAAATACTGCTAACCAAACTGACATGAATGAATGGGTATATGATTTTTCCCAAGATTCAAATAACGAAGAAAGCTTAGTAGAAGAATTAAATAATACTAAAATAAACAATAACAAAGTAACTGAAAATATTGATACGGAAAAACAAGAGAATAACTATGATGTTGCTGATAGCATAAATACACAAAATAGCTGGCTTAATCAATTTGAACCAAAAAATCATAATGATAATAAAGATAAAACAGGTTTTAAGAAAAGAAGGGGAGGTTTTAATAAATCAAACAACGGTAATAATTCGTTTGAAAATACAGCAAATTATGATTCTACTTCAAACCATTTCCAAAGTAATGGTGTTGAACATATAAGAGTTCGCGGTCGTGGTTTTTTAAAAAAATTAGCCCGGGAAAATGAATCAGGTAGGTTTGAATATAATGTTCAGGAAGGTAATACTGCTCCAGTCTACCGTGGTCGTGGAGGACGAGCAAATCATCGTGGCAGGGGAGGCAGATTAAGAGAAACTTCATCTGATAGTTGTTATGAAAATGCAGAAGAAGGTCATAACAAAAAAGAAAATGATAAACCCACAGGTTCAAAACCAGTTTACATTCCTCCAGACATTGAAAACAAAGAATTAATTTCTGGAATTGAGGTAGGCCTTAATTTTGACAAATATAAAACAATTGAAGTAAAAGTGAGTGGAATCAATCCACCAGAATGCATGTCATCTTTTCATGATTCTGGTTTATGTGATATTTTGCTAAAGAACCTATCTGAATGCAATTTTTCAACACCAACTCCTATACAAAATTACTCCATACCCATTATAATTGCTGGTAGAGATTTAATGGCTAGTGCTCAGACTGGTTCTGGAAAGACTGTAGGTATTTTTTAACATATTATAAATTTGAAAAGTATATAATTGATTCATTTTTTTTTTTTTTTTTAGGCAGCATATATTTTACCTATTTTACATAATTTACTCAGTGAACCAACAGAATTGGTTTTTGATGAATATCATTGTGAGCCACATGTCGTAATTATGGCACCTACTAGGGAATTGGCAATACAAATTTTTGAATGTGCGTGGAAGTTCAGTAACAGAACTAATATCAGAAATGGAGTACTTTATGGAGGAACATCTATCGCTCACCAAAAGTCTAAAATACTCCAGGTAAAAGTTATAAATGGTTATTTAATAATTTGTTTAAAAAACCTATTTTTTTTTTTTCATTCAGAAAGGAGTTCATATATTAGCTGCTACTCCAGGGCGTCTAAATGATTTTGTTGATAAACATATTGTCTCATTTGCTTCAGTTAAATTCTTTATTTTAGATGAAGCAGATAGAATGTTGGATATGGGTTTTAAGTCTAATATAGAACTTATGATCAATCACCCAACTATGAAATCAAATGTAAGTTTCCTTTGTAATTATAATATTATTAAAACGTTATATAAAATACATCTCCAATGAAATATTAAAATTATTTGATATCAACTTTTTTATTTCGTTTTATTTGTTTGCTTCATTTATTTTGAATATCTATCTAATACACATTCAATTTATTTTATTATAGTTATTTGTTGATAAATTTCATTCAAAAAACAAATAAAATAAGTCATATTTAAATTATTTTTAAAATTTCATTATATTAAAACATATATTTCACTAAAATAGAATACTATTAGAATGTAGTTAATTAATACATATTATATAATTATGATTTACATTTTAATAAGTATGAAATATGAAAACTTATCAGTTATTTCAGATGATAAGATTTATACATTATCTCATAACAAAATGAATAGGTATAGTATTGATTTGCACATTCCATTCAAATATATATTTATTTTATCTATTATTGTAATCCTTCACTTATTGTGGGCAAACATTAGAATTGTCGACAGTAGTGAAGAACCACAACATATACCAGAAGTGGACTAAGTAGATGAGATACACAATACATGTACTGAATGAACACACACTGTGGTCATCACATCTATCTACTGTCTTCTTTACTATTATATATAGGTATAATAGGTATAAATAAGGACTTTGTAGGCGAAGTAAACAAAAATAATATTTTTGAGTTCTCACCCCTTAATTTTGTTCATTATTAGCAGAAAGTAAGTTAAATTTAGTAAATTTACCTCCTTCACGTACCCCAATGAGGTTGAATAAGGTTATTAGGAAAATAGGATTGATTTGTCGTTTTTTGATTATAATCTAAAAACTTTTAAACTTATTGTAAAACTGTACCTAGATTATAGGTTTTTTTTTTTATTAAAAATAAAAAACTTAAATATACAAAATTTCATAAATCTTATTTTCTGAAAACAATGATAAAATATTGAATATTTCATTTATTTTGAAAAATAGGCTTTTTTATGATTTTTTAAATATCAGAATAACGGTTGATTATACTACAAAATATCCTATAAAAAAAAAAAAAGTTAATGAGTAAATTGCATTGAATTATCTGTTTTTTTTTTTTTTTTTTGTTAAAATGGTAAACTTAAGAAAATAATAGTATCTAAAATATTTTATGTGTTTAATTTTTATCATTTCAACTCAATGCCATCCAATATATTTTTCTACCATTTTCTATACAGTCTTCAAGATTATTATTTAATCTTAAATGAAAAAATATTTGCAGATTCCTACACACCACAATAAAATTATCAAAAATTTGATTAGATACAGTGGTATCTTCATGCAAATAACTTTGAAAATATTGAAAAGTGATAAAATAAATGTTATTTTTCAAATAATTGAATAAATGAAATAAAAATAATGAATAGTGACAGAATTATTAGTATAATGATAACTGGATAGTACATTCTATGCAAGCAGTCCCACAAAGATATAACCCTTAAATATCTCCGGAGATAATAAGTATAATCAAATTCTATTTTTTATATTACTCATAGGAATGAGGACTACAAATATTTATATTTAAATTAAAAATTACTGTTTTGTTATTATTTTCAGAAAATTTTAAGACAGCCATTGTGTAGAATTTATTTTTCGGAAAATTTGAATACATCACATATTTTTATCCGATAAATGGTTTCTAAGTATCAGCCATTTTCACACGGATTAATAGAATTTATAACGGCTGTAACTATTCATCAGATATAAATATGAGATGCATTTAAATTTTCAGAAAAATAAATTTTACACAATGGCAAATATAAATATTTGTAGTCCTCGTCTCTGTAATAATAATAAAAAAAAAAAAAAAAAAACAGAATTTGATTCTTTATTATCTCTGGAAATATTCAAGGGGTATATCTTCATGAGACAGCCTGTCTAATATGATTTCCATTGTATAATTATCTCTAAATATGTAGGTATTAATAAATTAAACTATTGAGTTAACATATTATAACATTATAGATACTTTTAATTTTCTTTTACTTTTATCACTCTTAGAAATTCAGTCCAATGCAATTTATACTTATTAACTTTTTTTAGAAAATTAAATTCTTTAACATTTCTATATAGGATATATTGTCATATTATTAACTGTTATTCTGACATACTTAAAAACCATAAAAAAAATCAATTTTTCAGCATAAATAAAATATTTTATCATTTTTCTTAGAAAATAGATTAATGAAAAATTGTATATTTATGTTTTTTATTCAAATTAAAAAAACTTATAATTAAAGTAAAAGAAATTTTTACAGTAAGTTGATTATACTCAAAAAAAAAAAATACATATCAACTCTATTTTACAATTTTTCATACCCATTGAGGCATGTGAAAGAGGTGAGTAATCATGACCAAATTTAACACAAATTAATTTCTTACAATAATAAACAAAATGGAGGGGTAAGAAATCAAAAGTTAGCAAATTAAAAAAAAAAAAACCCTAAAGTATAATAATATAGATAAATTTAATATATTATCTCACAAATCAAATATAAAACAAAAATCAATTATATTTGCAGTATAATAGTATAGTATAAAGAAAAAATACTGCTACTGCATTAAGTTAACATATTTTTTAGGAAAAAAGACAAACAGCAATGTTTTCTGCTACATTTGCAAGTGAAATACAGCTTTTGGCAACTTCCTACTTGAAGTCAGATTATATATTTGTCTCTGTTGGGGAAATTGGAGGCGCATGTAAAGATGTGTTCCAGTCAGTTATTAAAGTCACGAAATTTAATAAAAAAGAAGCAGTACTGAGTTTACTCAAAGATATGGGTTCGATTTTTTTTTTAATTTTATGCAGACATTTTACTATAAGAATTATTTATCCAAGTTTAATTGATAAATTATATTAACAAATAATTGAACATGTTAATATAAATAAATAAATTTTTTGACTATTATTTTAGAAAATTGTCAAGGTACTATTGTATTTGTTGAACAAAAAAGAATGGCTGACTATGTTGCTGCATATTTAAGTGAAATGAATTTTCCTACTACAAGTATTCATGGTGACCGTGAACAAGAAGAACGGGAACAAGCACTGCATGACTTTAAAACCAATAAAATGAAAGTCCTTGTAGCCACTGCAGTTGCAGCTCGGGGACTAGGTATTTACTACACTAGTTTTACATGTATAAAATAAGGTTTATTTTAATTAATTTATATTATTATAGATATAAAAGGTGTAAATAATGTGGTGAACTTTGATCTACCAAAAACAATTGATGAGTATGTACACCGAATCGGGCGTACTGGTCGTTTAGGAAATGCTGGAAAAGCAATTTCATTTTTTGATCCAGATTCTGATAGTTCTTTAGCATCTGAATTAATTAGAATTCTCAGACAAGTAAGTTTAAACTGATGTTATAAATTAATTGATTATCTATTATATTATTTTTTTATATTTTTATACTTACATAGTTTTTTGAAATTCCTTCCATCTTAAATATAACTATGAAAAACTATTAAAAAAAGACACATTCTTAAAAATTAGCACATCCTAAATTAATATATATTTTTATGTGAATCTGTATAAATTATAGGCAGATCAAGAAGTACCAACATGGTTAAAAGAGTATGCTCAACACACAGGCTCTACACAAGCATTTGAAGATTTTAACGATATAAGAGAAGTAATGTTCTTCAAAAATATTAAATATTAATACATAATATTATAAGTGTTTATATAATCTTATAACTATTTTATTTATTCATAGTAATATTTTTATTGGTATACCTAATTAAAATTAAATTATTTTCAGTTTTTAAAACTTACAAATTTGTTTGTTTTTTTTTTTAGAATGCTGCTGCTCCAATAAAAGAAATGTGGTAGATTATAATTATAGGGGATATAATATTTGTTATGTTTGTTATTTATGTATAAAAACAAAATATGCGACAATAAAAATTATGTTTTCCAAATGCAGTTATCCTGAGTCTACAATATTTTTAAAAGTTATTTAAATTGGCGTTTATTTGTTTGTTAAGATCAAACATTATTTTTATTCCTAAACTATATAATATGTCATATTTCATTTTATATATTTTATTTATTGTAAGTTTATTTGTATGGTTTTTTTTTTTTTTTAATATCCACACAATAAATATATATAATATAAAAATTGTGTATATTTTCTTTTATAATTATTAATACAGTTGGCACACTAATAATTGTCAATATTTTATTTGTATTTTAACAAAGCAACTAAATATTAAAACTGATGTAATATATTACCAATTAATTGACTTGTTTGACTACAACTGAAAAATAGTTAAACGGCTATAAATAGCTCAAAGTTTTCCAGAATGTTTTGAAAATGTTTGTCGAAAATATTACAATTAACCACATTTTAACCAATCTCTGCTGTTTATCAAATTGTATATTTCTTATTGTTTTTGGAAAAAGTTGATATATTTTAATTTTTAAACAGAAAACAATTTATTAAAAAACATCTTTGAACATTGATGTCTTGAACAAATAGTTGAAAGAACATGCAGTCTTGAGTTATAATTCTTAAAGAATTTTGAACAAAAAAATAACAAATTACAGTATTTAATGTGCATTCTGATTATAGTTGTTAGTTAAATATTAATTAAATAACCAATACCTGAATTATACATTACTCAATTTATTATAGAAGGATGTTTGTGAAGTTGGCCCACCTGACTTTGTCTGATTAATTCAAAAAATATATCTATATTTTCCAAATTAATTTGCGAAAAATTGCTAATCAATTTTTAGAATTTGCAAATCAATAGTTGTTTTTCAGCGAGTAATATTTAATTGTTTTTTATCTACCATTGTTAGTACCAGTTGTCTATTTAAGTCAGTATTCATTAGTTGATAGTTTATTTTATATTTTGTTAAACATAAGTTTATAAACTAACTTGTAAGTTATAATTAGTGTTATAACTGTTAATATATTGTTCATTAAATTTAATCATTCGTCCATACTTAACTACTTATAGGTATCCTGATAAATTGTATAAGATATCTAACAATTGCACATTGCTTTTGAGAATTAACAAAACAATTTATTTATTTTTTTTTTTTTTTTGCTTGAAATGAGTGCGTCAAAATCTCGAATCAAAACAAACGCGAAATGTTGAATATATTATAATATATATATAATAATTACGGGAAAATCTTGAACAGCAAACATTTGAATGATAAAATCTTGAAAAAATAATAGATTTACAGGTTTTTTTTCGGTTTAAGATTTTGCCTAAATTATTTTTTCAAGATTTTGACGACCCTTCATCCAAACCAGCCAATGAAAACATATTTAGATCACGGAACTCTTTACTAATACGCTACCGAGTAATGACAAAATGGTTAGAAAATTAGTTTTTAACAAAATAAATCAAAATGTTACTTTACCTATTCTTACTCATTATAACAGAACCAGTCTTAAATAAATTCAATTAATTGAATTGATATTAGATAATAGTCACATGAGTGCACAAATACGATATTGTTGTCCTCGAGTTATATGTAATTTAGTTACTCTAATTCAATCGAATTATTTGTATTTTTTACAGTTCATCACATTTTTAAAGCAGTGACAGAACTCAGTATATTCCAGTCGCCTTTAACACTTAATGCGCTTTATGATAAGTATAATTAATAAGACTGCATTGTAATTTAGATTCTGAGTGGAGTGAAGAAGCTTATGGTTATACATAGATATTTCTTTTATCTGTGCGCATTTTTTCTACCAAGAATCTTGCTCTGATTTTTAAGTGTAGCAAGTTTTCTAAAAGGAAATTTCACTAGGGAGGTACTTTAGAGAGGTTGTTTTTCGGTTTTCTCCGAAGTTTTCTCAAAAAATGTGAAAAACCTAAAAAAGCATGGGGAAATCGTTACAACATTAAACAAATATTATTAAATATATAATGCTTATTTAATTATTTGACTATAAAATAGCATATATATTGTTGACCAAGCATCACTATCAACTGAACTCCGCTCAGAATCGTTTTTTGTAAGCAATGGCTTATCGTTGTTTACAGGTATACATTAAACTGTCTATAACGGTAGCTGCACCCGTCGACATTATCCTAGGACGTCTTTTTTTATCATGAACTAACAATTATCTCAAAAGATTTTAAGTGAATTTGATTCCAATTTTTTCTAATAGAATCGTTTAAGCATTTTTCAAAGCCATTTTTAATTTTTTTAAATAATTAATAAAATGTAATGAATTGCCTATCTATAACCCTGTTCTACTCATCCGGTCTAAACTTTAAACTGTTATAGCTTATAAACGGTAAGTCTGATATTAGTGTTATGCATATCAAAATGTCTAGAAATATATTTAAATCTGTGTTCAAAAGGAGGAGTGATCCAATTTGAAAATCAAAAGTATATACTTATTTAAGATACATGGGGAGTAGGGGTAAAAAATTAAAAATGACTTTAAAATAAAGCTTAAACAATTCCATAATGATTATAAAAAATAGAAATTGAATTCACTTAAAATCCTCTGAGATAATTGCTGGTTCATGATAAAAAAATTACCCTGTACATTAAATTACCTATAACAGTAGCTACACCCATCCCCATTATTCTTTTTTTTTTTAAACGCTATTGTACGGTATAATATTTTACTTAGTTTCAAACTTCAACGTACCGTCGCATGAGGTGACACTTGTATTCGTAATTGAATTACAAGATTTCAATATAGGTAATAATTCGAATTCAAAATTAATATACACCAATTATATAATATTATAATAAATATAAACATGAATATAAAAAAGAGCTGATATTGGGGACGAGTGTGGCTACTGTTATAGGTCGGTAGTAGAGAGCTTATTATTTATCTAGGCTCATAAAATGATACATAAAAGTTATTTAATATATACCTGTAACCAACGATAAGTCATTAATAAGGAAAAACGATTCGGAGCGAAGTTCGGTTATACATAGCCGTATTATTTACGATTTTCGTCAATATTTTTGACAAAATTAGCATTTCTGCTAAGCCAAACAATATTTATCTACAGAGTACTTATCAAACAAAAATTATGTAAAACACTCGCAAAATTAAAATGTCTAAAAATACCTTAAATATAAATCAAATGTTTTAAAAATTTAACCACGTTTAGAAAAAGGAAATATAAAATTTCAAGTCTTCGTGAATATGGTGAGGAAGGTGGAATAAATTAAGTTATTTAATTTATACGTGTAACCAATGATAAAACATTAATAACAAAAAACGCACATCATAGTGAAACCAATAGATCCCTCGCTACGTTCCGAATCTAAAAAAAAATACATACACCTCAGTCCAGCCAGCACATTAAATAAACTACCCTCTTTAGTAGAGTGGATGACTTCCCGGGTGTTTGTACAGAATTAATTAAACTTATAGGTGTTGACGATTTTTATTGCAAATCAATTAAAGACGCTTGAAAATTCAAACATCAAATTCATATTCATACTGAACTCTATTCAAATATCTAAGAAAAGTAAAATCCAAATTTCGTACTTATCAATTAAAGGAAGATTAACCAATTCACGTAGTTATACGCATCATTCATCCATCTACTCTAGCAGATATAATTAAAAGTGAATTGGAATTACGGCTATTTGCAGTCAGACAAGTTATACACCTACAACAGTCCTTCTCTTCAGTTCCTAATATTTATAAAATGCAAAACTATTTCTCTCCTGGATATTGAACAATAAAATTACTAATTATTACCTAGTATCAAATTAATTGATAATTTGATATACCTACATAAGAACAGTACGTGAATACTCCCCTGTAAAATGTTCCCTCTCTCTAATTCCGGCTTTGCGACCTGCACAGGCAGGAACAAAACAAAAAGTAATCGAAAGAGCTTATGGATTGTGCAACTCTGTTAAGTGGGAAGTTGAGAAATATAAAACACATAACCATTTAATTTACATCTGTATACAATCCTATTAATTTATGTATCTCTATTAATCATTGCTAACGAAATACGATTTCGACTACTCAGAATGAAGTTCGGTTGTACGCGATTTGAAATGTCGAATTCTTACGATGTTCGACGAAATTTGAATTTAAAACGCGTAGGTTGAAAAAAAACTATATTACGCTCAACTTTATATTTTTACCACTAAGCATAACTTATGATAAAAGTCGTGTAAAAATTTCTCTTTTGCCATAAAACAACTTTCATATAAAACCGAATAAAAACGGAAAACGCGAAAATTGTGAATGCCAATAAATAACGAAATTTCTGATAAAAATTAATTTACAAACAGAAAAAATAATAAGTATACATTACAGTAAAACAAAATAATACATTAATCGTTTCGCATAGAACCTATAAAAAAATATATTGTAAATTAGGTATGTACCTACTTATTTAACTATTCCGATTTAATTTAATCGCGTATTTTCATATTATCAACATCATACTCAAAATGTTAGTACAATTATATTATATCTATTTTATTACTTAAGATTCACGTCATGTTTACTATTGATAATGAATTATTATTTAAATATACATTTTAAATTAGAAAAAAAAAATACATAATATGTTATCTTAACGAAGAAAAACATTTACGAAAATTAAAACAATATATTATATATTATTATAGAACGGGTATGTATAGTGTATATACAATACAAAATATAGTAAACTAAAAGTGTATCTGTTCTACTAATATACTCATTGACAATAGTACTTAAACATTTTTATACAATTAAAAAAAATAATTTATGTACAAAAATCAAATATAAATATCATCATATATACTTAAATATTGCCTTACATTATAAATTGTTGTTAAAAGTAAGTAAACGTATGTTTTATTCTAACACGCGACTCGATTATTCGGCTATTAAAAAAAATAATGATCAAGCAGAGCAGACACGTATGGATAATTTAACATTTTTTTAAAATTACTATTAGAGATTTAAAGGAAATTTTAACATTGTAAAACGTCCGTATTATGTTTAGATGTTAAACATGTGGAGTAATGTACTCGAAATACAATAAAAAAGGAAAATCTTTGCGTATAAATTTACAAATTACAATCTACTACATGATTTCAGGGATACCTTCTAAAGTTTTCATTCATTATCTAATAGGAATATTTATCTAAGTAGGTATTTATCAATCGAGAATTAATTCCGTTAAAATTACCTAGAGGTAAAAAGATTGGAAGCCACACATAGGAAGGAAATGATCCAGAACCGTGGAAGTTGGAGAGCACTAATAATGGCGGCTAAAACTCTTACATTGTTATGTATCCATAAGATGAAAATTTAGAGTATGCGTAGGGTGGAGTTACCACCTTGACCACCTATGACCACCTTATGAACATTTTATTCTATTAATTGGATATCAATTGGATATCAAACCCGTTTATGGTTAATAAAAAACAAAACATCAAAACTAAAACCATTTTAAGTTTATCTATACATAGTTTGAGTAAAAGTTGTATTAATATTTTAAAATTTTATTTTCCTGTTCTATGGCTATCCAATTGCGCTATATATCATGTAATAATCACCCGGTAAATTAATATTGATGTATAGATGAATACAACACAGTAACCATATGGCTCATAAAATTACAAAATTACTCTATTTATAAATAAAATATTATAATCATACTGGCCATAGGTGGTATCTCCGCCCTATACAGAACGGAGTTTATTGTTATTTGAAAATGTTCCAAATACAACGAAAAGTTATGGGTAATAGTATACAAACTTGTTCAAATTTCGTAAATCATAAATCAATAATTAAAAATAATCCCAACAATTTGTGTTGATTTTGAACATAATAGATGTAGCTAAATTGAATTTCTGGAGGTACATAATACTTAAGAAAAAAACTCCCTGCTGTTAATGATCCGATATTTTGATTAAATACGTAGTTAGGAGTTACCTGTTCTGTTGCGAAAATTATGTTTTAATAATATTATAAAACACACGCCCGTTTTTATTTAATTAAAATAGGTGTAAAATCCGATATTACAAAAAATATACCTACCGACAAATTTATAATAATGTCGGCGTGTTTGTGGAATTCGTATACGGAATGATCCTAGTGTTGTTTTTTACATTAGTAGAATTTCCGAACGTGGTGATGTCTAAGCTGACGGAATGCGTAGGCAATACACCGTCCTGAGTAGACACTTCTGTCCAACTCGTCATGAATTGGTGAGCGTTGATGTTGTTCTTTATATTCTCGTAGTATCTGAAAAATCAAAATAAACCGTCAACGGTTTCTCGTTTCGCTCAAAACAGTAAAAAAACGTCACAAGTATTAAACATCGCATACCCATTGGACGGAGAATAATTAATCTGGTTTTGCTGTCCGTATTGCGTGGACGATGAAGACGGCGGCGGCGGCCGACGCTGTTGATCGTACCGCTTAGACGACGGCGGCTGCTGCTGTTGTTCGTACCGCATGGAAGACCGTGGTGGTTGATGCTGTTCGAAGCGTACGGGCGGTTGCATCGGCGTGTATCGCGTCCGCGATGGCGGTGGATCATATCGCGTATTCTGCGTCGGTTTAGACTGTTGTGGCTGTTGCTGATGGTACGGTTTCGGATCGACGTCAATGATCTCGTAACTCGGCAGCGGTGGGGGCGGCGATTTATTCTGCTGGCCGTTGCCGCTCACGTCGATCACTTCCGACTGGACGACCGCCACTTCCGGGTATCTGTCATTATTGAAGTTACTTCCACCGTTGCCCATCACGTTATTGGGCTTCTTCAACGGCACCTCTACCAGTTCCTTTTCCCACGAAGAACCTCTATTTTCCCAGGAAGGTCTCTTGGCGTCGTCCCACGCCCCGCCTTCGCCTAGTGGTTCCCTGTCCCACGAGAACGACGACGGACCCTTGCTGTTGCCAAACGTCGTTTCTTTTTCCCACGGCGATGACGACCAGCTTTTGTAGAACGGTTCGGACCACGACGCGAACTTGGACGAAAACTCGTTAGGCCGGAAGAACGAGTCGCGGAACTCGGCTGGTTCGTCGTATCTGCTATTATACACGGCCGTCGTCTTGGTCGTAACTGACGTTACAGCGCCACCGTTGCTGGCACCACCACCGTTGTAAACGTTCTCGTGGGGCGCCACGCGATTTCGTTGCAAGTTGTCTGGCGAGTTCCTGTGGAAAACGACGCACGTGTAAATCGAAAATTGTTCATTGTACTCGGCGAATAAGTTTAGATTGATAACGAAGTAACGATACCGGGCTGCATTGTAATGTTGTATTATTGGTAATTATCCGGTAGGTAACGTATTAAAGAAAGGCAAGTATTATTGACAATTTATAATGCGTAACTTCCGAATCTAAATCCGAACGCTTCGGTGCAGTACTAATTTAAATGAAAATAACCGTGAAAAATAAACTACCTGTTAGGTTCCAACTGTCGGAAGTCGGCCGATACGGGATTCGGCCCAATCGCGTATGGGTCGGCCGAATATCTTGACGGCGACGCGGGATATCCGCCCGAATATCCGGACGGTGACGAGGGCAGTCCGCTCGGATAGCCCGACGGTGACGAGGGCAGTCCGCTCGGGTAGCCCGGCGGTGGCGACGGTGGCCCGCCCGGATAACCAGCAGGCGGCGGCGCGGGTAATCGGCCCGAATATCTCGACGGCGGCGCAGTGTACTGGCCCGAATAACCGGGCTGCGGCGCGGGGTATCCACCCGAATAACCGGGCGACGGCTGCGATGGATAGCCGCCCGAATGGCCTGTGGCCGGGTAGCCGGCCGGTGGTCGGACAACGTCCGGCAAGGTCGCGTAGTATATGATCCGTTTTGACGTCCTCACGGTCGGTTGCAGCTGCTGCCGCCGCGAATCGTGGTAGACCGCGCTGTCGCGCTGTTGTTGGTAAAACGTGGACGTGGACGGCTGTGCCGAGGGCTGCGGCAACTCTTCGACGCGCGAGTACACGTTGATCTCGGGCCGGGGCCGCTGTCGCTCCGTCCAGCCGTTGGACGTGACGAACTTGTGGTTCCGCGGGCTCCGCACCTCCACCTCGGCCGACCGCAGGTATCGGTCGCACAGCGAAGTGCCGTTGCTGTCGACGCCACTATCGACCGACGTCAACGACTCGCCAACGTCGTTGATCCTCCTCTGCTCGGGCACCGCCGTCACCGCTGCCGTATTGAACTGTACAGTGTCGGAGCCGATGGGCCGCAACGACCAGAAGACGGACACCAGGGCCACGGCCAAAACCTCTTTCATTCTGAAATCGTCACTATCGGCTCAATGGCAGCGGTTGTTTTTTTTTAATTTTCTTTCTGCAACGCTGTAAAAATTAAAAACACGTATTAGGAATGATCACGCACCGTTAGACATCGTGTAACAACAGGCCGAAGGCGCATTAATACATTTAAAACAAAGTCGGCACATCTTAATCATACAACTGCAGTTGTGTTTGTATAATTAGGCGTTAAGTTGTTTTTTCGGCGCTGTCAAATGTTTACGGTTGTTAAATTTAACACAATATTGAGATCCAGGGCCGAATATACTCTAATAATAACGCGACAATTTTCATCGAGATAATAATATGCCTAGGCGCACCGCGAAATTTTCGTCGATTTTTGATAATCGAGGTCTTCGTTGATTTCTACGGGACACGGATAAGTGACATTTAGTAACAATTAGTTCGGTAGATATAACACGGACACGGAAAAATCGTTGGATATGCGCATGGGTGTATGTAAGAATCACGATGGACGAGGTGTCGGTAGTGCATACAATTATGTTTATACAAATACAATACACATACAGGTATTCTAACATTGCACGGCCGTTCGGTTTTTGTTGATTGAGGGTCCTGCTGAAGGTTTTCTTTTACAAATTGTTAACAATTACGTATAAGCGTATAACTAATTATTAACATTTACAATTATAAAGTCTTATTAGCTCTGAACGCGCGCAGTTCAATTAGTTTTAATTTTTATATTAAACAAAAAAAGTGTCTTGTGATTTTTCGATTAAATCATTTTTTCCGGTAGAAAACGTCGTCAGCGTAAAATAATGAAATCGTGAAATTGTACGTTTTCCTATGTTTATTCCCACTTTAGTGGTTCAAGATGACGTTTCTAAAGTAACATATAGACGACTCGGGCTTTCAGAAAAGTTGCTACAAGTAAAAATTGGAGCAAATTTACTACGAAAAAAAAATGTCCACAAACTAGACAAAAAAAAAAAAATGAAAGAAAGGCGTAAACAGCATTGTCAATAGCTCCCTTGCTACGCTCAGAGTCTAAAACCGAAACAATAATTATAGAATAGTTCAATGCCTACAAACCGTTCAAAAGTCAACAGAGTTGTCTAAAAACTTGACCACGTCTAAAATGACTAAAATTGTAATTCTGGTGTCGGGTATTAACGATTATTTTCAACCAATTCATTTAAAGTTGTATTCGACGTTTTTTTTTTTTTTCGTGTTTGACAAAAGGGTTCCAAAATCAAAATGTCCGAAAATGTCGGCTTTCATTACACTTGACAAATTCCAAAAATCAGAATACACGCGGGGATGGTGGTGGGGGGGGGGGGCGGAGGAAAAATTGGGGTGAGCACGCTGGGCGAATCGTCCCGCGGTGTCTCCGCCGCGCGTTCAGCAATCCAAAACGATACGGCTTTTCGGACGAGCATTTTACCGCGCGCACGCGTGGCGGGTATGGGACGGTACCGGCGTTATGAACACGTTCCGCCCCGTCCCCTCCCCCCACCGCCGCCGGATTGCAGTCCGGACCGCTGCCGCCGCGCCGCAAAAAAATAATCGCGTAAACGCGCGTGCGCTACGAACAACGACAATAATTACACAGCTGCCGAAAAATCGCCGCGGAACAGCCGCCGGCGTGCTCATCATCCAAACGGGTCATCGTCACAACGGCACGGGCATAATATTGTGCAGGCGGGTGTGTAACGCGGTAGACGGGCGGCGTGCGGCCGCGGGAAGGCGTCATGCACGGTGCGCAGTTCGCCGGGCAATCGAACCCGGCAGTCGGTCGTTTCTATTTGAAGGAATCACGGTTTGATGAACCCTCTTCCCATAATGGTACGCACGCCGCCCTTTGTAACAGATTGGAAAACCGCTGTTTGTTTCGCGGAAAATTACTTTTTTTTTTTTTTTCTTCTTTCTAATTAGCGAGTCTGTGCTGCGGATTGTCAAATAAAAAAAAAACACACCGCTAATTTTTTTTTTCTCTCTTCGGCGAATAATTGCCTGGCTGCAGAGTGTACGAAACACGATTTTACTCGAGGAAAACAACAAAAAAAAAAAAAAAAAAAAAAAAACAACAGACAATACGAAAAACAATTAAATAATTTTCTAAAACTATTTTTCCCGCCGTCGAATTATACCTGTTGCACACCTACAATACCCATATCACCTACCTATACACGATAAAATACAACCCGGGCGTATAATATACTGTATGGAAATTAAAAAAAAAAACATTTTCGTGAATCGAACGATTCGAAAACAATAATGAAAAATACGGACGTGGGTGGGCCGCTGTTGTTAATGAGAAGTTTGAAAGGTAGCGGAAAGAAAATTTAATGCGCATCTGTAAGCAGCGATAAACCGTTGCTAGCGAAATAACGATTCTGAGCGGAATTCAGTCGATAGTGTTGCTTTGTCAACAATATATATGCCGTATGATGGTTACACGTGAATTACACATAGGCATTATATATTTTCTTTAATAATATTTGTTTCGTAATTTCCCATTTCCCCCCCTCCCCCATTTATTAGGGAAACTCGTGAGAAAATTCAAAAATGACTTCCCTAAAGTACCTCACCAGTCAGATTTCCTTTCAGAAAAACTGCTACACTTGTAAATAGATGCGAGATTTCTGGTTGAAAAGTTGTCCAAAGAAAAAAAAATAAACATCTTTGTAAAACCATAAGATTCTTGGCTCCTCCACTCAGAATCTAAAAATGTCGGTTTTGATTTCGAGTTAATATTTTCACGAAGACATGTTATTTCTCGTAAAGATTTTACCGAGTGAATACTGTTTTACTTCTTTCGTCCTTAAACAAAATCGCTAAATGCGGTGTTATCATATTCGTATGTTTGAGGATCAAGTTCCCCGGACTTCCGACCGGCCGTCAATTCGATTCGCGCGACAGTAAAATCAATGCAACGGAAATCGGCCTACCTGTTGTACATATTATAGTTTATAGGTAAATGTAACTCCGTTAGTTTTTTTTTTTTTTTTTTTTCACACGATAAGTTCGCAGTGAAGTTTGCATTTAAACGCGTAGTATTAGAATCTATGGTGGGTGCATTTAAAATAAAAATTATTACATCTCGTTCGAAACGGTTTGTGATTCTACTATATCGCCTAAACATGTAACCGTTGAGTTTACGTGGCTCAAAATGTAATACCGGAATAATTTTTGCATAATAATAATGTTTGTATAAGTGCTTTAATAAGATCACCACCGACTGTATACTATATAGTGTTAATTGTTCAAGACGTTTGTATATTGTTCATCATAGATCGGCTAGGTTACCTATCCGTGTAACCGGTTTATAATTACAGTTTTTCCGTGAAATAAAATACAATGAACTTATACGGAACAAACAGAATAAAAACTATTCGCATTTATTCACCCCGTCTTACATAGGAACTTGATGTGTAACAACGCAGCTCAGCGGTTCCCAAAGTGTGCGCCTCGGCGCCCATGGGCCCCGCGTAATCTGAAAATAAATTTGAATAACAAAATTACAGCGGAAAAGGCGACGCTGATTACGATGGCCTTTTAGATTCTGAGCGGAACGCGAAATGTATTGGTTTTACGGTGATTTTTTTTGATTTTTTTTTTCAAAATGATTTTGTAAATTCCACTTGAAATCTTGCGCCAAAGTATTAAATATAGCATCTTTTCTGAAAGTGAATTTTCCTAGTATGGTACTTTTGGGAGGTCATTTTTTTGATTTTCCCGGGAGTTTTCTCAATAAATAGGAAAAACCGGAAAAATAAGTACAATATTGAATAAATATTATTAAAGAAAATATACAATGCATATTGTGTAATTATTTTACCATAATATGACATTTCTGTTGTTGACAAAACAATTAAGCTATTAACCGAACTCCGCTCAGAATCGTTTTTTGTTAATAGTGATTAATGGTTGCATACAGATTTACATTAAATTTCCCTTCTGTATCTTCCCAACTTCTCACTTATAACAGTTGCCCACACATCGTGTGAAATATATACCCGTATTTTTTTTTTTTAAATTTTTTCTGGGAGAACACTCTTTCGGTTAGTAAAATTTCTCCAAGTCATTTGTGCTGAACATTAAAAGACGCGGAATTTTTGTCCGGTGGTGCTGAATACAAAACAAATTTCGAGATCCCAACAGTTTTACTCTAAATTTATATAGTCAAGTACCTACATCGGTTTTATTGTTATCGATTTCTGCAGGGTTACCTTGGCTATGCAATAGGAAAAACATGAATTATTATATTACTTCGCTCAAAATCGGTTTTTTTTTTTTTTTTTTATCACAATGATTAGCTAATGGCGCCGCGAACGTTTGGGAAGCACTGACGTATAACTACTAAATTTTTATATTCCTTATTGTTCCGTTAGTATCCCAGAGTGCTTGATCTGATTTTAATTGTTCCATCTGATACGCGATCGTAAAAATAATAAGTACTTTATTATATTATTATTATAAACGCCTATAATAAATATACAGTAATTTTCAGAAGGGGAAATACGGTAATAATAAGTTATACAATTATAATTGTGCATACGATTGTATCTATACACGGTTTTTTACACATTGTCTATAATTATTTCGCATCGTATGGACTAATAACAGTTATGTTGTCGTTAGTGGCCACTATTCGGGTTTTTTCAAAAAAGGTGGGGGGGGGGAAAGTCTTAATAGATAATTGATAATAATAATTATACATAATAAACATGAATAAATCTATTATTTAAATCCCTTTTTTGAAGCTATTTTACAAAGTACCTACGTATAATTGTGTAGTAGAGGCAGGTACACAATATTAGGGTATATGTACTTACAGTTGTGTTATAGTAATAGGTAAATAGTTAAGTTTTCAACGTGAAAAATTCTCTACACCGACCTTAAACATAGGTACACAATACATTATAGTGAATTTTATTTTTGTCATTTTAACACGGCCGGGGGGGGAGGGGGGTTGAGGGGCTGAAATCCCTTATTGCTTCCTGTAGGACGCTACAGTGATTGTCGTAGGGCAACTGTTATTTGTAAACAGATTGATATTATTAGACGCATTGGTACTGACGGACATGCATAATACATACTATATAGTAATTATTATACATTCGATTACGTATCTGTGGGCTTCTCCGTACCCACTTGTGTTATGGTAATAATGCCTACTTTTAATGTTGTATTGTTTTTAACATTTTCCAAAACTTTATGCAATATAAGTACGTACGTATATTATTACCTAATACTATAAATATAACATAGTGTGTAGTGTACCCATGTGGCTATGTACAATACACAACATCAATATCACAGGCATTCAGCCTTCATCGTCGTAATTCAAATATTTCGTTTCGATGTATGTTATGCAATTTAAATGATTTTTTTTTTCTTTCTCAAAATAACGCTCAAATAATCCACAAAACGAGAAGTCGCACGCGGTAAAATCCAAATATAACAAGATAATAGTAAAATTAATAATATACCGACCGCCTACGCGTGTCGGCAGTATTCTACGTATATATACTTGGAGCCTAATTATCAACTTACCCACATGGGTTTCGTGAGAAATCCGAATAAACAGATTGCTGATACACGCACGATTACCGGTTTCGTATAATTATTCATAGTAGCGTTTGAAAAAGCAGAGAAAAAATTCTTAAGAAAATTTTACAAAATTGTGGAATCTGTTTGCCTGTCGTTGGCACGAAAGAAAAATAAAAAAAAACCCTAGTAAACCGAGTGTGATGCACCGTCGTTTAGACACGAATTTAACGAGTGTATATCATATTTTTATTAATATCGTTTGCATATTATAATACTTACATGGCTCGGAAATTGGCAGTGCGACGGAAACGACGAACGTGAATTGTGCACGTACAACGACTGTGGCGCGGCAGACACTGGTCTTCGCCAACAGAGGCTAATGCCTCTATATACCACCCACCATTGTCTTTACGTGAAAACCCGTAACATTAAAACTGTTCTTGTAGAGGTTCTCCGAGCAAACGTACATCACAATATTATTATGTGCTAAAGACAACGAACACAAATTAACAATCCACACCGTAAATAAATAGTAAAACGATTTTTTTTTTTCTCTCGTTAATTTTATAAAATGTTCGCGTTTCTCAATTCTCGATATCGAATTTTTTTTCAGATCTATAATTGGTTGATTAGAAAACAAATTAATTAAACAATTAACGTGATATAGTAAAACTACATGGGTATTAAAATTGATTAATTAACTTTATAAAAACCAATGAAACCTCAAAATCTTAAAGTATTCATAATATTAATGAAATTATAACAACTTTGTCAAAAAAATAAATCCATCCAAAAATTATTAAATATTAAATATATTAAATATAAATATATAGGTACCAAAAGAACAGTTTTTTTAAATTCAGAGGATGTCATACCCGCATGTACTGTCTCCATCCAACTGACGGGTGATATATCAAAAATCTATCTAATGCAAACTGTGTAGAACTCGCTTTATTTTAGTTTTAGTCTAAAATCACTCATTATAAAACTAAAAGAAGACAATATTATAAAGTGAAAGATAATGCATTTTAGTTGAACAGATAGCACATGCGGGTATAATGACGTCCTCTGAAGAGTATAGTAAAATATAGAATATTTTATTTTGACATATTATTCGTCATGTGATGATTACATTAAACAATTAAAATATAATGTATATTATAAATATACTTAGTATACAGTGATAATTATAATAATTTGCTTAGTTTTTACAAATATAGATTCACGTTTGGCTTAATTTTGTATAAATATAAAATTTGTGAATATTATATTACTTGAATACGCATTATAGTATTAAAATATAAACAAGTGCTAATTAAATTAAAATTTACTTAGAACATCTGAAAATATAAAAATTATATTAAATTATCAAATAATTGTTTTAAATCATAAAATAACAAATTGCATTACAACTGAACTTGAACTAATAACAGAACTTGTAAAATACAAAAAATTCAATATTTACTGGGATAGAAACCCTTTAATTTCATTTAAAAACACTGAACCAACAACCATTTTCTCACAATTAACACACACTGTTACTGAAGATTCTTGTTTGGTAATAGTAAGTAACACAAGACAATTAGATGACAATGTCTGGCCACTGAACCTGAAACATAAACAACAATAATTATAATAATTCAAACTGTCCACTAGCATGAACATTTTTTTTTTTTTTTTAATTAACTAAGCACAAATACACAATGTAATTTATTAATTATTTCTTGTATTATTAACAGTTTAAATAGTTTTGTATACAATTGATATGAATTATAATAATAAACATAATACCTGTATATATTCTCTACATCCGTAATAACACGTGTAACATTAGCTACTTCGAATATAGTTTTGGATATTTCTAGATTAACATTTTTCAGAATGATTTTGGCTGTATGTTCATTCATTCCTTTGAGTTTAACTGTAAATAAAGTCTTTAAGAATTTAATATATATACATTACTTGAAATAAAATAAACATAGTAAATTAGTTACATAGGTATATATTTTTTTTTTTTTGTGAACATATGATTTAAGATATATTATATTCTGAGTGTAGAAAGAAATGTATTGGTGAAATTTTCATTCCGTCTTTAAATAACTTTTTTGAAGTATTTGAGATCAATTTGGTACATGGAGGAAGTAATTTAATTTTCCTTATAGTTTTCATAATTGGGGAAAACTAAGAAAAAAGCTGTTGAAAAGCGGACAGTTGTAGGTTATTTTTTTGATTTTTCAGTTATTTAGTCATTTAATATTTTCGAATGGATAAAAATTTTCGGGGGCGAGCAGAAATTTTAAAATTGAACTCAAAAATCATTGCAATTTAAAAAAAAAAGCTGAGATTAATCTAGTTTTATTCGATTCAGAGAGTATCGAGAAATGTATTGGTTTTACAATGATGTATATTTTTTCTCTTCTTTTTTTTTATCTGTGAACAACTTTTTTACCAGAAATCTTGCTCCAATTTTTCTAGCAGTTTTCATAGTAATTGGGAAAAATGGAAAATGTATGTATATATATAAAAGAAACTTCGCTCCAAATCATTTTTCGTTAACAATGGTTTATCATTACGTACAGATATAAATTAAATTCCTCAATACACTCTACCTTCCCAACTTTTCATTTACAACAATGGTCCACCCATCGTGTGAAGTATGTCCTTTTTTTTGTGTATGTATTTAAAGTTCAAATTTTAATGAAAATTATAAAGATAGCGATATTTTATATTAATTTTTAATTTAAGTGAGTATAATTTTTTGGCCAAATCAAAATATTTGAAAATATAAAATAAGGTTGTATGTGATGGTAGAAAAAAATATTTGTATACAATGTTATTATTTTTTTTTTTTATAAGCATTTTTAATTGACATTATGACAATTGTATTTACAAAATTTTGTTTCTTTTATAGAAAATATAAAAGAATTTAAGTTGTTAATATCGAACCAATCTGACCTTATCTTAAAAATATTACTGTACCAAACTTTCAAAATATTTTATCGAACTACTCAAACTATAAAAAGTAAACAGGTTATCCTGCGATTTGATGGTTGAATTATTATATTTATATGCAATTTAAAAAATGAAGTATAATAATATATAAGACCCACAAATGCGAAAAACATATGTTTTTCTTTTTCGTAACATGGTCTATCCCACCAAAGAATATGGTATTGTTGGCTACGTTGAACTGAATGATTTTTTTAACCAAATTATAGGTATTTGGCTGGGTTCAATTATTTGAAATTTTCAGTTTGCTTTTTGAACCGAACTTTGAGTGTTTGGTTTGGTTCAAAAATAGAACAGTTCTATTCAATAATATCTCTAAATCTATATTTATAAAATAATGTCCTAACTGATTGATCCATCATCGCCAAGCCCAAATCACGGGACAGATCTGGCTGAAATTTGGCACACAGATAGTTATTATGACATAGGCTTCCACTAAGAAAAGATTTTTGAAAATTCAATCCCTAAGGAGGTAAATCAAGGGTTTTTAGGTATACATGGTATGAATATGTCTAATTACTTATTTATTTATTTTTATTTATTCAAGGGTTACCTTGGTGTTACGGAAAAGAAAACTATTATAATTATTATTATTACTTACACTATTAAAATGTCAGAATAGAACACATTTAGATAGCCAAAGGTGGAATACCCACTTTCCACCTATTTGTTGTTTTCATTCGATTTAAAAATGAATATGAATAAAATAATAATGAAAATAGGCACAGGCAACACCAGGGGCGGGGAAGCTAGTATTTTATATGGAGAGATAACAGATTATCCCATTACTTATAACTGAAACTCTGTTAAAGTGGACATAAGATTGTTAGGTACATTTGATCGTTGAATTCCCATACATACTATTGATAGACTGTTAAATATAAACAGTTCATATTTGTTTTTTACCCTGTTCGCTGAGAAAATCTTCCTCATCCATACACAATGGCTGAACGAGTTCACCAATGGGAACACGTAGTACTACTTCACTTTTGCGTTCCATGCCAGCAGTAAACCAAGAAACTTCCATAATAAGAGGTTGGATAGAATCTTTGTAGTCGACTCCAAGTGCACCCAGAGTGACTGAACTAGGCAATAATTGTGCAATGGGAGCTGAATTGTGAATGCTCATGTCCAAACTCTATATTTTAAAAGTAAAATAATCTTATTTATCACCCGTCTTAATGGAGTAAATTTAAATAAAAATTATACTATGATAATGATGACTAACTTTTTGAGTCCAGCGAATATTGGTAAGTGATTCTTTTTTATCATGATTGGTGAGACTCAACTCGATGCTGACCATTTTTGGTGAAAACACATGAGGACTTCTCGTGAAACGTGCCAATATACTCAGTTCATTATGTCCCTTTATTTTATTCAATATTTCAGTTTTTACTGATGGCACAAAACTGGGAGCAACAATCTATAGATTACAGTAAAAATATTAACACTACTTTTTTATTCTCAACCAAGAAGAATGGGTGTGGTAAATAAAGCTATGTCCTAACAAACTGAGTGCTAAAAAACCACCAACTTCATTTGGTTAAATTTTATACAGCCATCATGATAAAGAGCTCATTTTACAATTAATCAAAAAATCAGTTATTCATAAATCAACCCTAGAGCACACGAGTATTAACCTAATAACGTAAGTACTATCAAATTAGGTGATAAACTAAAATTAAATACAACTACTAACTGTATACGATCTGATGTCTGTCAAATAGAAGAGTTAAAAGTTTACCTACACAAATACGGTCTAAAATCAATTTAGTTAGGATAAAATAATCCAATTTTTTCATATACATATTATTAAATATGTTCAGCCTTTTTTTTGGACAGTCTCTAACAAAAGTCATGTCTCTTTTTGGTATTTGACCAATTTGGTTCAGCCCATTGTCTATCACCCAGATTAATATACCAGCATTTAGAAATTACTACAATTTATTTACCTGTCTGGAATGCTGCAGTGTTTTAATGGGTAATGATGGTGGCAATTGATTGTTACTTGTAGGCGAGAGAATATTTCCAAATGACGGTACTAACGTTTGTCCAACTGGGGCAACTATTTTTTAATTTGTATGCGTAAAAAAAAAGAAATATATAACACAATACCATTGATTTAATAAATACCGTGTCATTAAAATCATATAATGAAAACTTACATTCATCAAGTTCTAACAACAAATCCACATTGCTTTTAGCTGGTTCTGTTATTTTAGTTTCTTTTTTATTCACGTGGACAATTATTTCTTCGCTGCTGTCACTTTCTACGGATTCACTTTCAGAACTAGATTCATCATTTGAACCAACAAAATTTGCAGACTTTTCTTTCTTCTGTACAATTTAAAATAATTTAAATATGCAATTAAAGAAATAGTTTAAGAATTTATTTTTTCTTATTACTTATATTATAATAAACAAATTCATCCCTCTTAAAATTTTACCTGCGGTTCAATTTTTTCATAACTTGAATCCGATGATGAGTCTGTAGAATCGTCAGATTCATCTGAACTTTCATCAGAATTATTTTCAGAATCTGAATAAAACGTTTTCTTTTTGTTAGCAGTCACCCTCTCAGCTTTCTGTCTCGTGGGATTTTCTAACTCTTCTGGTATAGCTACACAACGAACACTAGAATCTGTTGGCGAATCAGGAAATTGAGGAAGATCTTGATATCCAATTGCTCGACAATTGATGTAATGAGATAATGTACCCATTTGATATTCTTCTCGATCTAAAAAATACAATCAAAATATAAAAAACTAATATTTTTGAACAATTCATTTGGTTCAAATTTGTTTAATAGATAAAATAAAAATGCAAAATAATAACAGTATTTTTATAAATAAATTCAATATAATAGTGTTCAAAAAAATTATGTTAAACTATACAAATAATCTTAATATTTAATAGTTTTAAGAGTAAGAAGTCCAAACTAAAAATTGTATATAAATTAGACTAATTTGTATAATAAAGTAATATTTGAAACTAAAGGTTTCTACTCAATAATAAAACAATTTTGATAAAAATTAAGGCCTACAAAGTTTAAAATAGAAAATATGAATAGCTAAATTATTTTATTGAACATAGATACCTACATACCTTTGTAAAGATGTTTAGAATTCAAATTGTATATAAATTATTGGAAGTTTAACTAAATAACAATGCATTTTTATAATGAAAAAAATATAGGGTAGGTAATTAATTTGTTTTTAAACACAAGGATAAATCATTGTTAATGAAAAACAATTCTGAGCTAAGTTTTATTTGCATAATAGCACTATATAAAAATAATGATCCAAATTTGAAATTTTAACACATGTATGGAAAATTTGCAACTCTTGATTTTCAATCTAAATTTTCATAACTTTTATCAAACAATTTTATCACCATAAAGTTATCATGTCATGTTACAAACAGTTTGCAATTTTATGGGTTATAAAGGATGTGGAAAATTGGTATAACCTGGATAGAAATAAACAAATTAGAGAAAATAGGACATATGATGCTAAAATTAAATTTAAGAAAACTTCTTTTGGACAGAGATTTATGGACTATCTTGATCTAAATGAAGTCCCTAAAAAAAAAATTATTCTAAATCCAAAATGTGCGAAATATTTAATAAAACATTGGTCTTTTCAAAATATAGAATAAGTTTTCTATTTTTATTTTCTTTCTGTACATTTTGTCATGTTTACTTTAAAGTAGTAATTTTAGTAACTTAATTCAAAAATTTATTTATTTAAGTAAATACAATTAATTGAATTTCATTAAGCTTATTTTATTTTAAGTGTAGTATTTTAATTTAAGTTATATTAAGCTGCTCTTATTTAATCTAAATGTTATCTTAAACAATTGTTTGTACTTTTTGCTAATATCTTGTTTTCATGTAAGAGTAACAAATTATTTATATTAGTCTATAATCACAACTTCCTACCTTCACCACAAACATGCTTATAGAAAATAGGTATTAAATCAAAGTGAGAATTGTATACTCAGTGTTGAATCCATGTATTTATAATATTGGATTGTATCTACTTAATTGTATACATATTTTTTCTTTGATTTAATTATAATAATAAAAAAAAGGTAAAGAACACAAACATTTTAAATGACTATAGATAAAAAACTAAAAAGCACTACAATGTTTTAAAAACTGCATCGTGTTTAAAAAGAGCTAATATAAGTAATTTTAGTTCTCTATTATTTTTAGCAAGATTACAATAATGAGTATTGACATGAAAAAGCTAATCCTATTCCATATTTGTTTAAAAACATACCCAGTATTTTTTTAAGTTTTATATAGCTTTTATTAATAACAAAAATGTAATTGTTTGTTTTTTTTTAAGAGTATAAATACCTATATATGACTATAAAATGACAAAATAATTATTGAAATTTACCATACAATGTGTTATTACTTAATAAACAAATTAATTTATTAAAATGTTAAGAAAAAAAAAAAAAGCCACATCATAGAAAAAACAAAACATTCTTTGCTATGCTCAGTGTCTTAAGTATTATATATGTATGAAGAGTGAATGATATGTATTTAAAGAGCTCATATTATATATCTGTAGTTGGGCATCTAGCATTTAATTTTTTTTCATTGCTAAAAAACTGAATATATATACATATAATTAAGTATAAATTACCAACAAAATTGGACTGTAGTAATGGAGCTGGTTTTTCCGCTAAAAATATGTTCTTTGCATGTTTACTTAATATACTATCTTTAAATTGCTCTGGAGGAAACAGTATATTGTTTAAAAATCTTGAACGATCACGAATGTCATAGTTTTGATCATACTTTGCCTGTTTCAACACGTATTGGCAGAGCAATGTAGTCTGTATGGGATTTGTTAAGAATAACTTAACCGCTAAATTCATTATTTGTAATTTCACTATATCTTCCTATTGCACAAAACAAAGGCAAATTAGAATAGCCAACGGGTAACTAAGACATACATTCATATCACAATATGTAAATAAAGTATATATTATTAAACAATTTTTTAACCTCGTCAACAAATGTTTTAGCGACTTTACGAAGAACGTCAGGTGCTATGGTGGAAACCAGTTGAGAGTATTCTCCAAGCAGCCACAAGATGGATGCCCTGGCTTGGGGCACAGCTATGGAGTCCATCAGTCGTGCCATATGTCTTATTATATCGCAGTGAGCTTCGGGTTGGTTTTGTAACAATTTTTTAATGACAACAACACTTTCAGCTACTACCGCTTCTACAAAAAAATCAACATAAAATACATAAAGTATGATCCTTACTTTGGGTGTTTATAGAATTTTAAATGTGCAACACATTTTAAATTACCGTCGCGACTTGATAACATGGACACCAACCCACTAAGACAAGTTTCTGTAACTTCTTTGATATTTGAAGCACATCTAGAACCAAAAATGTAATTAAAGAATTTCAATGGTTTAACATATCATACTACAGACTTAGCATGAATAATTAAATTGAAATATTGTCAAGTTCTTTTATTAATTAATAATGTAAAAATAATAATATTTACAGTTCTTAAACATTCAAATTATCAAGACTTTTTACAACAAATTAAGATTATAAGGTATAAAAATCTATGTATGATGTATATAAGGAAATATTCAAATTTGAATTCTATCATGGTAAAACAGCAGTTATTATAACAGTCAAAATCACGACTTAAATTAAATTACTTTATTGTTGGTTTTAAATTTAAAATAGAAATATATTAGAATGTGTTCAGTCTCCTGTAATGAGCAACCCAAAATACAAAATTGCAGCCTTAATCATCTTCCTAATAGAATCTAGTGGGTAAAATAATGTTAAACAATTTTTTTTTAGACATAATTTGCATACCTACCCACTTCCTTTTAATGATATATAATTTATTAATGTCTTCTGGATGAAAGATAATAACAATAAAAATATAATAGTAATTGCAATACAAGTAATTTAATTTAGTTTAATTAGGTAAATTTTGTTCAAATATTTACTTTACCTTGGCCTAATTTATTATTTAAATAAAATGTTTTATCTATAATTTAATTAACAGGAAACAATAAAATATTATTTTTCCCAATCACATTATTTATTATGTAAAAGCAATTAATTGTTCACTGATCATTGAAGATTTTTTGAAGGCTTCATTTTAAGTGAACCATGAAATATTAATGTGAAAGGATATAGTCAATATAAGACATATTTATCGTTATCACCTTGAATAGCTTATTGGATGAGACACAGACAAAAACAAAAGTAAAATAATTTAAAAGTGTGAAAATGGTGATAATTAGGGCTCAGTTTGTTACTAATTTAATACTTTAAATGCTTATAAAAAATAAATAAATACAAATAAAGAATGAGATTTTGAACTTTTAAAACTAATAGAATAATTAATAAGTGTTGTATGAATAACCTTGTATTAAAACTTAAATTATAATAGGTACCCAAACTAAAAATATAATTAAAAAAAATCTAAAAAGGGCGCTGTGTAATTTATGGAAGTATATTGATATTGAGTAGTCGTGTAATTGCTTTGTAATATTAAAATTAAAACTTAGTTAAACCACAATCCTACATTTTCAAAATAATTTTGTCATTTTTTTTATAAATTTGTCGTTATACATTAATCCGGCAAAACTTGGATTTAATTTACAGCTGTTTACTTCTTATTATAAGAATTTATTCATTCTTTTAGATTCAAGCGAGGGATGTATTGGTTTTACAATGATGTTTGATTTTTTATTTTTTTTATAAAAAATGTGTACAAAAAATCTAACAGAAATCTTACTCCTATTTATCAAATGTAGCACCTTTTCAAATTTATTAATAAAAATAAATAAATAATTTCAACTATTTTTTAATAAGAATTTTAAAATCAAATTTTGATAAAAACCCGAATTACTAAGGCCTTTCATAACATATACAACCGAACTTCGCTAGAAATTGTTTTTTGTTAGAAAAGAATAATCATTTATTTATTATACTTAGTTATTTATTTACTTCATTTAAAATAATTGTCAAAGAGATTTATCAAGGTTTTAAATAAGAGAATAATAATATATAATATTCCACACAGCACTCATATTTTAAAATTGATTTAGTTTACCAATTAACCACTAAATTCTACAAATCTTCCTACCTAAAATTACAAACCAAAACAAACCTAAATGTATTACAAATCTCATCAAATATAAAACCTATTTATTAATCTTACTCAGTATTTTATATATATTTATTTAAGATTTACAACTTATTTATATGAAAATAAAATCATATTACCAAATTAAAAAAAAAAAAACGAAAAAGGTTTTATATTATATCATATAATTTAAAGTTATTGTATGTATTCTTATTATCAATTTTTTTCATAAAGTGTTATACTTGAAAATCGGAGCCAAATTTCTGCTAGAAAAGTTGTTCACAAGAAAATCATCATTATAAAACCAATACATAAATCGCTCCACTCAGAATCTAAAACAAAATTGAAAATGGTTTTATTAATTTTCCCATTCTTTCTACATCTTTTTTCGATTATACTCAATTATTAAAAAAAACTAAAAAAAAAAAAATCAAAAAACAATTATCTCACTAAGCAACAAGATAGAAAATGCAACAAAAAACTTGTCGTTTTTTGATTGAATTAATATTTTTGGTAGAAAACATCATGCTTGAAAAATTGAAACAATGAAATTAGCAACAACACGGTGCACCGTAAAAATTTGCGTTTTACCTATATTTTTTTGTTTTTCACAAATACCATAAAAACTCTAGGAAAATCAAAAAATAACATCTCCAACACACTAACTAGATAAAATTTACTTTCTGAAAGGGTGCTACATTTGATAAATTGGAACAAGATTTCTGGTAGACAAGTTGCTCACAGTAGATCCCACACTATGCTCCAAATCTAAAATAAAACATACATTATATATAGGTTTAAATTTATTCAATTTTGAGATTTATAATTGGAAATTGACAACTGTACTGAAATCTTAACTTCAAACACCCTACAATAGTCCATACTTGAATTCAATTATAAATTAATAATATGTAAAATTAAATATATACAAATAAATCAACTACATCGACAGAATCCATTAACCAGGGGTTTGATACCTATACTGAGGCTTACTACGTCCAATTGAAATATAGCATATGTCTACTCATCAGATTGCATATTTCTGGTAAATATTAGCATTGAAAACATAATCAATGATATTTGCTAGATATACTATATGAAAACTAATTACCTTCCAATAGCTTGAATAGCAGCTGCAACAAATTGTTTATCTGTGCTAGAAATATATGTTTGAACTTCACGAAGTATTGTTGATATACTGGTTTCATTGGCCAAGTTTGTCATAATATCAAGTTTTAATAATTTTATATGTGTAGGATCATTTGATCTAACGAAAAAACTTTTTAAATATGGTTCAAACATACTCTAAAAAAAATGATAAATAAATACATTGATATAATAAAATTAATTACCTTTACAAATAAATAACAAACAAATTTATACCTTCCTGGCTATTGAAATAGATGCAATAGAATTGAGTACAACTGATTGAACTTCTCTGTGACTTCTTAATAAACGAATTAATGCCTTAGCAATGATATTAACCTCAGATTTTGGAGCTAAATGATGATATAACTGTGCAACACTCATCACAACCTAATAAGTACATCAATTAACACTATTAAAATAGTCAAATAAACTTAAATAATAATATTATTCTTAAACTATATTTAATAAAAATTTTAAATTATTATTTACAGCAGCGTTTCGGCTTTGAAACAAAGGCTTAGCATTTCTTAATAGAAGACGATGGTCTTGATCTAATACAGTTGATTTATCATCATCTATACCTGCCTCTTCGCAACTAGATAAATCTGAGTTATCTAAGTTCGAATTTTCAATTTTTGTAAAATCACTGGTGTCCTATAAATATTTAATACATTTTGTTTTAATATATAATATTAATTTTTAATTTTTTCTTACATTTTTATTGGGATTGATGAATTGAGTACGGCCATATCTAGTCAGCATGTTCACAATAATCACCTGCCCCCATTCATCAATATCAACTAACAAATTGCACAGCTTTCTGTATATTTTATGTATAAGATCAATTCTTTCAGGACAAACCTAAATAGATATTTAACTATTTTAATATATTATAATTTATATTATTATTTTTTTTAATAACAATAGCGACAAATAAAATAACTAGTTTAAACTGTCTATATGATAAATAATAAATTAAAAATCAATTAAAAAATGTAATAAAAACTTAAAAACCTCTTCAAATGCCATAACAGTTGATCCAACTACAAGGGTTGATTTATCGGCTAATAGTTTTTCTATTACTGCAATAAGCTCTTCTTTCTGATCAGGGTCCAAACTAAAACAAAAATAGTAAAATAAAAATAATTATTAATTTATATTCTAGTAAAGTGATAATCATAATTTTAAATTTACAATAATATTTATAAGTCAACTAAAGTGCGTGTACTTAAATAATTGTTTAATATTAATAATTACCTGTATAATTTAGGAATTGCGTGTGCGGCAGTTTTACGAACATATGGTGACATATCAGCAGCTGAATCTTTAATGGCTAACATGACAATTGGTACAATCATTACAACTCTAATACTCGATAACACTCTTAATGCTGATGCTCGTATTAATTGATTGGGATCCTAAAACAAATACAATATTATATTAATTGAACAATAAATAAAATATAAATCACTACATGTATAGATTAGAACAATTACATATTATATTATATCGCTGTAGATATTACCTTTAAAGCTCTTTGAAATGTAGATATAGATAAAAGTGCTAAATCTTGCTGCTGTTCAGCATAACGGACAAGATATACATATACCAATTTTTTTACTTCAATGTTTTTAGAGACAACATTTTTAACAACAGCGGGAAACAATTCTGATGCATCTCTACCTTTAGCAATCATCTAAAAAACGTATAATGACTATTGTAATACATAAATTATGCAATAAGAAAGTATCTTACACCAATAATTCGTTTCATTGCTTCTAATTTTGGTCCATCCTTTGCAGAGTCTAACATTTGTTTCAAATCATCATGCCTAGTTGAAAATGGTTTTACTTAAATTTATATATTTATATCACTATAAATACCAGTATTATTATTACATGTACAATAAAAACGTATGCTATAAAAGTTATTTAGAATAATTGGTAAAGTTGCGATATAACTAACAAATTATAAGTTTCATTTTTTATTTTTTTATTTTTACTAAAAACTTTCAAATAAATATATTTATATACATCAAAGAACTAAAGTAAAATCAATCTACTTGTTCGATTTCGAATGAAAATATTTCGTTTGTAAACTAGAGATTAATAAAACTTACTTCTTATAATCTGATACAAAAAAGGAAGACAATCCGCCTGATGCTGGATCGCTTGCATAATCCCCATCACCAGTTGTAGATGATGAAAGGCCATTCTTGTCATACATTCCATTTGTACCACTCGACATGTTACTATAACTCTGGGGTGAAATTGAAAGCATGGAAGATCTTGGTAATACGTGAATCATAGTAATAATAGTTCATAATATTTTAACAGTTAAAGGAAATACATGAAGTTATAACTTACAGTTGCTGAGGATGAATTCATGAAATGTGATTTATAGGAATTAAGTAGTAGTTAATCCAATTACTTCAAAATAAAATAGTTGGTGAAGCTTAAAAGCTTAAAAAGCAAGTTGTAGAAGATTGTATTTAAACCTTGCACGGACGGTGCAAGATACCAGAAAACAGGTGAACTTTAAATTATGACTATTGTCTTATCACCATCATTGGCAATTGAAATATATAAATTGATAAGATTGACCAATCGGAATATGCCTTAATAATTTTTATCATAGAATAAAAACAAAACATGAAAGGTAACTTCAAATCAAACTTAATAAATCCATGATCCATAATCGGTAATCCATAACTAATACCTAGATATCTTACTCTAAACAATAAAAAAAATAAATTATGTTCCTTTTAATAATTCGGCATTGACAAAGTCGATTTTTGATATCTTAAGTAGTTTTCATAATAATTTGGAAAAACCAAAAAATTAAAATTGATTAATATTTAGGCAACGTGGCGTACCGGTTTAATTATATTAATTTTTGCAAACGATGTTTTTCACCAGAAGTCCTATTCCAATTGAAAAATGACAAGAGATCAATTTTGTTCCTTTTAATAACTGGGAAAAACTAATAAAGACAAAAATTACGGCACGATTTCATTATTTTAAATTTGTACTGCTTATGTTTTCTCACAGAAAAATTGTTCCAATCGAAAACTAACAGAAAATCTTTTTTGTTAAATTTTTAATCTAGTTGGTGTGTAAAAAAATAGTATTTTGATTTTCTTCATAGTTTTTTAATGATTGAGCAAAACCGAAAAATAAATAGAAAACGGGGAAAATAATTCTTTTATTATTTTAAATTATATTTTTTCAATGTAATTTAGTTAAAAATATTCGTAGAGACTTAGATTAATAATAACAACTTATTCTTCTTTTACCTAGACATGATAAAATTTTCAAAACATTTGATCCATTTTTGAGCTCTTTATAGACATTTTAATTTTGCAAATTTTTACTTAATTTTTATTTGGTAGATAGTCGGTGGATAAAATTGTTAGAAAAAACATAAATGTTTAAAAATATGACAGGTTTATTATAAGTCGTACTTAGTGGCCAAAAAAAAAAATAGAATATAATGCAGTAGGTACTACTATGTATGTATTTTTAATTAGAATTTCAAAATGTCAAAAATCGGCCTTTCCAGACAATATTTAAAACCGAAATTTGCTCCCAATTGTTTTTCGTTGCCAATGGTTTATCTTAGTCAGAATTCCAACATTCGCAACCAATGCCCGGCGAAGAGTGATCACGAATTATTGATGAGAAACTATGAAAGTTTTGTCCACAACTTTCACAAATTTATTTTGCTTAGCTTCAGTTGTCTATTATAACATTTGTCCAATGTTGTTAAGGAACGCGTTCCTAAAGAAGTGACTTCTGAAATGTTTTCTTTTTTAGAGAAAGAATGAAGGAATTAATAATATTAATTTTTAAATGCATAGAAACTTAAATTAATTATTTTAATATTAAATATTATAATTTATTTGTTCTTCTATTAAATGTGTTCTAAAACACATTTAGGAAGAAATATGCCATTTGTCAAGTTTTGAATCTAATATATAAAACTCTTTCAACCAATTTTTTGTTGACATACGACTTGGTGTTCTAAAGCGAATTAATTAGTTTCAAAATAAGAATATAAAAAAACTGTTTTAGACTGCATTAGGAACACTTAAGTTCATTCATAAAGGAATTCCTAAATAAGTTAATAGTTCTTTTTTTTTTGAGGAACGAGTTTTTTTTTAAATAAGGATCGAAGAAAGGGAACGACTTACTTTTTTGCAATAGGAATAAGGAATGGGAAAAAATTTCTTTTTAAAAAGAAAACACTGCATTTTTAATTCAAATCAGTAAAAAATGATCGAATAGATTGGTATACTTTACATCACTTTTTTGAACAATATAGTAAACATAATCTTTATGTATTTCATCCGAATCCCTTTTATTGTACCTTTTAGATTCTGAGTGAAGCGAGGATATTGGTTTTACAATATTTATTTTTTTTCTACTAGCAATTTTGCTCAAATTTACAATGATAGCACTTTTTCTGAAAGAAAATCCGTCTTAGATAGTACTTTAAGGAGGTCATTTTTTATTTTATTTTATAACTGGAAAATGGATACAATATTAAAAAATATTATTAAAAGGAAATATATAATGCATATGTATTACGTAATACTTTTACCATAGTGACATTTAAATATATATTGTTATATCTACTACCTTCCCAACTTCTCACTCACAAGTTACAACAGTGGCTGCACTCATGTGTGAAGTATGTCAGTCTTTCCTTTTTCTGTTTACACCGACAGCAGTGAGGAATCTGTTCTCACAATACTTCCCCACTGCTGCCAAAAGTTAGGCTATCTAGGTCGTATAGTTCAGAGTGTTGGGCAGTAGACAAAAAAATAGAACAGAGAATAAGTGTAGCAGATAAGAATGCTTAGGTGAATGAGTGGAATAACAGTGGAAGATAGGATAAGGAATGAGTACATATGAGGTAGCTTTGATAGTGGACAAAATGAGATAAAATAGACTTAGATAGTATCACAGGGAGTCGAGAATTATAATATCAAATAAACGTAGGGAATCAGAAGGTGGAAAAGAAGTTCAAAGGAGTGGGTTAGATACAATTAAGAATGATATGAGGACAACTGGTGTATGCGAGATTGGAGATTGGGACAAATGGAAGTTTAGAACAAGGGTGGTTAACCCCAAATATTTGAAGAGGAAAGAGAATAATAATTTAGGTATTGTGCTAATAAACATTAAATAAAATTCTTCCAATTTTAACAGCTGTCAACAAGGAAATATAATTTTGACAAGCCTAATAATACATATACTATGTGCAGCTCGTTAATTGATTTCAAGGCTGAAATTCATTTGTGCATCAATATATAGTAAGGCTAGCACATTAAATTAATGAAAAAAAATTATAAAATATTGTTTTTCAGTAAAATTGGTTTCAAAACTGAAAATAAATTCCAACCTAACTAAATTACATTTTGTATAATTATTAAATTATTAGCTGTATTATATATTTATTTTTGAAAGTTTATGTAGGTAATAAATTTATATTTTAAGTTATTTTAATTTTCCTAATATTTTTGGGCTAGTTGCACTAATGAATTTTATTAGGGTTAATATAAAGATAAATTCATTTAAATTTTATATCATCATCATGACAAAACACAATGTAACCAAATAAATTTGAAAATAATAATAATTGTAATATTGTACATAAAAGTTGTATTAACATTATAATGCTCATAACTCACATTGATCACAGTCCAACTATATCTTTTGGTTAAATTATTTTTCCTTTAATAATGTCTGATATCATGAGGTCAGAAGTGTATGTCTGTTTATTGTATATTGTGGTTTTATGTTGTGCATATAATGTAACCTTTAAATTTACTGATAGCTGTATAAAAAAATGCCACGCATATATAATGAAAAGTACTGATAAAAATCAAGGTTAAAGAATGCAGAACCTGGTACGAGTAATGTATTATAATTTATAATACCAAAGGTTGTAAAAAATCTTATATAAATGAATTGATATTAAAAAAAGGCAAATTCTTCTTTTGTTTAGGTTTTCATTGTTTTCAAAAATTAATAAATTCAATATATGATTCATCTTGAGTATCATTAGTAGTATTTAACTGACTCCTTATTTATAATTTTAATATTAAGTATTAGAACTTTTTATTGTTCCATAAATTGTTAAATAAGAATACAAGTTTAATTTAATACAGTTGATTTATCTTCTACGTAAACTCTTCAAAACAAGATAAATTAAAGTATTATCAAAGCTCAAATTTTTAATTTGTGTATACCTACTCACATCCAAAAAATAGTTATTGATAAATTGAGTATGGTCATATCTAGTAAACATTATTTGAAATTACCATTTTGAATAAAATCGTCAAATTGCATTTTAAAATGTATGTTTCTTTTCTTCTGTCTTTTTTAAAAATTATGAATTATTAACTCATTAATATTAATGATATGTTTAAGAGTACTGTTATTCAAATATAAACTGAATTTTGATCTTCAATTTTTTTTTTTTTATTGTATTTAAATAAGAAAAAATATATGTTTAAAATATAATAAGATGCATTTTGTATACATTAGTTTGAAATCATCATAGACTTCTATAATAGTTAATAGCAATATAAAATATATAATATAATATAGTATGTAAATTTAATATTTATGTTAGTATAAAAATGTCTATTTAAAATAAATTTTCAACAGCTAAGAACTTCACAAAATAGAAGTAACATAAAAAAAGTATACAATACAAATATTTGAGAAAAAATAATTATTATTTACAAGTTATAACTAGAACAATTTCTTGAATATTTTACATATTTGATTTATGAAAAGTATCCTATATATAGTTATTTACACATGATGTATACGTTTTAGTTAAAAAAAAATGTCTTTATTAAAGTAAGACATTATAGAATCAAAAAAATGAATATTATGGAATTAATTATTAAAATTGTGTAACCAATTTAATATAAATTCAGAAAAAATATATAATTAGTAACAAATTGTGTATAAATAATTAAAACAATCAGATGAAATACTAAAAATAATAGTTTCCATTTACATCTTAATTATATACACATAGACAGATAAATTACAGATAAATAAATTTCTCAACTGTAACAATTAGTTATAACAACATACAAAAACAAAACAATATTTTATTTTTAGTTACTAACCAGTGAATACCAGATTTTTGTTCATTCTCCCATAATCAATTTGTATAGTTATGATAGGCTTCAGCACAAACCAATTTGTTCCTCGAATGTCAGAACTTTAATTCCTTAATAGCTTGTGGAATATCTGGAAGTTTCATATCCTTCAACTGTTGAGGTATATTCATATTTTTCATAGCAGACACTGCTCTAGATGGTGCACCAGCTAGACCCGCCTAAAAAATATTTTTGAATTAAGGTATCAATTTAATTTTAAATTATTTTAATGTAAATACAAATATTCTCACTTCTTGCTTCTCTAATTTGTTTTGTTCTTCAATCCTTGAAAGTATTTCAGTCATATTAGTTTCTAAAACCATTCCACCCATTACTAATTCATTTAAAATATAATGAATCTAGAAAATAAATATTTGATATTTTAGGAACATAAATCAATTTTATAAAATTCTTGTACTTTAAATATTATATAATAAGTTTGCTAGATTTGGTTAAATTTAATATTTATAATAATCATATACCTACAAATAATGACATCATACATAATTTATATGAGCAAGAAATAATACAATTAAGTTTTACCTAGGTATTACTAAAAATAATGAGTGTATGGATCAAATTACCTTATCTACATGGAATATAAGATCAAGCTCACAAACGTTTTCAAAACATTTATCGAGTGTTTCTACAAACACTTGTATTAAGTCAAGAATACCAAGTTCTGATTCTGAAGAGTCTACACAAAACACAAAATAAAGTGTAGCATAATGACGATAAATCAGTTTGTAATCAGATCCTCCAATAAGACTAAAAAAATAAATAAGTATATATTCTTTTAATAAAATCAAGCTATCACTAATAATTAAAATTATCTATTAGGTACTGATTGTACTTATTGTGAGTTCAGTAAAATATTTTAATTAGCATATTACCTTCCACCTTCAAGAAAGTTGCAAACATTATCATCTCGTTTAGAAACTAACTGAAATGTTTCCTTAATAATTTGTTGCTGCATGTCTTCATTCTATTGTTATGTAAAGACATTTCTTGAAAAAACCATGAATATAACGTTTTTAATTTAATTTCTAGAATACTTACAAAATATTGATAGAATTTGGAAAGTCTAGGCTTTCCATAATTGTTGAACACCAATATTGCTTTGATCATAATTATTATTTATTTTAAAAATTTTAAATTGATACTAATGAAATATTGGATTAAATTCGACCACGAACCAATTATTAAGACATGTATTATCATTTTTATTAGGTAGACAATGTTTTACTAAATAAACTAGTTAAATGAAATGTCATATCTATTTTAAAGTACAAAATTAATTCCAATCAAATAATCCAATTATCGAAAGTCAAATTACAAGTAATACAATTCAAGACAATCAACAAATTATAAGTATTATAAGTCCATAATCCGCTACTTCATAAAAAAAAGTACATGTGTTATCAATACTTATCAATAAATGTTTTAACAGTATAGCCATTTTTCGAAAAATGTAATCGCTTATCTCGTCTAAATTTAAAATTAAATTCATTTTAGATTCTGAGTGGAACGAGGAATGTATTGGTTTTACAATCATGTTTATTATTATTTTTTTTATGTGAACACTTTTTTTACCAGAAAGCATACTCCGATTATCAAGTATAGCACCTTTTCTGAAAGAAATGTTCTCTGGGTGGTACTTTAGAGAGGTCATTTTTTTGAAATTCTCATTAATATTCAAGATAATGAGTAAAACCTCGATCTTTTGGTTAAACAAAATTTAAAGGTTAAAAATAACGTTATCGTTGGCAACTGTATTTATTTATTTTTTGTTTTTATTATTTTAATCTTTTTTGAACAATTATTGTTGTCATGGGAACGCACATTGTTTTAATCATTTTACCATAATATGACATAATACTATATATTGTATTGTTGACAAAGCAACATTATCAACTGAACTCGGCTCAGAATCGTTTTATCGTTAGCAATAGTTTATCCTTGCATATATTAAATACCCGTCTGTAGCCTACCTTCCCAACTTCTCACCTACAACAGTGGCTGTACCCACGTGCGAAGAATGTCCGTTCTTTTTAATAATAATTAATTTTTATAATTTTGAACGAACTATAAGACACAAAATAATTTATCTTAGATCCAGACCGTAAGCGCGGAATGTATTGGTTTTAAAATGATGTTTATTTCTTTGGATTCTGAGCAGAACGAGGAATGTAGGTATTTTTCTTTTTTTCTTATCTGTGAAAAACTTTTCTACCAGAAATTATCTTCCGATTATCAAGTGTAGTGCCTTTTCTGAAAGGGGATTTTATCAGTGACTATTTTATTCGGAAATATTTGACAGAAAATATAGTATATTCACGAAAATAATTTTTCAAGCAGAATAAGAAGAATGTTTAGAAAAATATTTTAGTTGAAAAATAATTTATTAAAAACGTATTTTGTTAGAAAATCAGTTTTACTGAATACAAATAGAGCATTAGAAATAGAGCCCACTGTTTTAGAGCGTTTGTTTTGCACAGTGTAGATTAATGATATTGACTAATTAATAATTAATATTTATAAATCATATACTTAACTAATTCAATATAATTAATACATATTATATAATACAGTATATAAATTGACATTGAGTAGATAAATAAGATGTAGATGTAAATTAGTTTTCAAATATGAAGCTACGTATATATCCACTTAAAAATTTAAAAGTGGCCATACATAGATAAAATATATAATAGTATATTAATTAATATATGCCTCAAGTGAATAAAGAAATATCCTAGACAGTTACCGTTCGGTGTCCCGAAACGAACGAATTCCCGTCCGTCTTTTTTTTTTACTATGTAAATAATTTTTCAAGTGTAATATGTATTTTTTTAATTCGTAGAAAAAACCTATCGAATAACATTTTGACAATCCGGGCAATCATAGAGTCATTGGAACAACCTACTCCGGGTGAAATAATAATCCAAAACTATAAACTTATTAATGGTATTTTATATAGGTTGGTCCAAAAAGCTACGGGGCCACTGAATCTATAGATGGTGCCCAAAAGTATGTGCAAAAGTCCAGCAGTAAAATTTCATGACCTAGGAGGACACTTCGCAGTCGATCGCACAGTAGCCAAAATAACTGGGTGACACTACTTTCCAAGAATAAGTACCACGGGTTAAGATACCACTAAATACACTAAATATTTTTAATCGTGATAAGTACCTACCGAGGTATTTTCGTACTTTATACGTGTCTCCAATTTTATCTTGGTGGTACTCTAGTTAAGTAATTTTTTGTTTTTCTATAGGGTTTTCGTAATAATTGGGAAAATGTAAGTACATGCATAAAAGAAACTTCGTTCCGAATCGTTTTTCGTTAGCAATGGTTTATCGTTGCGTACAGATATAAATTAAATTTCCCTGTATAGCCTACCTTCCCAACTTCTCAACTAGGTACAACAGCGGCCCACCCATCGTGCGAAGTATTTTCGTATTTTTGTCATGATTATATACGTACTGGATGAAATATAACAAGCGACCGTTTCGAGAGTACGCATATTTGCAAACGCGCCCGGCAACCGTCAACATACTATTATAATATCATTGTAACATATTATAATAGTTTAGTTTTTATTAGATTATTTAATTCATTTTAATAAAAAAATTCTCATTAATATATCAATCAACCACTATCAACTTATTATTAAAGATGAGCGACTGCCCACAATACAATGAAGAGGTACAAATATCAAGCAAGCCTAACACCGGCCAATATAACCACACAATTATTATTAAATATTATTATTGTACATGATATTTAATAAGTAAATTTTATATTTTAGTGTTTCAAAATGCGGAACGCTATTCCGAAAAGCTGTTTGTGCAAAAACACTAAGGTTCCAGCATACGATATGAAAGTTAGATATTTTTCAAATTATATATTTTTTTAATCTTTCGACGGGAATTGAGCAATCGATGTCCCCTACAACCTGTCATCAAGTTTACTATAATCCCAACGAAATCAGCGTATTTGGACTTTATAGAAGCTTAGGTTTTCGACAGACTGATGCTACCGCTTGCGTAGTCGGTTTTTGGAGACCGGTCATTATTTTGATAATTGTATAACATTTCCTATCGAAAAGATTTTTCTATAAAAATATGTACGCATCGAAATTATAAATTAATCAATACGTATATGCAAAAAGGTTTAATAAAATAACACTAATTCCGTGATCGCTCTATTTCCAGCGTGAAGGTTATGAATATATACAACCGAATCGAAGAGAACCCATTAAACCAAAAACTGTAAGTACCTACATACAATAATTTTTTTTTTTTCTATTGCATATAAAAAAAGTTAGGTATGGTTAAAAACTTGTCCAGAAATGAAAGAATCATTATTAAGCAAATTAAGCATTTTATTATATAGGACTATTTTCTAGTGGTTTTCACCAATATATTTTTGTATTAATACATCCTTCTTTTTTACTTGTTTTATTGATTTCTCAAAAATAAATATTCCAGCTTTTACATAAGCTATACATAGGCTGTACTGTCTCACATCAGTAGATTTCTTGGCCCACTTCGTGAAACTCTTATTATTAATTTGGGCTCCTCAAAGAAAATTTAAATTTAGAAACTAATTCTAATTACATGAGTTCCTGTTAAAATTAAACATAATAGGTACAGTAAAACTTCCATACAACGGTCACCGGAGGGACCGGAAATAATGACCACTATTTAAAGGTAACTAAGGACAGTTGTCCTTTAGAGCCTTTGAGGTGTACTATGGAGGCATAACAATAAATTACTTTTTAATAAAATAAAATCTGGTTGAAAATTTATTAATTGTAATTTGGAAAATTTAAATAAGTAGGTATTTTAATTTAAATCTTAATGTGATAGAATTAAAATTAATTTGGTTTTCTTTTTTCAATAAATATAATTTGTATGTATATATTTTATGCATGGTAAAGAAATTAAGTCTTGAGTGGCATATGGACGCTGTATAGGTAAAAATATAGGTAATTGTTTTTAAGATGCTATAACTCGCTAACCTCTAAGAAGTATCTACATATAATTACTTTTTAAGTGATTATCTTGGAAAGTGTAGGTATAGTCTGTGATAAATTTTTAATTTATCAAAACATAATAAAAGATAATTTTTAATACTTACCTATACACTTTTATTCTTCTCCTTCGCGTTTATACCAACTAACTTGGAACCGGCCACTCTCGTCTTACAAAAAGAATATAGCTATTATACGTTTTCGGCTATTTATAAATACATTTGTGTTAGATTGAGGTGTAGTATATAACTTGAATTTTCAACCTCCACCTCTTATATATATATATATTATTATCGTTATGCAGAATAGTTATAGAAGCGACGAATGTTTCGCTAAAGAAACAGTGTACAGCTGTTCTTTTGTCCGACCACTGCCGGAACCACGAAAAAAGCCGATCGTCCACAAAGATCATATTACCATGGCCGGCGAAATTCAAACAGAAACTGAACAACAAGTTTGTGATGAAATTTCTGTTTAATAGAACCCACTAAATACAATCGGGTGCTGTGCGAATTATTATTATAGGCGTTAACTTTTATTTGTTGTTCCTGCAGTTGAGTTACAAAGTAAAGTGTGTGCCAGTAGTTAAAAAAATTATTCCTAAAAACCACAATCTCGGAAGCAAAGGACACATGATATTTAAAACTACCATGCGGGATGATTACAATTTACCGTGCTTTAGGGAACGTGAACAACAAATTATACCGAAAGAAAATCTTTGTATATATTCCTGTCCGATGGAATCAAAAACCACCACTGGTTGTTCGTACACACCGATATGTGCCAACCCGGTAGAAAATTACAAACCGGATGAAAAGTACGCATATATTATTGTGTATCTAATACTTATAACGGTTTTTTCTTAAATCTAATCACCAACCAGAAATACTAACTAGATCCAAAATGTTCTCTTGGTGTTTTTCGAGTAAAGTAAGATTTTTGGTAGAAAAATTCAGACACAACAAATTCACACATAGGTACCTCTATAATAGTAAATATAATAGTATAAAAGTAAATCAAGTATAGTAAATTATATGTACAGACGTTTATTATATATTTTAAATATAATCTAGTTACATTTAATGTAACCCGACATGGTTATTTTGTTTTACCTAAAATTAGTTTCAGATTCGCTACTGGCCTGTCTGAATCTAGTATTATTATTATTTTGAAAACTGAAAACTCCAGCTAATTTAGACAGTTTATGTAAAAAAATTAGACAGAAATTGTTTTATTAACACAATTTCTGTTTTTTTTATATTTTAGAATATCTAACCAATCATCGATTGCCTCTTACTTTCTTTTATATTGTTCAGTTACAATGGATACTATTTTATATCTTAAATATTTCAGATTCGTTCAGAATATGTGATTTTTTCTGTTTGAACAACTTATTTTTCTTATTTTCCCATTTGTCTATGGGCCTATAATGATCCCAGTACCTTTGTAAAAATATCCAAGGTCGAATAGGTACCTTTTCATTAAGTTTTCCAAATTATATCACCATAGGTAATCTAATCCAATCTGGTGACAATGAAAACATCGAAAACTGACTAGATTGGGAACTAATGTATATATTATACGTTATCATGTTCGTTGTCGTTTGTATTTTGTCTATTTATATTATTTTTAGTTACACCTCACCTGAAGGAACGATGGATTTGAACACAATACAACGTACAAGCTACCGTCAAGTTGACTTACCAAAAAAAGAAGAAACCCCATGGGCAATAAAACTAGAGTATTGCAAGCCGAAGACCGAGCTTAACGCCACTACTGTGTATAACAATAGGTAACTTAATAAAATGCAATAAATATAAGCAGTGGTTAGGGAAGTTAATTTTTTGTTGTATTGCAACTGCATGACTTTTTTTGAACAAAAATTTAACTATTTACGCTACAACCAATGCTACTTTTTTTTAATGTAGTACGTCACTATAAAATTTAAATCTTAAAAAGTAACTCGCTACAATTTTTTTTATTAAAATAATACATGGGTGTTAATGAAATGTATTACTGCGTAATATGACTGGGTAAAATGTACGTAAGTTCAGAATTTAATATTTTAAAATACCTATGTATCACCTCAATAGCATTATCTAATAAAATTTAAAACTGACTCAAATTAATTCCATACCAACCATACCGTATAAATATTATATTCATGGTCATAGAGTGCACATTCTGAACAATAATAATATTATCATATTCTATGATAATTATCTATTAACACATCTATGCTAATTATAGTTTTGTCTTTATTTTATTATTTGTATTTATATTTTAGTATAATACCGGGGCATGTGTGAAATCTCGGGGGGTGTAAGGGGTGCACTTTCACCCATTTGTGGGATGCAATACTATCATTTTGTACCCCCACTAATCGAAAATAAACCCTGATTTGTTATGCAAAACCACGTCTGGTAGTATTTCATTTCGTGTGAAGTTTGTTAATAAGCGATCGGGTCGGGTTTTCGATAACATCTATTATCATTTTTCGTACAAATGATATTCACCGCTTATAAATGGGGATTGTGATACCACAAAATAGATTAATGATGATACTAAGTAAATACGAGGGTAAAACGTGTGTAAAACCACGTGTAAAATATTTACAATTTTTTTGTTTTGACGTTTTTTTTTTTGGCATTTTAATATGATATCCTTAAATATAGATACTAATATTATTAACTTAATACTATTTTTTTCCCAATATATTATGCATTATATTTTTGAAAAATGTTAAAATTTGCATAATAAACAAAAATATTCCGACTATTCAAAAATATACAAAATCAAAATGTGTATATCAACATATTAAGCTAAGGTTCAAATTTATGTCAAGCTACTTTTTAATCTGATAAATGAAAATATGCAAATGCATACAATTCCGGGCCCTATATTAATCATTTATTGACAGTCACTGCACCGTGCAAATGGCTACTTAACCTGTCACACATATATAACCTTTCTTTTTTATATGACCGTTAATTATTGAAAATTCTTACTACATTTTAAAACCGAATTTAAAATTATTTTTTTTTTAGGTGATATAAACAATATCTCTACCAACTAAATTACTTGTTTATTTTTAATATTCACTCTCACGGTTTCACCATTTTGTATAATAATAACCATGCTATGCATAATGTTATCAACAAAAGCTTTTCCCGACCACTAAACACTGGTGTAGTCGAGGGTATACGGTGTATAACAACTTAATTTTTTGGTACTTATTGTATTATGTGTGATACGCAAGTATACCCATAGAGACGTATATCAATTGCACATCACGAGTTGCAACGGCCCAATCCAACCAGATATCATCAAATAATATAACTAAACATATCTACTTGATTCGCCAAATAAAATATTTTAAAATAACTATTTAACTAATAAGTACTAGATAACTAAAACTAATACTATAATAAATAATGTATACAACTTTTGTATTTACTATTACTTTAATAGATATAGGCATTATAAAACATAGAAAAAATACTTTATGTTTACAAACTGTATTTACAAAGAATTTAAAATATTTTATTTACAGCTATAAGAAGCCGGGATATTACGTGAACATGGAAGATTGTAACTACCAAATTGATTGAGAATATTGTAGCTATATCGTTTTTTATTAATATAAATGACATTTAACTGTACAAGAGGAATTAAATGTTTTATCTTAAAACTAATAGGTAATGCTGGACTCAATGTGTGTTTTGTTGATCCCGAGGTCATATAAGATATACGTATTCTATAAACAACATTAAACTCAATTCATTTACTTCAATTTACGACTTAGGAATAACTTTAACAAGCAATTAAAATTTTTTTCCGCACAAAAAATCTCTACATGTCTTAGTTTTGTTAAGCTCTTCGGATTTTAAAAATTTGTAATCATTTATATACTAGAAAATTACCATATTCATAATGAACTGAAAAAAAATAATTTCAATAATTTATTAAATGTTCAAGCAAATTTTAAAAATGATATTTTATTTTCTTAATTACATAAACTTAAAGACTTAAAATCCATAAATAGATGAAGTGTTAGTTAAAGTAAATTTTAGTGCTGATATTTTCTGTTAAGCCATTGATGAGATATTCCACTTTTAAGTTTGGGTTGAAGGAGAGTAGTGGAGTATCATTTGTGTGGCAGTTAGGTTAAGTTAAGTTTTATACTCTCCTCCAACCCAAACTTAAAAAGTGGAATATCTCGTCAACGACTTGAAAGAAATCAAAAATATCAGCACTACAATTAGAATACAAACTTCAAATAGTTGATCCATATTATAAATGAATCTAACTATAAAGCACAATAAAGGAGCTTAAATGATTATATAAAAAAAAATTGACATAAAGTGTATAATAAGTTTTATTTCACAACTAATTAGTTTCAGCTTACGCCATCATTAGGTTGCTGATAAACAATGTAATTAAATGGTTATCATAATATGCATAAGTTAAAAAAGTAACAATATAAGTTTACTAAGACTTATAGAGATTTTTTGTACAAAAAAAAAATTTTAATTGCTTGTTAAAGTTATTCCTATGTCGTAAATTGAGTTTAATGTTGTTTATAAAATACATATATCTTATATGACCTCGGGATCAGCAAATTGAAAATAGCACTGAAAAGAATCAAGGTATCTATAAAAACTTTTAATACTTTTTCAACTTGGTAAATACATTTTGATGTAAATTTACATTTTACAAGAAAGAAAAATCAAAAATGTGTTGAACCAAACAAATTTTTTTTCTTAACCTATAGATAACGTGTACTCTATAATTTTTCATTATATTTTATTCTATAAATAAATTAATAAATTAATTAATTAAAGCGTCACCTAGAGTATTATGAAATGTGTATTGGTATGACCGGTTTCAAATTAAAAATTTGTTGTCAAGTAGAATCACGAAGTTAAAAAGTAAAACGTGACTCCTTTCCTTTTCTTTATACAAAAAAAATAAAAAATAAAACATACAGTGTAATAAAATCAGTATAGATCTCTTGCTACTCTTCGTATCTAATAGGATATTGTTAAAATAAATATTTTATTTAAATATATTAATTACCATCTTAAAGATAAGAATTACCTATCTATTTTTCTACTGCTAATACCCAACTAGGGAAAGGGATACGGCTGTTTTTACGAACGAAAATGACAACACGGAAGTAGGGATAATATTGTCCAGTTGTTCGGTTGTCATCTTAATGTAAGGTATAAACGGTATAGTTGTGTTAAAATATGCAGTAGGTTGGTACCTATCCATATATAATATGTATTATAAATACCTACCATATGGTATATAATATGTATACCTACACCATTTAGCGTCATATATTATAATATAGCCGGAAACCGGATGCATTAGGTATTTTATTATTTTACAGGTATATTAAAATTTAAGTATAGATAGATAATAGGTACCATATCCGATAATTTTAATATAAATGTCAATAGATAAATTATAACCGGTATTAGGGACTGATTAAATGTATAACGGAAATGCGTTATAAGAATTTTACTGTTGGAACTACGAAATTGTTATTGGTTTATAATAGACACACATTTAGATTTAATAGGTAAGTATTTAAACAGCTTGGACGACGTATTATACTTAACAAGTTCCGGATATTCCTACCTAATACCTAGGTATGCCTAATTTTGTTTATCCTATAATAATATGTATAATGTATATTATATTGATGTATTTTATTTAAAAAGAATCAAACGGACATGATTCCCACGACGAGTGGACCATTGTTGTAAATTGGGAAGGTAGTGGGGAAATTCTGAGCAGAGTTCGGTTATACATATTTTGAAAGGCCGTAATATTTATGATTTCAAAATAAAACTTTTTGTACATTTACCCTTTTTTCCATTAATTATAAAACCAAAAAGTGACCTCGCTAAATTTCCACCCTAGTCAAATTTCTTTTCATTAAAAGTGATACACTTAAATTTATGTGGATAATACTGTTTTGACAGAGCATAAATACTTTACAATTTTACATGAAGTTCATCACAAGTTGTATTTTATGACAAAAAAAAGTTGAGCGTATAATGTAGTAGTTTTTTTTAAACGCTAGAAATTTTTTTTTATTATGGTTTTAAGATAAAAAAGTGTGTCGAAAAAAAATTGTTTGCATTCCCCTTTTTTAAACAAAGAAAAAACAGGTATTTTGAGCGTACCTAGAGACACAAGCTATCGTTCCTTCGGACTATTTTAATCGCAAAATACCCTTCGATTTGTTGTGCAAACTTTTCTTCTAGAAATCTTGCTCCGATGTATCAAGTGTAGCTTATTATCTAAAAGGAAATTTTATCTCCGTGGTAATTTAGGGAGACCATTTTTCGATTTTCTAAGGAGTTTTCTCAGAAAATGTGAAAAACCGGTAAAAACATAGGAAAACCAGGAAAATCGGTACTATATTAAACAAATATTATTAAAGAAAATATATAATGCACATTTAATTATTTTACTATAATATGACATATATATTGTTGACAAAGTGTCACTATCAACTGAACTGCGCTCAGAATCGTTGTTTCGTTAGCAATGGTTGATCGTTGCTTACAGATATATATTAAATTACTTAAAACAATGGCTACACCCGTCTCCATTATCTTAGGACGTCCTTTTTTCTCTTATTTTTATCCAAATATTAAAACTTAAATTTTTAAATTCAGTATCTTTTGATAAAAATTACAGTATAAATGTATTTAAAAATTTAAATGTGAGATTTTCTCTTCCCTCCCCTGAAAAAATGTCAGCGACCAAAATGTGGCCATGCCTATTATACAATGTATATTCGCTTTATTTTATATCTATTACTGGACCCACATTTTAAATAAATAGCTGTACTTATAACATTCGATTAATATTGTATTCGTAATACGTTTAATCTATTTCGGTAATCGGTAACAGATTTGTCATTTTTATTTGGACACACATATGACTTATTGTCACGATTATAATATATTGAGTATATACGAAATATAACTATGTGTAATATACAAATGCTTAAAAAGATAAAAAGAAAAGTATTGAAAGGAAATTATAAACGCATTGAAGTCTCGCGGCTGTGAACCCACAAATATAATGGGCTTTATATCATTTAAATAACGAACATATGAACGCTATAGCCGGCATATATGAATTTAATAAATTGTATTCTAAAATAAACAATGCAATTTAATGTATAAAATCTTAAGTGTACGCAGCGATTATAAATAATATATTTTAAATTGTTAATGCGAAAATGGCAATATTAGCAATAATTACCCAACAAAGCGGGTAGCTATTATATAGCTGTATGTAAGGTACTTATAACTATATATACTTACCAATACAGATTTCCATACGAAAATTCCACCACTAAACCGGATCTATACAGTTTGTCGTGGAGGAATAAATAGCTATTAATTATCCATTAGGTATTGTGAGAAACCAGCAAAACCTTTTGCTGTAGTTTACATTTACTTTTGAAAACACAATGACAATTACCTATTACCTAGGGTCTACCTATAATCTCAGCGCATCAGTCATCAGTACACCACTACGCCACTACATCAGTAGACATTTACTCATTCACTGTGTCGTTCTTCAAACGAATTATTTCGAACATTTTGCATCGCGAATTTGGGCAGTTCCTTGCAGACATTTCCCCATAACCGGCATTACCATGAACTCTTCGAAGAATTCATCTAGTAATAACAATATGGATTACTATATGAAACGTCAAAAAAATAACGAACAAGCCAAAATCAGCAGGTTAAGGAAAAAGGAACTTGAAATGGAAATCGCCAAGAAGAAGCAAAAACTCGAAGTCGCCTACGTAAAACTACAAAAGCAAATAAACCATATGCAATCAGTCCGAGCGTAAACAGATGTATATTTTATAAGGTAAACCACAATCATTAATTTTTCTTAAATTTAAAGTTAATGTATAAAATAATTTGTTTTTTTATAATTAGATTGTGTTAAAACGTTGTTCAATTTTAAAATAAAATGTAGGTATCTTCATAAGGTCTTTCCTGTATAATTCAAAATTGAATTTATTTTTTATTTTTATATGTTATCGAAATGGTTTTTAAATACCTACATCAGTAATGGTTTGAATAAAGAGTTAAATTAGTTATTTGTTTTAAGGTATTTTCGATGTTATAGAGAGCATTATTCAAATAGAAATATCTAAATAATCATCTAAGTATAATTGTATTTAAATAAAACTGTTAGCGAATAAATTCTTCAGCAATTCCACTAAAAAATTAAAAAAAATTAAAACTTGGTAAATTCTTCATGGGTATAGTAATTATTTCATTATTTAAATATTTTACGGCTTAAGTTTTTTACAAAAAATATTGCTCCAATATAAAAACAACAAGAACTTTTTAGGTGAATTTTGAATTTAGTTGTTGACCAAGAAAATCGTTTTTTGATTTTGTTTGTAGTTTTTTATAATAATTGAGCGAAATCGAAAAACGGGGAAATTACGAAAATAATTCTTTTATTCCTTTAGTTTTTTTTTTTGTAATGTAATTCAGTTACAAATATTCGTAGACTTAACATTTTCATAGAAATGTTATATATGCTTTTTATAAATGTGGCAAACTTTTAAAACATTTAAGCTATTTATAGATATTTTAATTTTGAGATTGTTTTATGTAATTTTTATTTAGTAGGTAGGTACTCTGTAGATAAATTGTTAGACTTGACAGAATTGTTTGAAAATTCAATAGAAAGTTAATTATAAGTCGTACTTAGTGGTCAAAAAAATTGTTTTTATCTAAATGTAGTATTTTTTTTTTTTTTTTTTTATAAAGGAATTTTAATATTAAATTTTGACGAAAATTTTAAGTATTACGACCTTTCAATACTTGTATAACTGAACTTCGCTTCTAATCGTTTTTCGTTAACAATAGTTTATCGTTAGTTACAGGAATAAATTAAATAACTTTATGTATTCTACTTTTCCTACTACCCACCTACAACAGTGGCCGTACCCGTCCCTAGTATCAGTTTAGTTTTCAGTCAGGTTTTTGTTTCGCAAATGTTTGGGACACAAATGTAGAGAAAAATTAAATTATATATTATTCTAAAATGTTTAACGTATCACACATTCAGATCCGATAAATAGTTTCTTAGTAATACGTAGTCGTTTTAATATCTAGAGAAAAATGTGAAAAATGAGATTACCTTGTTACGCGATTGTGAATCATAGTCGATTTAGATACAAAGGTAATCGCAGTAAATTAAAATAGTAGTAATACTCAGAAAATATTGACCAAATATGAGTGTATCATACAATACATTTTTAAATTAATGTACCTATTTTACAAAATTTGCTATTTTGAAAATTTTTAAAAGGGAAAAAATAAAGTTATTTTTTTCAGCGATTAAGAGATGAAAATTAAAATATAATTTTTCACTAAATTTGTGTCTCCCTGACACAAAATCCTATTAAAAAATATATATGTATTTGTATATATAATTAGTACAACTAAATATTTAAATGTAGGGATGATTGTTTTATTCTGAGTAAGTGTATTGAGTTTGGGAGGTTTAAAAATTCTTTGAATAAATTTAAGAAATAAAAGAATCCTACCTCAATGTGATTAAAAAAAAAATTACAATAATATTAAAGGAAATACAATCAATTAGACCAATGTGCGATGTAGACCATTTTATTAGTATGACCTTATTAGTTTAACCTAACCTACTTATTACCATATAAATACTACCTAGTATTTATATGGTATCAATGTTATTTCTTTATAATTTTTTAACACATAATTATAGTTCGTCTAGCCGTTATCGTTAATTAGAATTAATTAAATAGATTTTTATTATTTCTTTCAGAGTATCCAGTCATTCAGTCTCTAGAGTATATATTTATACCCAAAGTTAACAACAACCATCACAGAATACATAGGTATACATTATCTAAAAGCTTAACAATTTCAGATTTTTGAAAAATATAATTATCCAATAATAATATGGCATTCTCTAGTCATAGAATTTTTTTAAAATTGATTTTAATTATTTATTTAACAATTAAATCGCTACCTATTTATAATATTCATACAAATATCTGTTCTCAAAACATCTATAATATTATCTACACTTAGATTTATAAATTAACGTTTAATATGTAAACATTATTACATATATATACATACCTACATGTATACCTACTTAACTAGGTACCTAATTAGCATTGCAAGTTATATTGATATGCCAATAGTAGAATTTATTAGAATTAAGTACGGTATATGTAATATGTATTTTACAAGTTAGCTCCTAAATAATATTTATACACTTTATCTATAAAATAATATTAAATAAATAATTATATAATATATATTTAATAATTATCTAATTATTTTGTTAGCAAATTATATACCTAAATATAAAAAAATTGTAATAATATACAGATTGTTTTTTCTTCAACAATCAAAAACTTTTGTTTATTTTGTAAACAAGTATTCCTTTATAATTTTGTATTCATTAGACAAAATAAAATATTTATTAATTATTAGTTCTACTATACAATTGAAACCTGTTTTATTTTATTTTATCAAATAAACATTATATTTACCGTCTTCCTATATTATGATGATTAATATGCACTGATTATGGTAATATATCACTAGATTGGCTAATAAAAAAAACTATTTAAACTATATGTTATGAGTCAAGTAAATCAACCAATTATCAATTATATAATTAATCACTTATATAAAAAGGTAAGTGTTATAGGTACTTATCCTTCTTGTTTTTGTTTTATTCTTTTGTGAAAGATATAGATGTGTATAGTGTTTACTTATTTACTTATTTATGAACATTTGTTAGAAAATTATACTAAAAGAACATAACTGTTTTAATAGTACAACAGTTACAATCTTATTAATGCGTAGTAAGTAATTATTAAGCCGTAGCGATTAATAACAAATCAAAGTTCAACAAAACGTCAAGTCATCAGCAAAATACATACATACAGTACACCATCAGATATAACAAATTTTTTTTTAATTTCACTTACAGGAGACAAACAAATAATAGTTTTAAACAATTATAAAATCAAATCTTCTAATGTGTGTTTATGAGAAATGTAGGTATTAATGTTAATTGTTTCCGGTTGGGAGGACGAGGTTTATAGTTGACATTCTTAATAAACCACACTAGAAATCAAAATTGATTCACAAAAGTATTCATTAATATTCTCAAAAATAGAACTCGTACATAGTAATTATAAATTATAATATAATAAAATATATCTACTCGATGAGTTTAGTTTATAATGAAATTTATAATAAGTTTCGTGAGAGTGTAGTCATTATTTGAAAGATTTTCTACAATATCAAAATGATCAACTCCATCTATTTGTTCTTTTATCACATTAATGCCAAGTTTGTCCAACAACTAAAATACATACAATATATAAAATATTATAGTTCTTTACATAAGTATTTACTATTTATTATAGAGAATAGATTTAATATTATATTTATAATTAGGTTTACGACTGTTATGAGTCAGAAATTGATTTACTTATGCAACATAGGAACATACGACATAACAACAAGCAAGGTAAAGATAGAAAATAGTACACAAACAACTTTAATACAATTTTAGTGAGATGATAGCGTATTAAAAAAAATTGTTGAACTTAGAGTCAATATGAATTTAGATTAATCTTGAGAAAATTTTTTTTTAATTTTTAAATCATTATTTGATATTATATTTAAATTGTATTAATTGCTAATACCATGATTATATAGAAAAATACTAATTTAATTTTCTTAATTGAAAAAATAAAAAAAATAAAAATAATTACTGCTATATTTTAGTTAATACCTAGGTATTAAGCACTTAATACTTAATAGGGTACTAAGGTACTTATTTGTTATAACTTACTGTAACAAATTGTGATGATTGATAATGAAAAGCTGGAGAATCGTTTTCTGCATAAGCCACCAAAACTTTTATACAACTAGTTTTGCATGAAAAATCTAATTTATTTAATATACTTAATGGACTTAGTTCCAAGCAAATACTCCTAAAAATGAATGTATTCATATAGAGATTAGTGTATATTAAAATAATTATAATAAGTGAGATGATCACAATGTTCCATTAGATAGATATTAATAATAAATAGGACAAAGGAATTTGTAAAAAAAATTATGAATATATTTTTAAACAAATCGGTTAAAAAAATATAAGAGCATATTTTTAGTGCTATTATAAGGGTTTTAATTGCATATGACCTTGTGTATTTAGTGTTTTTTTTAGAGCTATAAGAAGTTATTATTAAGGCAGAGGCCTTAATAATAAAGAAGTTGATAGGTACATAAAAGTTTAATACTATATTATATACTGAACTCGCTTTTTTTAGAGAAAAAAAAATGAATATGTAAAGTCGTCATTATAAATAAATATACATTAAACTGGTAGAAATAATTTTGAACCATTAAACATAATTACAAAATTCTTCAAAATAATTATATTACTTACTCATTCAGTTTTAGAGCCTTATTAATAGAAGTTTTCATTAAAGGATTAAGATAAAATATTCCACTGATGAGTATGAACCCTTTAATATCAATATTTTCATGTACTTCAGGATGTATCATAGATGCAGCTAAATGAGCACCAGCTGAATGTCCTCCTAACCAAATATTTCTAATTGAAAAGATTTAATTTATTTATATATTTACAGGATATCTCAAGAAGATATACTTATTGCAATATCTCAGAAAGTATTAAGTTTTTTTTGATAATTTAAAAACAAGCAACTCTAAATTGTTACATTTTTTTTCATCCTTATTTTTCAGAGTTAAACGACTACCTACATTTTATTTTCAAACAACAATAAATATTACAAATTCCATAAATAGACAGAGTAATTGTTACAAACTTTTAAGTTTTGAGTAAAGGAAGAGTAGTGAAAAATTGTTTATGTGGTGGCACAACCTATGGCATTTGAATAGTGCTCTATTATTCTCCTTCAATTCAAACTTAAATGTGGAATATCTTGTCAAAAGATTGATAGAAATAAAAAATGTCAACATTAAAATATATTATTTAAATTAATACTCCATCTATTTATGTAATTTTTAATATACATTGTCATTTTAAAATCAAAAGTAGGTATTCGTTTCACACTTAAAAATGATGGTGAAAAAAAATAATAGTAATCTAACATTTTAAAGCTTTTTATTTCTTAAATGAATATTTTCCTAGATAACGAAGTATATATGTATATAAGTATATAAGTAATATGTATAGTACATATTTAATATAAAAATTAAGATTAATGAAATAATGGATAATTAATTTTTAAATTATTGTTATAACTAATATTAAATAGGTACTACTAGCATAAAACTTTGTTAAAAAAAGTGAGTTCAACTTACTTATATTTTAAACAATTTGTTAAATATTCCAAAAGTTGATGAATTTCTTTAACAATATTATTTAGTGTTACTGGAAAAAAAAAACCATTACATTTCTAATGAACATATTTATTATTTATCTAAATCAATAGCTACTTACTATAGTAAAATCATATTATATTAAATTATTTTATACATTTTCAGTAAGTATATACATTTGAATAATAGGTTTTAGTGGCTGATTGCACATACAAATCATATACAAGGGAACTTATTAAAAATGTATAGGTAGAACATTTGTATTTACAGAAACATTAAAAATTATTAATATCATAAAAAATAATAAAAATAAATCATTTTATATGGTTAAAAATAAAGATTTCTGAAAAATGTAATTTTTTTTTCTACAAATATGTATATGACATATGTTCATGGTCCGAATAGGTACCTATTAAATTCAATATTCAATAGATATAAAAACATAAAACATACCTGTAGGTGCAAGATCATAACCAGGTATAATTACTCGAATACCAGCATTTACTAAAGGTTCTACACAATATGCAGAAATATCTTTGTTCAATTCTTGCCAATAACCTCCATGTACATAAACAAACGTATTATCTGAAGATATCAAGTCATTTTCATAAATGTCTAAAAGCTGTCGATCATTAGGCCCATATCTAATATTTGTGGTTTTACAATACTTGGATTTTTTTATTTTTTCACTTACTAAAATAATTTTTACAGTTAAATCTCTAGTAATAAAATATGTTTGTTTGTTTGAAACTCACTTGACTGAACTATATCAATATGCTTTTTAACCACCAAATTTGGTTGTACCCGTTTACACCATTGGCTAGGCATGTACAATATTTCATTGCTATTGTTCTACTAGCAAATTAATAAGTTACTAATTGAGAATAAATTAATTTTAATAATGATTATTATACTTTTCTGTCCATTTTGATGTACTGTAATAATTATAGATTTTGTAGTGATATAATGATTAAATTTATAATAGGTATTGGGTACACTAGATAATAATAATAAATCGGTTAAAATATCACACAGAATTCTCTAGAAATATTAATTGATATAATATTACTCACAGAAGACTAATATAGGTTATTAATCTTCTCACTGTTTTTGTAGATACATTCGTAATGATAGTATATGTTATTTGATCAGTTAAAAAGTAGATGACATAAGCACTGTAAACCAATCCATAGGTGAGGAATATAAATATAAGTAATATAATACTTAAATTAAAAATAAATATCTTAACAGTTTATTACATAATCAATAAGACCATTATGTAATTTATGAAGAACTATATTTTTCAAATTTAAATAAGACAAAATAAAAATAATAATAATAATTATACTTTAAGTATAAGTAGATAATATAATTATTAATTTTAAACAAATACAAAGTAATTAACATTACATAAAACACTCATTGTCTCAGAAAGTACTAAATTTTTTCTTCAGAATTTGGTTTTAGAATATCATTCTAACACTATGTTCTGTGCTACCATACAAATGATGAACCACTACTCATCCCTCCCTCCACCACCAAAACTTAAAAGTGGTATACATAAAATATATTGTTAACTGATATTCCATCTGTTTATGGAATTTTTAATAAAGGTCACCATTTTAAAATCAAGAGTAGGTAGTAGTTTGACCCCTAAAATAAGGATAACACAAAAAAAAAAAAAGAATAATGTAATATTTTAAAGCTACTAATTTCTTAAATGTTCTAAAAAGTAAATTTCAAAAAAAATTAACACTTTCCAACATAATGAGTGTTATATTATCCTGTATAATATGCATACACAACACACCTAATATAATATTATATTACAATTTTGTATTATAATGTAATATTACAGTAAATATCAAAATAATTGATATTTGGATGGGACCCAAAGTATTGAGTAAATAAAAAAATAATAAAAATAATTATGACTTATATTATATTACATAACTTATCAATAGCATAGAAGTATATTTTTAATATTTACCAGTCTCATTTTACTTTTTTACTCTAATTAAACAAATGTACACATTCCTTTATCAAGTTAAATTTATTTAATGTTATACTAATAAATAATAATTAGTAATTTTTATTTATAATAATAATATGTAATCTGCTGTGTTATTTGAAAACAATTAGATGAAAATGTTTAATTTATTAGTTTTCCTCTAAGAATTTATTAAGATAAAATTTTAAGCCTTCAATGCTCTCGTCTCGGCATGATTTTCCATTTTTTTCAGCAGTCAATAAATATTCTTTAGCTAGTAGAACTGAGACTCCAATTGATGTTGATAGTTCTTGAGCACTTAATGACCCGCTTATTTTCAATGCTTCAACAATTTTTTTTAATACAACAGATTCTTCGCACATAGAAGATTGTAAAGCTAATACTCCACTATCAAATTGTTTTAGTTTTATTGGTGATGATGTGTCACTATTCATCATAAAGCATGCATGCATTAAATCTTCTGGTGATAATAGATCTAATCCTCTAGCTCTATTTACTCGACAATAAACCTCTGCAAGGGCCATTGTTCCACCAACTTCATCCAATGAGACTTGAATAATTTTAATTATTTCTTTACAAAGAGTGGTATAATATGAATTTGAATCAGTGAACGAAGATCTAGTAACTGGATCATCAACACCAAGACCTAAAAGGTAAGATTTGAAACGGACAGTTTCATCATCACTAATAGCACCTTGTTTTTCTTTGATTTTTTCAGAAATATTTTTACTTATCATTACCATGTCTTTTGCAGTGATCATAAGTCGGTCTAAATCTTTAAAAGCATCTGTAATACTAACATCTGATGCTTTTTGTTTTTCATAAATATTTTTTTCGATCCCTCCAATTCCTGTTCTTATATGATGCGGAATTTTACCTATTAACCATTTTTTTTCCCCGATTGTTTTCTGAAATACATCAAAAAAACCTTCTGGAACTTTATCTTTAAAATCAAGTTTGATATAATTGCCTGTAACACACGCAACAGGGCCTGGATTTGTATTATCAGATGGTAACAAGTGAATAACAATGGTTTTAATTTTAGAACCAAACAAAGTATCAGTGACTGTACACTCAATGTAAACTATGTACCGAAGCTGTAATGATAACCATGCCTCTCCTAATGTCCAAAAAAAACGAGTGGCAGTTAAAATAATATTACCACGATGAAATGAAGTCTTGTAATCTCCATCATATAAAGTGACATTTTTGTGACCACATATTACGGTTTCGGCAGGATCTAGTTTAGCATATTCGAATCGATCCATTCCAGTCAATTTTTCTAATAGGTATAAAATTAAACTACGCAAGATTTTTAGTTATACAATTACAAACTGAAATTATTTTGGGAAAAATATTAATTTACATTTAACGAATTAACTATTTAGTCAATAACTGTATGAATAATTAAATATTATTACAGAGTATTTACTATTTAGGCATCCATCATATAAATTCTGATTTCGAATTGGTATTGATATTCGCCATTCAGTTTAAAAAAAATAAAACTCTACAAGTTAATTTTGAAATGAAGCATATTATACCATGATTATAATACATAGATAAGATATAGTCAGATAGCCTATCAAATATGTAGTCACATTGAGAATCAGCAGCTGTTGAAAACAATTTGATACAGTAATCAACAAAACGCAACGTTAAAATGTAATAAGCAGGCAAGCAACATTGAAGCAGCGTTCTGAAATAGTAACGTATCTTAAAACGTTTTAAGATTATTTCGCGTTCACCATAATTATTTTACTATCTCCGTAGCCCGTCTTTAGATAATAATTTTTTAAAATGGTGTTGCTTAGAAGTTTTTTATTTTTTTTTTAAAAATTAAATGATTAAATGATATGAAATATAAGGTCTTTAAAATAATTTTTTAAAGTTACTATAATAAATTTTGAAATTATTGATTAAATGTTTTCGTAAACATTCAATACATTTACTCATGTAATGATCATATTTTTAAATATATTTCTTTAAATACATATCATAATTACCCATCTATCGATATAAGAATTTTTTGTACTTGGAAAATGATTATCCAGGCTTTATGTATTCGCCAAATAAATTTACATAAACTGATCGATTGCCGTCATTTGTGCTATTATTATACGAAAAAATCAACTCTTAATAAATCGTTTTATAATAAAAATAACACCTTATACCCACATAATTTACCACACAGATGTGCCTCATCAATGTCTTCAGTAACATTTCCTTCGTGGTTCATGGCTTTGTCGAACAGTACACCGGTAGCTTATGCCCAACAATTTGTAATTTCATTTCATGAAGTGACAGGCATGTCTTGGTGGTCTTCAATAATGCTTAGTGCTGTAGTTCTAAGATTAGCTGTTACTCTACCATTGACAGCATATCAAGTAGGTAAAACAAATTTTTAAATTTTACCTGAAACTAGATAATTATTTACAAAAATAGTTGAATATTATACATAATATAATATTTACAGTATTTGTTGTGTCCTGTTGATTATAAAAAAAAACAACCAATATTGTCTTCATTGGTTTATGTATACCTAAAGACTATCATTCATGATGCTAGTTTAATTAAATTCAAAATTTAATTATAATTTATATAAGTACTTGTTTAATTAATCAATTCCAACTTCAGCATTATAACAATGCAAAATTAGAAAATGCTTCCATTGCATTTCAACCAACAGTGAAAGACATTGAAAAGGAAGTAATCAAAGCAGTAAAAACACAAAAATGGTCTGAAAAAAAAGCCAAAAGGGTTTACCAAAAAGCAGTAAATATATTTATATTCTTTAAATACCTACTTACTAGAATTATTTGTTATATTATTATTACAATTTAAATTCTGAACGCAACGAAAAAGCTTTAATAGTTTGTAATTATTTTTGAGGTAAGAAACAAGTTTAATAACTTTAATAAACTAACATTATAGGTACTTCAATAGACACTCATAAAGTCATAATTAAAAATAACTATTTTTACTCTGATCATTTTTTAAAATTTTTTTTGTTTGTTTAATTGCAAAACGAAAAACTGCTAAGATGTATTAATGAAAAATCCTAATAAATTACGAGAAATGATCTCACATACATGGGCGCCAGGTTTTACAATTTTTATGGCGATACCCAAAATCCTAAAATTATTTAACTTTAATCAAAATAAAAAAAAAAATCAACAAAGCATTAGTCCTTTATTGACTTTAATTTTGTATTTAGGGGGAGAGAGGGGGCGATGAGGCACCATCGACCCGAAGCGGTAAACTTTTTTTTTTCAGAGACCTAAAAATAGGCTATGATTTTAGGCAACTTTAATATAAATTTTTCTCAAAAGTGTTTTGAGACCAATCGTTATAAAACTAATAGCCTACTTGCCTTATTAATTATATAATATGGTAAACTTTTAATTTCTTTTGGTATTACGAAATATAATATATTTTATATAACTATGTAGTAAACAGTATTTATTTGTTATTACCCACTTTTTTAATTTAAAATTTAAATCAAATCATAATTCAGCTATATAATTCTAGGTAAAAAATTATTGGAATGAATTAATTGTTAAAGAAAACTGTCATCCTGCAAAGTCAACAATTGTAGTTTGGGTACAAGTGCCAATGTGGATTTGTATGTCAATAGCAATTCGTAATCTTACATTAATGTTACCTCCGAGTGACAATGGTAATATTTTTAAAAATACTTATTTTTGAATTTTGTTAAATAACATATGTTTTTTTTAAAGCTGTTATTAGATTTTATGAACTATCTGAAGGTGGAATTTTATGGTTTCCAAATTTAATTGCAATTGACTCAACTATGTGTTTGCCTTTAATTCTTTGTATTTCAAATCTTTTGATTATTGAGGTAATGTAAATAAAATTACTTCTTATCTATTAAATTTATCAAAAATTAATTGTTTTATAAACTACTAGGTGCAAAGTCTATCAAGGAATAAAGAACCAACACGCACTCAAAAATTACTGACTAATGTTTTTCGAGGATTTTCTATTGTTATGATGCCACTTTCATGTTTCCTACCATCGGTGTGTAACAATTAATTTTTAATTTTTAATTTTCTCTAAACTTTAGTTTTATATTTTATAGGGTGTTAGTTTATATTGGACTGCATCTAGTATTTATGGCCTATCTCAAAATTTATTTTTATTGTCTCCACAAGTGCGCAAGTGTTTTGGAATACCAAAAACACCATACAACCATGAACACCCATATCAGCATTTAATAGATAAGACTAAATCTAAATTAAGAATTTCTTGATTGATAATATAAGTTATTTTGTGAAATGAAGTTGTTATTTATTAGTTTGTACTATTTTTTTTATGCTAATAAATAATTTCCATTGTTTGTGCATCAAGAATGGGTTATCTATTTGTAATATTTAATGATTAAACTCAATATAACAGAGAAAAAATATAGTAATTGTGTGTATGTAATGGATTGTGTAGATAAGACTGTAGAATTGCCTTATTTTTCAGAATTGTTATTGTAGTCTTTGAACCTCTGACCTTAGATAAGTATCAGGAAATCCAATTTAAATGACTATACTTTCAGTTTAGTTCTACATGCCAGCATGAAGGGTTACACTAAATTAATAATTTTATTTATACTATTCTATGAAGTTTCATGTGTAAGTAAATTTGATATAAATAAAGAAGTACACATTTACTAAATATATATTTAAAATTCTATTAGATTGTTCACTACACGGATACAGTGCCAAAACCGTCACTTACCCATGAACATTTAAATTGGGCTGTATATAATGGGAATAGTAACACTGGAGTCAAAAATAATGGTTTCAAAGAAAATAAAAGACCTGAACAAAAACCTATTTCCTCAACAATTTATAATCAACCAACTGACTCAAAATATATAAACGATGAGGTAAGTTTGATTCAAATTTTTAAATATTTTTTTTGTATAAAATTAAAAATTTCCTATTTATTTTTTTTGTGACTAAATATCATATTATATATTGTAGACCATCCGAGAAATTAATATTTTTTCAAACCGTTTTTTACAAAGCAGTAGCCAGTGTCAAATTATTTATTTTTCTGCTTACAGCCTTTCATTATTTAGGTGTTGTTTTATATAGAGACCATCAATTGAGCCTTTTAAAATTCAATTTCGAAATAATAAACTGCATGTATTATTCAGCACAATATTTATAATATAAACTATATAAAATAATAAATATCAAAATTTAAAAAAATAATTAAATCTATTTTATTTATTCTTAATGGCTATTACTTATTATGTGTTGTATTTATGATTAATTAGATTTTATGTTTATAATATTAGTTTATTGATGAAATTAAAAATCAAACAAAAATATATAAATATATATCTACTATTTAATTTATATTTACAAGTTTTTTTCTCATGACAACTTGAATTACAAAGGACATTTTATTTTCGACCAGCGCATCTGTTTTACTAACTTGATGTTTTACAATTATAATAAAATAAATAATTTAATATCCATTTTTATTATAAATATGGAACAAGTGTGTTTTACCATAACTCACAAATTTCAGAATTAATTTTTTTGAAAAACCATGTTTTTCGATGTTGATTTGTAGTATTTAAATTTTTATCTGGCTATCATTATTAAATTATGACAAAAAAACCTTAAAAAGAAAATTTTCAAGAAAGCATTTATGTATTTAAATTTTGTATTTTTCTCATTTTTGATACCTAACTCAAATTACAAACTACTTACTTTTCAATATAATACATTAAATTACATTACAAAATAATATTCTATTAATGGTTCTATGTCAATGAAGAAAATAAGGAATTATTCATAGTTATGTTGTAAAATTTGTATACAATAGATACAGACATTTTTAAATTCTTCAAAAAGTTATAAGTATTTTTGATAATTCTTGCATATAGATCTTATACAAAGTTAATATTAGTTTCTTATGTTATTGAATTAGTTGAATAGGTAGTAATAAATTACCTTAGTTATAATTTATTATTATTATTTTTCTTAAAAATACTAATGACCACTATTATTTTATATTTATTTTAGTTGGTGTTATATTAAATTGAAGCACATCAATATGGAATTCGATATTAAAGTTTTAATCATTTTTAATATCTTAAAATAAGCTATATTATTACAATATATATATTAGAAAATGTATTCTAATAATATTATAGTACTAAAAATGCATTAACTCAAATATTTATAGAACTCTGATTTTGTGCATTTATTTTTGTTGTGTATAAGGTAGTTGATGTTTTATTTCTCTCATTATTTTACGTATTTTGACAAATAGACATTTTGTACATACCGTTTTGTTGTCAACAAAAAGTGTAGTCTATGTAAGTTTTGTCTTTGGAAATTATTAAGATAGCATATTTAGTTCCCAGAAGTTATTAGTCTTAGGACGTTAGATCCCCCAGGATTTTAATCATAAACTATAAAACATTTGGTGGGTATGGTGTTGTATACCATTTAACAAACTTGTTTTTAAGCTATACACAATCTACTAGAAAATAGTATTGAACTAACATATTTATTTATCTACTTAATAATTACTTATACTAATGTGTTAAATTACATTTTTATTTTTATTTACTTAAACCAGAGTTTTTCATTATATGCTCCCCTTTTATAAACTTTTTTTGTATTCATAGATGGATGAAATGATTATCACCACTTTTAACTGTCTTTCAAGTAAAGTGAAGCGCCATTTATTTTATTTATTTTTATAATAATTTACACATGTTTATTTTGTCATAAATAATGCTTCGATAAAAATGGACAATTTTCGAGTTTATTATAAATAATAAAAATAATATTGACTAAGTTATATGAAAAATTGAAAAACATTCAAAAGATATTGTTACAGCGTTATGTCAAAGTAACCAAAATACTAAAATAACTGAAATAAAAATTACAATTTGCCTTAGGTATATTTTATACATACACTGTATTTTATCTTATCATATTTGTACATTTATATATTATATAATAACACATGTATAATTTTATAAATCTTCAATTTTGGGCTTTGTTGGTAGATTTGGTTTTTAAGTTTTTTAAATCATCATTTATTTATTTTTATATATTAATACATTTTTACATAATTTTTATATGTTTTAAAAATTAACTATTGCATAGGTAGGTAATACAAATTTGATGTGTACTAGGTAGACAGCCAGGCAGCAATATGAGCTGAATTTAAATTCTAAATTTATATTAGTAATTATATGCCAGGGTTTTCAAATAGGTATATCAAAAGTTAAACCAACCAATAAAATTGTATTAGTTATTAATTTAAAATTAATTTGTTTTATATTTTGGTTAATTTTAGAATAATGCAGCTTTATCATGGAATGGAGAGAATTGCCCTCCAAAAGCTACAGGCTTATTTCCTGTTCAAACAGATTGTCGACAATTTTTAAATTGTTTTAAAGGTCGTGGTTATGTTCAGTCATGTGCACCGGGTACTTTATTTAATCCGAACAGCTTGGAATGTGATTTCCCTGCTAAGGTACAATGTCGAAATGGAAATCCATCAAAAATTGATTCTTCACTCTTCAACAGAAATCCTGATCAGAATTTTGATTTAAATGCACAAACTTCTAATCAAGATCATGTGTTCATTAGTAACACTAATGAATATCAACCTCAACCTAATAACCAATACCAACCTCAATCTAATAGTCAATATCAACCTCAACCTAATATTCAATATCAACCTCAATCCAATACTCAATATCAACCTCAATCCAATACTCAATATCAACCTCAATCTAATAACCAATACCAACCTCAATCTAATAACCAATACCAACCTCAATCTAATAATCAATATCAACCTCAATTTACTAATCCATTACCCGGATCACAAATTATTGCTGAAGGACAAATGTTACTTACGGATAACTATTCACAAAACATTGGTCCAGCATTGATTAATGACTATAATTTACAGCCTGCAGGATCAAAACTATCCTATGGTTCTAACATAGTAACCAATGTTCAACCAAATACTGATGTTCATCAACAGTATTTTCCTGCTGAGCAAAATTATAATGTAGCATCCCAAAATACACCCAGTGAACAAGTATTTAATCCAAGACTGCCAAACAAATCTGAATTAGGAAGTACTAACACAAATTATCCAGGAACAATTCAACAAAAGTATCCAGTCAAGCAAAATGCTAATCCTAATGGAAAAATAAATTCAGGACCAATGACTTATCCTGTTTTAAATGTTCAAAATCCTCAATTTGTATTGGATCAAAATAATTACAGACCTCCTAATAATTACGGAACAACCAATAATAATGAAGCACCTAATAATTATGTAGTACCCAATAATTATGGAAATTTTCAAGCAACCCAGGATACTTATTCAATAAAAAAATTACAAAATAATCAACCAAAAGATAAAATACGCTTTCCAATTGTAAAAGAAAATCCTAGTCTACAAACTGGATATAGTAGGAATCAACCGGTTTCATCAGATTCATCAAACATTAATCCAAATTCTTGGATTAGAGGACAAATTAAGGAAAAGCAAAGGACCAAGCAAAATTTATATCCTAATGGTTACACGAAAAATGAAGAATTTCAAGTTTCAAATAATCACTTTGATATTCCAGAATCGACCTTTGATTTAGGTGATCAAATACAAATAGATAACAATAAAGAATCTACTATTCATAATATTTATGATCCATTAAGTATTACAAGTCAAAGTAACATAAATTACAAACAGCAATCGTCTTCATTAAACAGTCAGGGTAATAATCCAAATCCTTCATCCAGTTATTCAAACCCCTTAAAGTTTAATCAACATGAAGAACCACAAAATGAATATCAAACACCTCAAGATAAACAATTTCAAATAGTAGTTTCTAATAATAATAGAGAACCCTCTTCATATTCACTAAATATAAATCCACCAAAAGAATTGAATTTTAATACAGGTTCTCCAGAAAAAAAATCATTGAACAATTATAATAATATACAATACTTAAATCAAAATCCTAGTAACACAGATAAAAGTCAAATTTCTTCAAAAGGATCACCAGTGTATGAACCATCAGTTTCTCCCAAGTGTCCGAATGGTTTTAATGGTATACAACCACATCCTACGGATTGCTCAAAATTTTTAAGTTGTGCTAATGGCAGAACATTTGAAATGGATTGTGGTCCTGGAACATTATTTAATCCTACTATATCTGTTTGTGATTATCCATCTAATGTGAAATGCAACCGAATTATTGAAATAACAACTATATCAACCGTCACCGAAGATCTTTCAGATATATCTCAGTCTATTGATTTGAGGCAACAATTTAATCATAATACCGATCGTAGTAATTTGAAACGACAATTTGATCATAATACCAATAGTAGTAATTTGAAACGACAATTTGATCATAATACTAATATTAGCGATTTGGTAACTGAACCAGAATCTCTTGAAAATCAAAATCAAGCAGTATTAGAAATATTACCTACAGAAAATCGACAGTTCAAAATCTTAAAAAATCCAACATCCATTGATTTACCCGATAACTTTTTACCGAATACTTCTATAGCACCAATACCTCCTAAAGTTATAAACAATGGATTAAAAAGCAGCATTCCAATAAAAATAGATTTGAAGCCAAATAATACTCAGTCAATTAGGTTACGTGGAAGTCCAAAAAACTTTGAAGGATTTTTACAAGTTCAAGAAAAGCCTTTTAAATGGGGTGTAGTTTGTGACACACCCAATTCTTGGACAATCAATAAAGCAGATATTGTTTGTAAACAGCTTGGATTTAAGAGGTACTTATTAATATTTATTCTTTATTTTTGAATTGTTGTATAGCAATTATATGTTCTAATATAATATTTAATTTACATTTCAAGTTTCATAAATCTACCTACTCATTTTTATTAAAAAAACTTATTATGATATAAAATATTGTTTAATTTAATTAGAGGAGCAGAACAAACATGGCAAGGTTTAACTGTGGCTACAGATAATCCAGCCAGATTTTTTAGAAATATAGGAGTTACCAAAGTTTCTTGCAATGGCCAAGAGAGTGCATTCCATAGATGCAAACTTGAAAATGGTAAGCTAATTTTAATTAAGTATCTATTCAATTTACAGGAATACAAAAATAATTTTTTTATGCAATATTTAATAAATACATTTTACACTTTTATGTGAACTAATAACCATTAGATAGAGTATATCTATACTCTTAAATATTTAGAAGCATTGTTTTAAGGTAAAACTAAAAACAGGTAATTTAAATAAAATGTATTTTTAACATGGTCAAACTGTTTAGACATAATTCAGGCTTAGTGGATTGTAATTATTTTTTTAAACTTTTTAAAGTTTAGAAAAATCTCTCTGCTCTGGCTGTAGAAACTAGTAACCTGGTAAACAAATTTGCTGCAGTGTTCTAATTGCAATTTGTGAATTGTTTTAAATTTTGGCCCACTTATTTTTCCACAAATTTATTTCTGCTTTTAATTCTAAATCCAAGCCCTTAATATCTTCACAATAAAATTTAGCAGATTCATAGAAACATGCCTAGCCTTCTAAAAATACATATATGTATTGTGTATACGTACAGTATTTTAACCATGTAGCAACATGCCAAGAGGTTGCACCCCCTTCTGGATCCGCGCCTGATAGATACCAACACCAATACACCATCTATTGCCGCGATATCAATTGAAGAATATCGTATTCGTATATTCGTACTCTTATTTTTCTCCCTCTTCTTTTTGAGGTTTATTAGCTACTAGAATTACGATCAAATATAGTACTTACATAAACGAGGGAATCTTTTATTATCTTTTCTGTAGGACATGTACTCCTTTAAAGGTAATAATGTAACGACCCCCACCAAAAAAAAAAATTATATTATAAATTACAATAAGTCCATCTGATTTACGCTTCCTCTGGGATTGTACCTGTTTTAATATTTTGTAGAATAAATATTTTACACTTCATTTTCAACACTGCAGTTTACCTTGCACTGCATTTTTAGTACACTTACGACCTTTTACATTTACTAAAAGGGTCAGGTACCTATCTAATATATCTAACGATATTGCAGGATTTTGTTGTTATTTATTTTTACTCTGAAAAAATATGGTAGTTTCAGTGAATCTAAGAGCGTTTTAATAATATTATCATATGTAAACACAGTATGTGTAAATTATTATATTTGATGCGTGACTTGGGGGTTAACTGTAAGTGAAATTGAAACGTTATAATTTGAAAATAAAACATATAATTTCTATTTCGATTTGTTATGTTATAATAAAAACTCATTGTTTTACATGTAAACAATTTAAAACCCATTATACATAATACAAAGTGTCTCACGAAAATATAATTAGGTAACCATTGCAATATCTTCGGAGATAATAAATATAATTAAAATAAATTAAATTATGTTTTTTTCATATTACTCACTGGAATGAGAACTACAAATATTTATATTTGAATGCAATTTGTGTGTTTTGGTAAAAAAATTATTTTATTTTATTATTTTAAACAAATTTGAAGATTACCATTTCATAGAGTTTATTCTTCAGAAAATGTTGATCTTTTAACTTTTCATATTCATTAAATTTGTGATGTTTAAAATTTTTAAGTTCAGAGAAAAAAAAAATGATAACTAACCTATAAATGGGCCACTGTTGTAAGTGGGAAGTTGGAAATGTAGGATAAAAAAGGGAATTTATAATTAAAATCAGTGCACAACGATAAACCACTACTAACTAAAAATAATTCGGAGAAAAATTCTCTTTTATACATTTACCTATGTAAATTTTTCCGTTTCTCTAAATTATTATGAAAATCACTTGGAAACTCAGAAAATGACCTCCCTAAAGTACCATCCAGATAAAAAATTTCTTTTGAAAATCGAAGCAAGCTTTTGAGTAGAGAAGTTGTCACAATTAATTAAAATAAATAAACATTATTGTAAAATCAATAGATTACTTGCTACGCTCCTAATCTAAAATTTAGTTTAATCTAGTATTTTTTTATAAGAATTTTAATATCAAATTTTGACTGAAGTCGTAAATATTACGATGGTCTTATATAGTATTATATGGTCTTTCAAAATATGTATAACTAAACTTCGCTCCAAATCGTTTTTCATTAGCAACGGTTCATTACAGATTTAAATTGTTACCTTTTATATCCTATCTTACCAATTTCTCACCTACAACAGTGGCTCACCCGTGATACAAAGTATATCTGTCTTCTTATTTTTATCACAAAACTCGAATTAGTACATTAATCATAACGCCATATAGGTTACTAGTAACTCTATACAATTGTAAATATTCTTTAATTTTCAAAATATATTTTAGACAAATTGCATTCATCAAAATAAAATTAATGTAAATAGTTTCAAATATTCAAACAATTTTACATTGGAAATATTTCTTTTTCTTTTTGATAGTAATTTCCAATTAGCTGTTATATTCTTATGAGTTATGTTTTATTAAATTATAGATAAAAGTTGCAATGTAGAAAAAGATGCTGTTTGGATAAAATGTCGTGCAAATTCAGTTTCTGAATGTCAACCAGGAGAAATATCATATGATGGAAAATGTTATAAATTATTTGTCCCTACAACAGAAAAACAAGGTAAAACTATTCAAGATGTTGGATACAGTAAAGCTGAAGCATTAGAACACTGTATTAGAAGAGGTGGTCATCTTTTAGATATTGACTCGCAAGTAAAGTTACATTATAATTACAATACCTATTCCATTGAAAATCTTTTTTTATACTTACAATACTTACAATCACATTTATTTACTTTAAGTAGGTACATAATTTTAAATGATTATCCATTTTTAACTAGGTACCTACTTTTTATTACATTAAAATAATAGGTACAAATTATTTTATAGAAAAAAAATGATTTTATATCTGAGTGGTTATCCAGACAACAAATAGATTTTCCTATACTCACATCAGGAGTTGGTGTATCATTATTTCATAGTCCTATATGGATTTGGGAAGGTACAAAAAATCCATTTGTGTACCAAAATTGGTGGCCAGGTAATAAAAATTCATAAAATAATTAGTGTTCAAAGTGTATTATATATGATATATTTATATTCTAATAGGGTGGGAATTCAAAAAAACTCTTTCACCTGATATCAATTCCAACCGTGCATTGTGTATTGTTTTACAAAAAGCATTTCCTTGTCCTTCAAACCCAAACGGTACAAAATTATGTGATTCTGAATACTATTATTGGGAAGCAATTGATTGTGGAAAAAAGACTGACCAATTACCTTATGTTTGTGAAAGAGATGTTGATGATATTGGTAATTTTTTAAATTTAATTTGATATTTAATTTACCTATATTAACTTACACAAAATATTTGTTAGGTTGTATAATTGGATCAGGTTCAGAATACACTGGTTCTGCTAATACAACTGCCTCTGGCAATGTCTGTCTATCATGGGAAGATACAAATGTTTTAACAGCCATGAAATATAGTTTTTCAGAAAACACAAGAACATCATTATTAAAAAAACACAATAAGTGTAGGAATCCTAATGATTCTCATTTACAACCATGGTGTTATGTACGCACATCAACAGGAGAAATACGAAGCGAATTTTGTGACATACAAGTTTGTAACTCTGCTACTAAATTGTTTAAAGGTAGGGTATACCATATACCAATAACAATTTTGAATATCTTTTAAAATATAAAATCTTATTTATGTAATATCATCACATTTTAGCAAGCCCATTGATTGAAGTACACAAATGTGATGTTAACTATTTTGAGTGCCAACCCAATGAATGTATTACTCAAGCTTGGGTTTGTGATAATCAAGCTGTAAGTTTAATTTATGTTTTTATCATTATTGGATAATTTTAAAAGAAAATATTCTTATTTATATTTTTTTTTTTTTTTTCATGAATAAAAACTATAGTTAAAAATAATGCTCTGGGCCATTTTATTTATATTATTACCCACACAGGAGGGCTATATTTTATTTGAACTGTATTTTTTCAGAAAAATATTTTGTCGGAACCGTTCAGTATAATTTCATTATAAGCACCCCATAATTACATATTATTGTCGTTGGGTAAAAATTATTTTCCGATAAAATATTATCATACTAATTATTTTTCAGAAAAAAAATTTTCAAACCCAATTTATGGTATATATATAGAGTAATAGATAAATACACATAGATAATCAATAAATATTATATTATTAAGTATTAAAATATATAAAATTATAATTAGATAAATAATTATTATTTGTGGCATATTTTGTGTAAATTAAGTTGATATAAAGTTATTGCATTACACTTTAAATAGTTTTATAATCATAATTATGTTGTACCTATATAAATAGTTATTATCTAATATTATATGTTATGCCTTATATTTGTATCTACTATTTTATAACAAAATTAATTTTTACCATGTCTACTATGTTTTTAGGATTGTAGTAATGGTATGGATGAAAAAAATTGTTCTAATGTTTTAGACAAATTTATTAAAACTCCTGAAGCTTATTTAAAAAATCACGAATTAGAAATATTATTTCTTGTTACTGCCCATACTTGTGCTAATCATTGTAAAGCCAAAGGGTTCATTTGTCAATCATTCTCTTATAAGTAAATTTTATTCATATTTTATGCTAATTGTTACATGGATTATTCATAAGTATTTATTTTCAGTGGAATTGATCAAACATGTATATTGAATAAAAGAACAAAAAATGATAACAACACAATTTTGGAATCTGATAAAGATTGGGATTACTATGAAACTAGTGCTCCCTGCACAGGACAATTTATTTGTGAGAATGGAAATTGCATTGATAAATCAAAGGTATATTTATATTTAAACTAGCAACCTGAAGTTTAAGGGACTTTTCCTCTCCAAATTATTAAAAAATAAAGAAATTATTACTCTAGCCTCCCAAAACTGATACTGAATCTAATATTACAGTTTTATAACAACAAATTGGTACACAGGTATAATACAAGATCCTTTTCGATTCTAAGTGAAGTGAAAAAACTTAATTTGGTTTTACTAAGATATTAATGATTTTGTCTGTGGGCAACTTTTGTACCAGATATCTTGCTTCTAATTTTAAGTATAACACCATTTCTGAAAGAAAATCTGTGTGAGAATGTACTTAAGGGAAGTCATTGTGATCAACCGAGAAAAAACATGGGAAAAACTTAAAAAACGTGAAAATTGGTATACTAAATAAATGTTATGAAAGAAAATATATAATGGCTATTTAATTATTTTACCATTGTATGATATATATATTGTTGACAAACCATCACTATCAACTAAACTTCATTCTGAATTATTTTTTTCGTTAGCAATGGTTTTTCGTTGTTTACAGGTATACATTCAATTACCTATAACAGTGGCTGAACCTGTCCTTATTATCCTAGGATGTTTACAGTTTATGTGTTTATAATGTCTGTGTTTTTTTTTTTTAAAATATGTTAGGAATGTGATGGGCATAACGATTGTGGAGATCGTAGTGATGAAGTAAAATGCACTGGAGCTATGATGGGATACGAAATTAGATTAGCTGGTGGAAATTCTACCAATGAAGGACGTGTTGAAGTCAAAGGTAATAATTATTAATTAAGTTAATAGGTTTACTTTTTTTTGATTAATTATAAGTTCATAATGTTTAGTCCTTGGTGAATGGGGAGTCATTTGCGATGATAAATTTGACTTGAGAGAAGCTAATGTCGTATGTCGAGAACTTGGATTCTTGGGTGCTATTGTTACAAAACCAAATTCTTATTTTGGCGTACCAAATCACACAAGATTTGTGTTAGATGATCTCAATTGCAATGGGAATGAAAGCTCATTGTATTCCTGTCAATTTAAAGAGTGGGAAGTTCATGACTGTAATGCTCAAGAGGTATAAATTTAAAAATAATGTATTTGTATCATAGAAATAAATTGATGTTAATCAATTTCTTACAATTTGGTGTATTTTAGTCTGTCGGTGTGGTGTGTAGAAAGGCTGGTGGAAAGGTGTGTTCAAATGAAGAATTTGAATGCAAATCTGGAGAATGTATTCCAGCACGCTTCTTGTGCGATTCGTTTGCAGATTGTACTGATGGATCGGACGAATCACCTGAACATTGTAATGTGAGTGTAACTACTACTACAACAAAAATCACTACAACTAGATCAAGTATTCAAAAAATACCTCTAAAGAAAAAAGGATAATCCCATACTTAAATATTTGTTGTTATTATTGTAATATTGTTAAGTCATTTGCCAGGGTTTTATGTATTTGTTAATTGTTTGTATTAATTTGTAGACTTGCAATTAGAAACAATTTTTAAATATAAATAATTTATTTAAATATGGTGATTTTTTTTTATTTAAACAAAGAACCAAGTTAAAACGCTGGCATTTGAACTAACAAAGTTTAATAACACGATGCCAGCATTTTATCATGGACTTTTTATCAATTTATCATACAATTATGAAAATTGTACACCTATCTTTCTAAATAACTTTACTCAATTCCTAATTTCCGTCCTTCATATAATCGGTCCCTCGTTAAAGTGTATTATACAATATTTATTTTTGTATAAAACAGACGCCTTTAGAGATTCGTTTAGTTGGTGGCAATGAACGTCGAGCAGGTATGGAAGGCAGAGTCGAAGTACGTCAATTCGGAATATGGGGTACAGTGTGTGATGATGATTTTAGTACAAACGAGGCACTTGTCATTTGTAACAGTTTAGGTTTTAAGGGAACAGCAGAAGTGAGATAAATGTCTAATTATCTAGCGTTTAAGGTTAATTAATGTTTATTTATCACTACCAACCTAAAATATATTAAAATATTCAGTTTAAAAAAGGAGCTGCTTTCGGTCCTGGACAAGGACAAATTTGGTTAGATCAATTACGATGTGTAGGCAACGAAACCTCTTTGGATCATTGTTTACATGCTGAATGGGGACACCACAATTGTAAACACAATGAAGACGTGTCGGTAATTTGCCATTTGGATAGAAAAAAAGTAATTTAAAAATGTGTTTTAATATAAATAGTATTGTTGGTAGTGTAGCTACTTACTTGATTATTAGTTGAGTTTAAAAAACTATCTTTTAGATTTTAGTCAAAGAATATTAGCCTTACAAGAAATTTTTTTTAGATTCTGAGTGGAGCGAGGAATGTATTGGTTTTTTTTTATGTGAACACTTTCTACCAGAAAGCATACTCTGATTATCATGTAGAGCACCTTTTCTGAAAGGAATGTTCTCTGGATGGTACTTTAGAGAGATCATTTTTTGAAATTCTCATTAATATTCGAGATAATGAGGAAAACCTGGTTATTTAGGTAAAAAAAGATTGAAAGATTAAAAATAAGTTTGTCATTGGCAACCGTTTTTATTTATTTATCGTTACTATTAAGTTTTTATTATTTTAAATCTTTTTTAAACAATCCTTGTTGTCATTGAAAAGCACATTGTTTTAATCATTTTACCATATTATGATATAATACTATATATTTTATTGTTGAAAAAGCAACATTATCAACTGAACTCGACTCAAAATCATTTTTTTCGTTAGCAATGGTTTATCATTGACTACAGATAACATTAAATTCCCGTCTGTATCTTACCTTCCCAACTTTTCACTTACAACAATAGCTGCACCCACGTGCGAAGTATGTCCATCTTTTTTTAAATTAACATAAGTACAGAATTGAAACGAATGAAAATTAATTTGGTGGAATTAAAATTGAAAAAGGATAATAGTCAAGGTATTTAAGGTAGGTATAATAGGGTATACTCGGAATTTAGTGAAAATGAGATAACTATTTTAGTGCCCCCCACTCCCCAAACAAAAAAATTGTATCAATTGTACCTGATAAATAGTTTCTGAGTAACGGTCGTTTTAAATTCAACTAATCCGTACGAAAACCGATGTTATCTAGGGAATAGTCCAACCGTGTTACAGTCCGATTTTTCTATAGTATAGGTTATTTCCCCGATTCCGGCATCTATCAGTTGGGTATTTAGACGAACGACTGTGCACGGTATTTTTACCGTACCCGACTTGTATTTATTCAATCGTTTTCAGACTTACTCGTAGCGTATGCATATTTAGTCGTGGCAAGATGGACATAAATACGTTAATTATATTACATTGGTATAGAAAATATCGACAACAGCAAATGATTTCAAATCGTAGGTATTGGGAACATCCTAATCTAAGTCAAAGAAATGTTTTGTACACTTTTAGCATACTCATGTGTCAATTCAGATCAGATGAAACTAAATTTTATAATTATTTTCGTATGTCAATACCCAATTTTGATGATCGATTAAGAAGAATTGAAATGAGTTTAATAAGGCTAGACACAAATATAAGAAGGAGCATAGTGGACATACCGAATCGTCTGAATGCAGTGAAATACATCGCTACCACAAACCAAAATGGTTTTTCCACCGGATTACCGAACTCGGTTTGCAGTAACAAATCCGAACGACCTAATCAACCTAATCGATAATTTTACCGCATACGATTCTTGACCGTATCGTCTGAATATACTCATATAAATTACTTTGTCACTGGCCTATAAGGTAAAGGCTACGGATACATTAGAGTCGTATCCGATCCGATTCAACCGACCCGACCAACATCCTACTCAGCCGATATTTGTGGCTACGTTATTTCCGATTTCGTATCAACTTCGTATTAAACGGTCCGGTCGAATAAATATAGCCACTATCAATAATGTACACAGTTTTATTTTTTTTCCGACTACTTGGATTGCCGGATCGGATCGGAAACGGTTCTAATGTAGCCGTAGCCAAAATAACCGATAAGACAACGATCGATTCGGGATCTTACGCGATAACATCGGTTTTCACACGGATTAGTAGAATTTTAAATTGCTGTTACTTGAAAATTATTCATTGAATATAAATATGTGAAGAATAATCTTTACAGAAAGGCTATCTTAAAATTTTCCGAAAATAATAAAATAAAGTTATTTTTTAAATTTTTTTGTAAAAAAAAATATTAATATAAGTATAAATATTTGTAGTCCTCTCCCCTGTGTGTAATAAAAAAAAAAAAATAGGATTTGATTATCTTTATTATCTCCGGAGATATTCAAGAGGTATATCTTCGTGGGACAGCCTGTATATTCCCTCATCCTACATCACCTAGGTTACTATTGGTCTTAAATGCTTTTAATTTAATTTTATGATTTAAACAGTTTACCTTACAATTAATACAGCATCAAAACAGTGACGTATTTAGGAATTCTTTCTGAGGTATAATGACTAGAAAACCTACAAGAGACATTTGACTAGTATCTTAGTAACTCTGTTCCAGGCTTTCCCTTATTCGCTGTCTTACATTTACGTTTGGTTATACAAAATATATTATCTACTGACTGCTGAGTAAAAATTCAATTTCGATGTTTATTTTTCTTAAGGGTGTACACAACTTGTTCGTGTTAAAAAAGCAAAATTTTACTTATTAAATTATGAATTTATTTTATTATTAAGTAAGTAATACCTACATTATACTAAAATTAATTAACAACTAAGACTTTACAGTATAGGTGTGCCACTTTTGTAGGTAGAAAGTTGGAAAAGAAGTATACATAAAGTTGTTTAATTTATACCTATACAATATATGGTATAAACATAAACGTGTGCAAACTCTAAAAGAAGATACTGCCCACATTTTCTAATAATATAAATTTTACCGTTGGATATTTTGTCTTTGGATATTTTGACCAATTAACGTATGCAAGGATTATACGGGAAATCGGGACATGTGGAAGTTTAGGACGAGGGTTGCCAATCCTAAATAGTTAGGATGAAGACGAAGTAGAAGATAATAATATTATATCTATGCTGTATACAGACTTCCAACTCAAAAATCTCGGGGTGAATTATTCCAAATTTTTGATTTCCCTTTAAAAGTATAATTTAAAATTGACTTTGGTAATTTATATTTAACTACTACAAAAATATGGACAATATGATTAAAGCATTTAGGACTAATTATATATGCATTATATATTTCTTTGATTATACTTCTTTAATATTTATTTTCTCGTTTTTCTTACGTTTTTTCCGTTTTTTCTCATAGGAAAATCAAAAAACTGACCTCTCCAATTAGATTTCCTTTCAGAAAAAGTGCTAGTATTTTAAATTGGAGGAAAATTGCTGGTAGAAAAGTTGTTCACAAAAAAAAAAAATAATAAACATCATTGGATAATCAATACCTATATTCTTCGCTCCTTTCAGAATCTAAAATAGTTATTAATAACTCGTAAACGTCAAATGTTTTAAAAATTGTATCCTGTTTAGAAACGTTTATATAAGAGTATTCTATGAAAATTTCACGTTTCTACAATTATTTTTATCTGAATAACAAAAAGAAAATAACGTAAATATTCCCATTTTTTCTGGTTATATCAAATTATAAAGAAAATCATTAAGGAAATTAAAAAATTATCTTCCTCATGCACCAATTAAACAAAATTTTTCGGAGCAAGATTTCTGGTATAGAAAAGTTGTTCTCAGAAGAAGAAAAAACAATAAAATCATTAAATTCCTTGCCATGTTCAGAAATTCAGAATATATAAAAAATCTCCGCAGAGAGTTATATTACCCGAATCACCCCATTGTAAATACGCTATTGCAATAAAATACCTAAACTGTTTTGGAAAACTAAAATTTTTTTTATGGATATTTTATGTGTAAAGACAAACGACTCTTCTCCGGCTACGACGACGACAATTTCAATACCGACCAAAATATATCCAAAACAACTGTTGTCCAATCAGTGTGGAAAACGGTTGGTAACTTCCTCCTATCTGAGGAAAATGATACAACCGAGAATCGCGTCGGGATTTAGTACTCAGAGGGGTGATCATCCTTGGCAGGTCAGTGAAATGCATAATGGTATTAAATATACGAGTATACCTATTATTCAATTTGATTTTTGGCACTTTAATATTATTATTTTATTATAATTATCATTTTATGAATACTAAATTACAAATTATATTTAGGCTAGTATAAGATCAAAAACACCGGTCGGTCAAACGGAACACGTATGCGGAGCGGTAATAATATCTAAATATCACGTATTGACTGCGGCGCATTGCGTTCGGGATTTGATTAAAGATGTTTACTACGTCAGGATCGGTGACTTTAACATGGACGTAAGTATTGCGCACACATCATACATTATGCTTAAACTTAATGGTACAACTTTACTATAGGTATAAGTAAATTATTTGATGGTGTTTGAAAAGTGATGTAGGTATCAAGTAATTGAATTTCTATCAAATACATTGAACGAAGATGTTTATTAACTGTATGTACTAGGTATATCTATAGCCTATAGGTACCATAACTGTGACATGCAAATATATGGGAATATAGATTTAATTTTTAAATGTATTATAATTTAGTTTAAAAGCAAACAGCAGTTATGGATAATGGATACATACGAAATAAAAGACTACGGAATAAAACATATTACATAGGAATCGTTCATATACGAATATAGAGGGAGAAAATTTAGTGGCATAGCTACCCCTCAAAACTCATTCAAGTCCAACAAATCTAGTCCTTAACAATTAAATACTAAATATTCATAGTCAAAATTACGAGGTATTAGACTCCTCCCTCAAAATATATTTAGTGTATATGTGTCTATAAAATCCATGTTAATGACCCACATCTTTAAATTAATACAAAAAATATGGGAAAAAGAAAGAATTCCTGAAGGTTAGAATGAATCACTTATATATCCTAAATTAAATAAAGTAGATCGGAAGGTGGTTAAAAAATACTGAGGTATATCCTTACCGAATACTGGGTACAAAATATTATCATTAGTAATTCTGAACAGGTTGCAAGAGTACTCAGACGGAATCATAGGTGACTATCAAAGTGGATTTAGGATAGATAGATCAACCACGGCCCACATATTTGTTACTAAACAAATCATAGAGAAATATTACGAATATGCTCAAAATGTACATATGACCTTTGTTGATTAAAAACAAGTCTATGATGGCATTATACGAGAAAGCTTATGGCAAACGTTAGCATACTTGAAAATACAAAAAAAGTTAATCACATTTATACAAATATGCAACACCGAAATCTATAGCGGGATAAAATTTAAAATGTATTATCACAGACTTTTAAGATCAAAAATGGACTACGCCAAGCAGGGGCAAGAAGAGTGGGAAGCAAATTCCGGCCGGGAGCTTCAAATTTATCCAAACCATCCACCATTTAACAATTAAATCATCAAAAAAAAATTTTTTTTATCTATACGCAACTTTTCTGTAAGAAATCTTGTTCCAATTTTTAAATGTAGTATTTTTTCTAAAAGAAAATCGATCTGGGAAGGTATTTTAGGGAGGTCATATTTCGATTTTACCAAGAGTTTTCTCATTAAATGTAAAAAACGGAAGAAAACCGGGAAAATATAAGAAATGTAGGAAAGTAGAAATGTGTACCCACTATCACTCTATTGGTGACATGCATGGTGTATCAAAAGCTACTGTTTGTCATGTAGTAAGAAATATGTCAAAAGTTATAAATGAGGTACTTTTTGCACAATTGGTAAAATGACCCAATTTATGGTAACTGTTGTTCAAAGTTTCTATAGTATAGCTTTAATACCCGTAGTTGTCGGTTGTGTTGATAGAATTTGAATTAAAATTGACGCACCTGTGTTTGGAAAAGCACCAAACTACACATATTTATGCTCCTTAATGTATTCAAGGAGTATTTGATTTGATATTTTGCATATTAAAGAATTTATAGCTACAAAATTAAAACCGCTTTCTTAATAACTAATAATTCTTTTTACAAATTGATTTTATAATACTTATATTATACTATAAAATCAATGCTACAAATGCGATTCTTATTCAAAATATCGGATTGATAAGTCGAAATATTATCATACATTACTTATCAAACTTGTAAAAATAAACCATTGACATTATAATAAGTCTATGAAATAAACAGCCGACTTTTAAAACGTTATTAATTTAACAAATCACTTTCCACTGGATTACATTTTTATGAAACAATGCCTAATTAGACTTGTCTGTTTTTACATGTTACTTGTCTTTATATTATATTATATACCTCATCACTCATTAATCATCATAAACCACGTCTATAATATACCTACTGTTTATTATAATGAATTATTTTATTCTGTTTAGATTAAAGAAGATTCCGAACAAGATATTGATATCGATGAAATATTCAATCATGAACATTTTGAGGGAGACGTTAAATTGAATAACGACATATCTGTAATAAAATTAAAAACTACAGGTATTGAATTCAATGATTATGTACAACCTATTTGTTTGCCTTCGAAAAACATCACATTGAAGTTCAATATGAACTGCACTATTTCCGGATGGGGATCTGATGGTTCTATTGGTTCTAGTACGTAAATAGGAATAATTACGATAAATTTAAAATAATGTCTAAAACTTTAAACATCATTATATATTATAGGTTTCGCTAAAACTCTAAGATCGGCTTCGGTGCCGATAATAGACACGAAAATATGTAAAGCAGCTTATGTGTACGGTAAAGCTGGTATTAGTGATGGAATGTTTTGTGCGGGAAGTTTGGACGGAGGAGTCGATGCTTGTCAAGGTGATTCCGGTGGTCCTATGGTTTGCTCTACTGACTTGGGTAAAAAAATACATTCATATATATTGTATACATAATATCTGTTTTAATTTAACACACTGATTTAACGTTTTACACGTATTTTTGGTTATTTTCGTCCATGCAATTAACTTTATCCTTACTATTAAACGTATTGTAATCTGTCAAAATCGGTATTCGAAATAGACTGGCGACACTATTGCGTGGTATGCATTTACACGGTATACCTAGCTACGTTTGCAATATATTTGATTTTGACCTATGATAATTGTCTGTTATCGAGGTATTGGTGAAAAATATTGCTGTCCATGCCAGTAATAGAAAGAGACCGTTATAAACAGGTCGAAATACATTAATATGCCTATCTTTTTGCCGGGACCTTAGTATTTTGTCCGTTAAGAGAAGTTTCCATCATATACAGGTGTCCATTAATATAGGTTTCACTGCATATATTTTTTAAATAATTACTAATTAATATAGTAGGTCTGTTATATATAACTTTTTTTTTTCCTACTGATTAAATATTATAATAGATTATAAACCACAGTAATATTTACATTTGTAAATACTTCAAAAAATGTTAGAAAATAAAAGACCAAACCTAAACAAAAGTTTTAACCACCAAAATTGTCTAAAAATCTATTTTAGAAAATTACTATTTTTAATTTTTTTAAAAATTTAAATAAAACTTAAAATTGTTTATTTTAAGTTCCCCACCTCATTTTTATTTTTTAAATTTAATTAACTGTAGCGCAGAGGCGTACTAATTATTTAAATAAAAAATATATTAAAAGTATTGCATATTCCAAACTATTAAAGTAATTAATAACATTTAAATACGATGTATAAAGATAAAGACACCCACCCTAATCTTGCAAAACTTTCAGCGGCGATCACTTCTCAAATAAGCATTCGCTATGTCACTATATAGAATAGGTAAACTTTATGGTATTGTAATTTTGTTTAGGTGAAACGGTTATGGGCATAACAAGTTGGGGTCATGGCTGCGGACAAGAACATAGTCCAGGAGTTTATACTAATGTTCATTATTACGGAGAATGGCTGTTAAAAACACTATCAAAGTCTATGGTCGAATTTCAAAAAGAAAAGTAGTTGTAAAATACTTAGAAGTTAAATACGATTTAATTGTTTCAACTATTTTAAGTTTTTATTTGTAAATTTTAATGTCATCACACCCTTTATTTCTATATTCTATTTATATTTTTCTTTAAAGTTATAATTGTTTACACTTTATAAACTAGTATTTAATATATCTACCCCTATAAATAATATTATGCCTATATATTATTTTTAAAATAGAAAAAATTATTGAATTCTAATTTAGGGAAATAAAGTAACATAAATTACTGGAATTTTGTTATTTTACTAGGCTTAAATTAAATAATAGGCTTTTTATCGGGTACTCTTTTGACCTCGGTTAATTTTCGAATGTTTTTCGTTCAATGACACGGAAAACGCCGGGTGGGACATTCATTACTTATATAAATAATATTCGTTTATACATTAATCGTGATATTATGTATTCTAATAGATAGGTAACAATTTTTTTCAACACAACAATCTCTACTTAAGATAGATAAATCTAAAATTCTAACCAAGTCAACACCAATTTAAAAAGAGCTGCATTATGGTAATTTTGGAGCGAAAATCCATACATAATAGGGACTATAACGTGTACAAATATGATACAATACATACTTAACAAGTACACCAATACTCGAGCACTTGTACAAGTAGCCAAGTACACCATTCTCACGGCTGGCTGTATAGAAATAATAAATAATAAAATAATACTGTTTTTCCTGATCCACATGAACCGATCGTAGGGTCATAATTACAAGTATAATGCGCGTTCCTTTGACTTGTGTTTCATTTACCGACAATCTTCGGGAAGGGCACCAGTGACCAACAATTGTATAAGTATACTGATCCGATGGCATGATAAATAACCACTAGTGCCAAATATTACCAGTCGTGGGAATGCGGCTTAACGATAATATGCAGACGGATAGTCTGTAATTTGTATTTTATGATATTACCGAAAACTAATCTCATAATTCTGACGATGAATTGTCGTTGACCATCGTGTTTACTATGACTTTTTGACATATAACTCCAGACCCACATGTGTATATTTAGAAACGCATTTACTAATATTATTACAATCGACGGTACTCATTGATTATGGACGGCGCAAAATCTTATCTAGATACCGTCCATTGTCAATAAATCTAAATACATCTATTATTAGTTGGATAAAAATTAAATTTTAAACGTCTAAATAAAGTACAATATTATTTTATTAAATATGTGTAAATATAAATATTTTTCTGTATCCTAAATTAAATATCATAAATTTATAGGGGCCCATGGGCTACAGCCCACTTAGCCCTCCCCTATACTATATATATAATTTATTATAAAGGCACTTTCATACGGGGGTTTAAGGAGGGTATAGACCGATTAGTGAGAGAGAAATCAATTTTGTACTCGGGACAGCCAATTAAAACACTCAGTTTTTTATCTCACATGTTTTTGTCCTCGAAATTAAACTCCACTTACCAGAACGTGTTTTCATGCTGAGTGTTTTCAAAATTTATAGAATATATATTCTATGATCTATAAAACTTTAGTAGTGTTCCTTCTAGCTCAGTGGTCACCACTAAGATTCTGATAAGGGCCAAGTATAATTTTTGAAAATTACTTGCTGCTCGCTTATAGTAAATTAATTCGAATTTTTATTGTAATATTGACCTGAAAGAAAAATGTCTTTGTAAGTGTAATTTTTTTTATTATATACATTTTTGCTCGTACCTACCTAATTATCTGCCAAACTGGTAATTCAGTTAAAGTTAAAAATCGACAGATAAAATAAACAAGAATAATGAGAAAATAAAAATAAAAGGTATGATTGCATGTATTTTATTTTATTTAATATTTAAAAATATAGAATTTTGAGAAAAAAAAGAGAAAAGAGTCAATTTTGAATTTTAGAATGTACAAATCAATTTTAGACGTTTAAGTACGGGCCGTGTAGCGAGGACCGCTGGTCTAGCTAGAAGTCCATGAATATGATAATGAAAACATGTGATCATGTCAACATAGATAGTGATTTTGATAACACAATTTTCATAATTTGTTGTTATCATTACTGGCAAAAATCGTTATTAACCATACTACTATCCATTCTATTTCACTTAAAGTTCAACCTGTTCTACGATATATTAAGAGGTCAACCGTATTGTACTCAAATTGAAAACCATTATTTTATTTTCAGCAGGAAAAAAAATTATTTTGGTATCTAGGTAGTAGGTAAGTACTGAGGCTAAATTTTGTAACTAAATGAAAAATACAAAACTAAGATCACAGTAAACGTTAATATATTTAACGTTTAATCTAGACTATATGTACTTTTTTAAGCAAGTGAACAAATGTACAATAAGGTGAAGTTTCAATTTTATTTATAGAAGTAGGTACTAGGTATGTTTTAAATAATTATGGAAACTTAACAAAATATGCCAACAATTTATTAATTTTCAATTAAACGGTTTTATGCAACTTCAATATTTATAAAGATTTATACTTATGAAACTATATTAAATCGTTTTATCATACCTACGTAATGTATACATGTCACGGGTAATTTTAACATTTGAATAATGTCAATATTAGCCGGATAATACAACATTAGCCATATGTTATCACTAGCCGCTATGAATATTATTAAATTTTGGCTAATGTTAACATTAACCGGATAAAGATAATATAATATTATCCAAGAACTTTTGAATAATGTCTTAACAACTATTATAGAAATGTATCATGAATGAGATAAAATCATTTTAAATTATTAATTTGACATAATATTAATGATATAGTATAATAATTATAAAATAATATGAGTTTATTTCTAATGAGTTATCTACTGTTTTCTTTTATTATTGCATGCTTCCATGACATTTTGAATTACACTTTTATCAATTGGTGTCATATTTCCATTCATTAATTGTATATAAGTATTTTTCATTTGATAAATAAGTTGAATTATCTTCTCGTTTTTCGGACAAAAGTTTCTCGAATAAATGATAAAACTCTATTTTTTTTGTCCCATTTTATTTAAATAAAACAAATTAAAACACTTCATAATTTTACTCGCGTTTCAAATATTGCACTCTCAATAATTACCAGTCAAAACTGACCAATTACAAATTGGCATCGTGTATTATATAGTCTATATTTACTTTTCACTTTATCGATAAGATAAATTATAAGTTAAGATAAGTAATTATACTCTGGCAGTCCGACGCTTTATTATTGTGATACTATAGTATACAGCAGACATGGGCATAGAATTTGAGCGTTTTCTGTATTTTGTTTCATTATATTTTTCATAAAGATATGAACTCGTATCTAATATTGAACTGCAGCAAAATAATTAAATGTCTAATTATATTATGCGAATGTACATTTTCCAAAAATTGGCCTTTTAGTAACTTTGAGTTTCTCAACCCGAGTATACAGAATGCTAACAAAAACTTACTTTATTCAATAAATAACTTTTAACATTATCTAATATTACTGGTTAACATTACTATTATCTGGATAATGTTAATATTTCATGTATATAAACAAACAATAACACATTAGCCAAAAAGCATGGCTAATGTCAACATAATCTAAATGTTAACATTTAGGCTTAAGTATTTATATATTCTACTATAACTTGGACATTTTCAGAAAAAGCATCTAATTGACAATTTACATTAAACCATGTAGATTTGCATTTGAAAAACCAAAGTTAGTATTGTTACAGCATACTCCTATGTATTGTGAAAAATCAAAGTACTCTAAAATATCGTATTTCACCACAATTAAAAATTCCAAGTATCAGAATTTAAATTTATGTATAATTAACCATAAAAATGGGATAAGCAGTGAACATCCTTAAAAAACACTTAGTTTATTATAAATATTTAAGAAAAAAGAGATAATGGGGGGATACATCCTCCGTTTAACTGATCTAATGGTTAACATACTTTCCTATCATAAATTATTATTCCCGAGTTGTTGATAAAAAATTAAATATTGGTGCCTTTTATCGTTGATTTTAGAATAAAGGATACTTGCCACAACTATAAAATCAATGTTTGTGTTAAAAATATACTTACGTCCTATCCAGTATAATTAGTATAAATCTCAAAATAACACTAATTAGTAAGTAGCTATATTTTAATTGCACGAATATTATATAGATAACATACGTGTAGTCGTAAAGATTGGCGCTTTACTGAAAAAGTGTACTAGCAAGTTTATACAATACTGTTGTTCTACTATAGGACTGTAGGAATTATTCTGCACTGCTGCGATCAACGTGACATGTGACTCCATAAACGTTAGATCTACCTTTAAATCAAGGTAGAGTGTAAATTAAAATTGAATCACGTGAGGAAAAAAAGGATTTAACGTAAGGCTTTTATTAAAAATACATAATACGCACATATTTTGTACATGATGAACTATTGAACCTGTTCGGATAAAACGTAACAAAGTTAAAATAATATAACTTACTTACCTACTCCAATGTTTAATCTAAAACTAAATGTATACAACTGTCAAAAATGATATCGGGTTATCTGAAAATAACATTCTCTGGCATCAGTGCCGTAGCACTGGGAGCACACAGCCCCAATTAAATAACAGGTGATTGGTATTCTAGCTTAACAAAAACTAGATACACAAAATTAAGTGCAGTACCTGCCTAGAACATTTTTTCTGGCGTTATTTATTACGCTTTTCATGACAAAATAACGAATAATAATAATTTAATAAAAAATAGTTATTTTGTCATGACTCATTGCTCACTCCGTAGGAGTAGGCACCGTACCAATGTGCACCGATACATAAAAATAATATTATTAATAAACATAAATAATATTTTGATAATAATTTGAGTTTCAGCCATTTTCGGTTAGGCAGTGGAGTTACAAACTTTAAATAATTCTAGAAGCAAATCAGTGTTTTACAACCATCGTCCACCTTGATCTATCAATTTGTACAATACCTACAGCCGATATAATAGCTATATAGTATATATATGTTTAGCAATACGTGTTACTCCCTCCTAATCATATAAATTTTAGAAAAAACCACCCACCTGCCCTACACAATATAATTCAGAAACAGCTGCTTCTGGAAACCATGGTTCATTACACCACTGCGTTTAAGTATATATATTTGATATTTAATTTTATTGTATTTGTAAACTCAATTTAGATACTTCATAAGACTTCTGTGTTACGACCAACTTCAAGTCTAGAAATGAGATTGAGTTTTTGAAAAAATAGCACGATATTTCTTCAAAAACGCAGCTGGGGTTCGAATTCATTGTCGGTCTTGGTCAGCTATCCGATGTTTATGGTGATTCAGATTACTGATAACTGCAGAATGTAGACAGATAGTTCTTTTATTCTGTGCGAGATTGTTGTGGACAATTTAAGGATAATCATGCAAGTGTACATAAAAAAGAGGTTTAGTTATAGTAGATTATAGTAGGTGTAGACGTTGAACACAATGCCCCAACTTGTTCATAAAGTCACTCATTTTTTATAACTTAATGATAAAATCCGATACTGATATCGAATTTTAAACTTTAAAATTAGATATACTCCTATTTCCAATAAAAACATTAGTGTTACTTTTATTGTATCTATACTTACCTATAATTATTCCATAGTACGATCAACCTCCGAATAATACGTTTGCTATTATTCATACTTATATGACAAGTCTAAATTGTGTTGAGATTGTACTTATAGACTTACAACCTTCTTAACTTCACCTATACCTAAAACAAAAACAATGAGGCGTTAACACCTAAAACCCCTCGGGTTACGCCACTGGTATTACTTAATATTGAACGTTGTGATTCATTATTTCAATTATATTTTTATACGTCGTCTCATTCATCTCGTTTAATTTTCTATTTGCACTAATATTGTTTCCTATGTATTTTTATGTATTCATCTCGGAAAATACTGTTATCGGACGGTTTTCTGCGGCAATAAATAGAATCAAATAGCAATATAAACCGGAGGATATTATTAGTTATTACTATTTTAACCATTGGTACCTATTACAGTAAATATAATATATAACTTTAGATTTAATTGTTTTTCATAATAATTTTATAAAATTCAATCTAATTGAATATGTTTATAATATAACATATTATTCAGTTTTAATTTGAAAAACGTTCAGTCATTAAACTGATACAATAATGATGGTGACACGTAGGGTTGCCATAATTTTATAAAGCAAATCCAAGACGAATAGAAAAATCATTAACTAGCAAATAAAATTAGAATAAAAATATGATTGAATCATATTAGATACCTATATAATCTATAAGTATTAAAAACCGACTTATTATTTTATAAACTAAAACTATACAACAAAAATTGTTTTAATTTTTTTATAGTTTATAAATTTATTATAAAAATAACAAATTTATAATTATTTTTTTGTCATCAAAAAAATCATGCGGAGTATCCGTGTAAACCCGGAGAGGTGGCACCCTTATCATCTTATGCCTACAACTTGCTATTAAAATTGTACCTGAGTGATCGTACTTTTGTCGTACTTCAGAACTCAAGCTACTCCTCTAACAACTTTAATATTCTAGCAGGAGTTCCTAAGGACTCACGTATATTTCTAAAACATATTTTACCGAACTCTGCACTTATGTGAACGACACGACAATTGTGCAGGCGCGTCCTCGAGAAATTGAGGGGGAAAAGCTTAAAAGCTAAGTTAATACGAGGTGTGGCTATTAAATAGCGAGACTGGTTACCAAAAAGTGTTTTATTATAAAAGTTATTCTACATTTAAATGCTCCCCTTCAATATACTCCCCTCCCCTTGCCACACACCGTTTCATTCGTTTCTTCCATTGCTCGAGACAGTGCTGGAAGTCTGTTTTCGTAAGACCATTCAGAAGTTCCGCCGATTTTTGTTTCACCTCTTCCATCGACTCAAACCGGATTCCTTTTAAGGCAGACTTTATCTTCGGAAACAAGTAAAAGTCGCAGGGTGCCAAGTCGGGTGAGTAAGACGCGTGTTCGAGTACTGGAGTACCTTAAGCGGCCAAATAACGCTTCACGCTTTATCCTGGTGCAAGATCCACGACTTGTTTTTCCACAATATCGACCGTTTCTTACGAACTCATTCGCGCAATGTTGCCAAAACTGTCAAATAGTAATGTTGGTTCACAGTTTGACCCTCTGGAACCCATTCAGTCATCACGATGCCGTTGATATCGAAGAAAACGGTTTTGAATTTGNCCGAGATAGGAAATCCTCACTATAGGCCTCTTTTAACAACTTATAGCACTCAGTTGGAGTTTTTTTTAGTTTAACGAGAAAATTGTACGTTTATCCGTTGCTCATGTTTTTCGGCACGAGAAAAAAACACGTTCGTTTCAAACCACTACTGCACAAATACTATAATAGTGACGAAAACGTGTTTTGGTACGTGCATAGATAAGATATCTAGATACCCAATGCAATACTCGTTTTTTTCACTACCTATCTAGGGCGCCCTCTAGGCGAGCAGTCTCGTTGTTTAATAGCCACACCTCGTATAAGTTGAAATAACACCAGACATAAAGGTTTTAAGTTTTTGTTAATCAAAGCGGTGGTAATCAAGAGTAAAAATTGTTTGCCCCCTCTCTATGAAATTTACCCGGAGACACCCTTGAACAATACTATTAACCGAGCTTTACTCAGAATCGTTTTTTGTTGGCAATGCTTAAATTTGCTTAGTTACAGATATACATTAAATTTCCCTCAATATCCTACGTTCCCAACTTCTTATCTGTAACAATAACGGTGGTCCACCCTTCATGTGAAGTAAGTCGGTATTTTTTTTTCTTTATCAATTATTAATATTAAATTTAATTAATTTGTCCCTCCTCCCCATAGTCAAGGTCTGGAGATATCCTGCAATTGTAACCTCTAATGAAAATCTAATCATAGTTTTGTATGTGATTCGAAGACACGTTAACATAATTCATCTTTGAACAAAGAGTTAGATAATCAAAATCAACGAGCCTACATAACATTTACCTTAAAAAAAGTAATATGCCCTAAAGTCATATTGAACATACCAATCCCCATTTTCTTAAAAGTAAAGTACTTAGGTGTCATACTAGACAGAAAACTAACCGGGAATCCTCAACTAAAAGACAAACTTATACCTATTAATGCCCGCCTTCATCTACTAAGGTGATCTAAAATGAAAATTAATAACTAACTATTAGTTTACAAATCCCTACTCAAACTATTATGGACAAACGGCACCCAACAATGGGGAACTGCAAAACCTTCCAATAACCGTATAAGTCAAGCCTTCCAATCCATTTGTTTCAATGGTACCGAATCTTTATATTAGGTGTGACGGCTGCCACAACTCATTTAAGAGGTGGGTGTACCTAAGGTGACCACACATCCCATTTTGAATGACACAGTTCCAAAAATGTCCCATTTTCAGAATGTAAACAAATAAATAACGAGAATCAATTGTATACACGGTGGAAGGTCGGGTTTGTAGTTAAATTTCTTGAACGTCGTCGCCGGTTATTGGATTTATTGAAGAAAATATGTTCCAACGAAAAATATATTAGTATATAATTTTCTTTATATTATTAAGTAGAAAAAAAAATGTCTATTATAAAAATTAATTACTTATTAAAAATAATAAGTTTAATTAATTCATTTCATTTTTGTTCCGTAAAAATATAATACAGTAAAACTTCCATATAACGGTCATCGAAGGGACTGGAAATAATGACCGCTATTTAGAGGTGACCGTCCTTTAAAAGTTTCCTATAAAGGCATAACACTTGACGGGACCAAAAAAATTGCCATTTCACGGAGGTGACCGTTAACGGAAGTTAACTGTAATGGATGTATAACTTTATTTATGATTATTAGAAAAAAAAAGTTTTGTTTACACAAAAAATGATAATGCAGATGCATTTTTTTTTCCTGTTTTTACCAAAAAATATATGGACACCTTAGGTATACTCCCTAAAATTGGTAGTTTAGAATAAAATATTGTACATTTTACAATTAATATAAGGAGCAGTAGACATAATATTACAGATAACGCGGACTAGTTTATTCCTAGACTGGCATAGCGTGCACTGTACGATTCCATTAGTAAAAGCAGATAATTATTTGACTATATCTATAACATATGACTATTTAATAATAGTTTTACGATAAATAACCAATGGTACCTAAAAAATTTCTAAATCTACAATAGTGGCTACAGCTAGTTGACAGTGTTGTACTCAGGCTATACAGAGTGAAAACATATATACCGTGTACATGTTTTCTGTATACTATCGTGTATAATAAAAGATAGTGATGATATTATTTAACTTTTTTTGGTTATATTCGAGATTATATTTTTGTGATAAAGGAATAATATAATTTTGTATAAATTCAGAAGATAAAAAGGACGAACATATTTCGTACGTGAATGTAGCCACTGCTGTAGGTGGGAAGTAGGGAAGATAGGATACAGAAGGGAATTTGATGTATATCTGCAAGCAATGATAAACATTTGCATACGAAAAACCATTCTGAGCGGAGATCAGTTTATAGTATTGTTTGTCAACAATACAATATATGGTATATATCATATTATGGTAAATTGATTAAAATAATGTGCGTTTCTATGACAACGATTGTTTAAAACAGATTTAAAATAATAAAAACTTAATAGTAACAATAAATAAATAAAAGCGGTTGCCAATGACAACCTTATTTTTAATCTTTCAATCTTTTTTAACTTAAAGACCGAGGTTTTTCTTTTCGCCTAGAATATTAATGAGAATTTCAAAAAATGACCTCTCTAAAGAACCATCCAGAGAACATTTCATAAAAGGTGCTATATTTGATAATCGGAGTAGGCTTTCTGGTAGGAAAAGTGTTCACAAAAAAATAAAATAAATATTATTTTAAAACTAATACATTTTTCATTCAAAAAATCAAAAAATATTATGCTAATCAAACGAAAAATAATGAACAAAATATATTTATATTGAAAAAGACGAACATACTTGGGTGGGCTACTGTTATAGATGAGAAGTTGGGATGATGAGGATAAAAAAAGGAATTTAATGTATATCTGTACTCAACAATTAATCATTGCTAATAAAAAACGATTCTAAGCAGAGTTCGGTCTTCGGTTATACATGTTTTAAAGAGCCGTAGGTAATATTTATGATTTTCGTCAAAATTCGATATCAAAATGTTAATAAAAAAATATAACATTAAACTCAACGTTTTTTTTTTGGCCACTATGTTACAACCTATACTGAAACTCCTGTTAAATTTTGAATCATTTCTTTTTGGTCTAACAATTTTTTCCACCGAGTAAGTACTTACCTACTGAATAAAAATTACGTAAAATTTCCCAAAATTATAATGTTTATAAATAGTTTATGAATAGCTCAAATGTTTTGAAAATTGTATTTCTTCTAGTAAAGGTAAATATAAGTTCTCTGTCTAAATTTCAAGTCTCGACGAATATTTTTGAATGAATCGTAACAAAAAAACAAAACAGAAAATAATAAAATCATTATTTTCGTAATTTGTTTGTTTTGCTCAATTATTAAGAAAACGACTTTCTAACTTACCAATAAAATTAACAATTCAAAATTGTCATTTTTCGATTGGAGCATTATTACTGGTAGAATATATCGTGTATACAAATTTAAAAAAATGAAATCGGTAACGCCGTCCTGTAAATATATGCCGTTTTACTTATAATTTTCTATCGGGGTTTTTTATGTTAAAGAGAATGGTACAATCACAGTTTTTCAGAAACTATTATTTTAGAAGTTATATTGGTTTAGTGACCGTATATACATATACGTGGAACAAATAATAACTGTAGGTACGGTTTTCTTTAACACCAACTATAATTTTTTTTATAATTGTTTTAGCAAGAACATAATTCAAATAATCTTTGAGAATTAGCGTCGAAAAAAAAGTCTAGTGTTTTATGGAGACATTATTTTAACTGTTGATTATTGTCTGACCAGAATTTAACTTTATTTCTAAAATTACAAGTATATTATAAATTATAGATTTTTTCCATTTAAGGTGCCAAAAGATTACCCTTCGGTTGGGGATTGACCAAAATATATAGGTATGATCACTATCCGAACTGATAGCAGAATCGGTATGATAATATTAATTGAACTTTTAAATACACAGTAAATTAAGAAGTTTCGATATGAAATATTGACATTTGTATAGAAAATTACGAGCACTAATAGAAATAGCTGCAATCTGTAGAAAATATAACTGGGTTATAACCAGAATAATAATATAGATAATGGGTAATAATAAGATGGTACATAGAATGTAATCAAAATTATTTCTTCAGATAAGACCATAGAACTTGCGATAATTTCTGTCTTCAGTGTACGGAGCGGAGCTGCGGCCGGAGCACAACATTTTTATAGAGTGAAATGGCGTGGTAACGAGGGGAATAAAAATTAATGAAATAACTGAACACAAAGAACGAAAAAACACAATCATACTGATTGCAGTCTATAACACCACTACCACAATAAAGCCTGTAACAACACATTATTAATGATATCGTCAGTCGGATAATAACGGCAAATTTATATCAAAGACAAAACATTTATTATTATTATCGCGTTGGTGGAACATTATAGTGTTTACGATGCGATGAACATTACACACAAAAATAACGCGCAATAGCGATGGAAAATAATATTTTCACGTATCTAATCAGAAAGCTAATACGATAAGAAAAAAAAAAACCAATAAAAATATCGATGACGTTTTTACCGCGCAAATAATAATATGATAATTACCTATTAACTATCATAAATTTCCATCGGTCGAACAGGGGACCGTTAACATAACAGGAATTAATATAGAGAAATGAAAATAAAAAAATACTACGTGTCCACGTTATCTTTTCGCGTTAATTCTCCGAAAGAGGCGATTCTGCAGTATCAACAACATACATCACAATATAATATTATTATCTACTAACTCTGTCGCTATCAAGCATTGAATAATATTATAAAATATTTATCATGTAAATATATAGGTGCGATACGAAATAAAAAACAATATTAATTCATAAAATACCGGTGACATAATATTGCTGACGTCGCATCTGCTTTGAAAATATATTCATAAATTGTAACACCGAAAATACTACTATTACTACGAAATATATTATTTACTAATACCACTACTACTACTATTACTACTAACACTACTATTTACTTAACGGAACGCCGAATGCCAACGACCACAACGCGTTATAATAATTTATTATACCAAATACGAATACGATTAATAATTACGCTGTTATTGTTGGAGAAGATACGCGGTAGAATTAGTTGTTGGCTTGGCAACACTGTAGCCAAAAGATTGAAAAATCGGCTTGTTCGTTACGCGCGCAATGACCGCGTTCGCGTACCGACACCGACGTGAACGGCCGGACGACCAACGCCAGCGTGAGTCTCCCCCGTATGCGTCGTGCCGCGTGTGTGCTGATGAATGACGGGAGCGGTGACGGCAGTTAGTATCATATGGCGAGACTGGCCGGCGGGAGGGGGTGTCGAGACGTACGCCGTATGGCGGAGTTTGTACTACAGATAACGTGGAAAAAAAAAAGAAATCACAAAAACAACAATACGCGTTACGCGTAACGTGTATATCATATCTGTATGATGGTCGTACGGTACAATAATAATGTAATGTTGTATACGTTATTAATGTTACTATACGGGCGCGGGATTTGAAAAAAAAAAAAAACCGAATACTATAGAAACGCAAAAGCGTTGAGTCGTGTGCGTGCGTGCGCGACAAAAACGCGCGGGGGGCGAGAGAGCGCGCGCGCTACCCAACGTCCGGTGCGCGCGCGTGTGAACGTGCTTGTGTGTGGTCGGGTGCGGTGGTGCGGGGGAACACCGTTTACGCATGCGCACATCAGTCTGCGATCTGAGTTGGTCAGAAAATGGCGTCAGTCAAGTTTCTGGAGGAAGTACTCAGTAAGGACGTGGACGAAAACGCGTTCAGTGCAATAGTGGTGTCGCTGGAAAGCGAGCTCGTCACGAACACATCTGTCGTTTCCACCGGCAACAGGAGTCACTCCCTGACTGGTCACAACAGCAATGCTATCGCAGCTACCACGGCCGCGCCGCAAAAACAACAACAGCAGCACTTGGTCAACGGCACCAGGGCCGCCTCCTCGATGAACAAGTGTATTACTATAGCTGCCACCACCACAACCCACAACAACAAAACTTTAATGCCGGGCATCAGTCAGGCGGATTTTGTTGGCCACCAACAACACCATCAGCATCAACAACAAGTACAGCAACAGCATGTCGTCAATCCTACCCTGGCTCACAACTATGCGGCGACGCAACCGATGAAGTTGCAAGACCCTGTTAAAGTTGTCTATTCCAATTCAGCCAACAACCGTAACTATGTCCCGGTCAACTCATTGCCAAATGGCACCATCAACTCCACCAGTACAGGTTAGATCAACTTAAGAGTTTGTTGTTAGTCTCATTAAGTTTCAATGCTAAACATCATTTCTGTATATAGGTATACAATAGATTTATTTCAGTACAAATTATTGATGTAATGTTTACATCATAAATTTAGTTGTTAAAGTTACAATTCAACTGTTTCAATTGCATGGGTATTGCTAAACAATATTGTAAACTTGTATTCCAATTTGTAACTGATTAATATTATTCTCTATGGGTTTTACATGGTTTTATATAAAACAACAATTCTTATAATATCCATTGATGAAAAGTTAAATTAAATTGTGTTTATTTACATTACCTATGGACAGTGAATTACAGTGTAATTTATGACCTATATATGCTAAGCTCTCGCATGATATTAATACATTTTGAAAGTTAAGAGTTAAGAGATAAGTAACCCACTTTTTTCTTGTATTTCGTTTTTTCAATTTGATTACACTCCAGTAGTTATAATGTTGACAATATTATACACAAAACTACATTCAACATGTTGACAGTTAGATGCCTGAAATGAGTTTAAATATTTTAACTAAATTTAACACATTTTACATAGATAGATATTTCTTGTGTAAATTGTATTTTAATATTTGTTATCATCAATTTATACAAGTGTATTTATTTCAACTTTGCCTAGTTAAAATATTTTTTTTGTGAAATTGTTCATCTATAACCTATTGAAACTATTAAGTTAGATAACACTAATATAATTAGGTTAGTTAATTTTTGTTAATTACACAATTTTTTCCTAATCATTTTGGTTTTGTTTTAGGAACTGGAACGGCTGTTGTGATTAAATCAACTCCTCAACAGCAACAACAAAATTCACCTCCAGTTTCCACAATGACATTAACTGGACAAGTTTCATCCAATCAATCTCCAACTACATCCAATGTCATTACTGTTTCTAAACAAGGTGTAGGTTCTAGTAACACTCCTCAAACAATTCTACCAGCAAATTTACAAATACTAAATGTAAATGCTTTACGACCTCAGAATTCACAAGGTGGTGGGGTTAATAATAAAAATATGTCAAGAGTAATGTTACCTCATCAAGTAGTTAATGCCCGACCTGGAGCACCAGGGGTAAGTTAGAATTTATCAAATATTAAATATTAATATGAACTCCTGTTATGATTTATTATGTGTTCAAAGTGTTGCATCTATTTATTTTTTAAGAAAAGAAAGGAACTTAAGAATAGGATGAACCACCCAGGTTGTATACTAGACAAAATTAAACAAGTGTTGGATAACAATTTTGAATGGCCGAGTTAGTATAATGATATAAAATAGTATGACACACCATTGATGATGTATGTGTTAGTGTGTTGAGCATTTAATATCAAGGATAAAATAAAAATGGAAAAGTAGAAATAAGAATGTTAACGTGGAAGTGTAGGGAGCCTAGGTTTGGAACGATAATTATAATAGTCTAAGAATAGCGGGTAGTTTATATAGGACTATATGAAGGCATGTTACGTAAATTGAGTCATTATAAAGGAGGTTTATTATCATTATCTAAAGGCAGTGCCTTGTGATAACCATTCATTGCTGTTGTTCCCTAAACTGTATATTAAATGATAAATATTGTGATAGGGAGATATGAGGGGAAAAATCAGAGTAACTGACCCTAATTGCATGAGATAGAGCCAAAGATAAAGAGCTAAAATATATGAGTTGTATGTATTATTAGAAAAAAAGAGATTTTGTGTAGGATATATTGAAATACCCAGATTATATAAAATATGTTTATTATGTATTCATGTAATATTTTGAAATTATAATAAATTATAGCTTACATTACAAGCCCTTCAACAAGCACAAGGTGGACATATATTATTAAAGACTGAAAATGGCCAGTATCAGTTATTACGTGTTGGTCCTGCACCTGGTCAAGGAACTGCCATTACTCAAAATAATGCAAATTTTAGAGTACAATCTGTTCCTACAGCTGCAACTGTAAGTTTTATTTAATAATTCTATTTAAAGTTATTTTTATGTAGTTGTTTATCTTAGTTTTTTGGGCCTATTTAAATAATAATAATAACAATACTAGTTTTCTAAAATTCATAGGTTTAACGTAATTTTAGCTAAGGATATTAGTTAAAAAACCATAAATAAAATTTGATTCTATAATAATAACAATAATAATAACAACAATAATAATAATAATAATGCAAATAAAAGGTATAGATATATGTTTGAATAAACGTTTTAATTGTATTTATACAGGGTGTTTTTTTTTTTTTTACCGTGAACCAGTAATTATCTATCTCTGTGGACTTTAAGTGAATTTGATTTCTGTTTTAAGCTTTATTTTAAATCCATTTTAATTTTTATCTCTACTCCATATACTTAAAATAAGTACATACTTTTGGTTTCAAATAGGTACATATTTTTGGACGATTATTCGAATTATGAATATTTTTTGGAAATTTTGGTATGCGTAACACTAATATCAGTTTTATCGTTTAAGAGTTATAACTGTTTAAAGTTTTGATCGGAGAAGTAGAGAAGGGTAATAAATTGTACATCTATTATTAAATGATAAATTGGTGGGGATATCAATTTGAAAAGTATTTATTTATTTATAGTATATGGAATAGGAGTAGAAAAATAAAAATGGTTTTGAAATAAAGTTTACATGAATCCACAATGATTAAAAAAAAAAAAAAAACAAATCAAATTCACTTTAAAACCTTCAAGATAATTGTTGGTTCATGATAAAAAAAAGTTACTCTGCAGTGTCATACGTTTTTGATACATTTAATTTTACTTTTTACTTTTGTTACCTATTAAACTTTTGCTGATACATTGTAGTTTGGTTAGTTTAACTTGTTATTACAAACTGTAATAAATTATTTGACATTATTAATAATTTTATTTATTAAACTATATAATTGTTTTAAAAATGAAAACGTTTACTGTATTAATTATTAAATCCAGTAAAGTCATATTCATATTGTTTATTTCTATTTCTATTTACTAATAAAATATAGTAACACAATAATGAGTTATTAAATATTTATTTTTTACAAATATTTTTTTGGTACCATTCAGTTATCAGATAATAATAACTAACAACAAGAAATGATATAAACTGGCCTTTCTACTAACTTTTTTAAATGGTTTGCTATAAATACTTTAGAACAAGTCTTAAATGAACTTATAGAGAAATTTGTAAGTGCGTATAAAATTGAATGACGGAATACAATTTCAGAACAATGTTTCTATTGCTGGTACACCAACGACACCAACTCAAGCAATAGCTCAACCTCAACCGGTAATTTTCATTAATTAATCTTATAAAAATCTTGTGAAATTCAAGTAAATTGTGATGTTTAATAATTTTCAAGGCTCAGCAAAAAGTTCAACAAGAAAACACAAAAGAAAAATGTCGCAAATTTTTAGCCAATTTGCTTGAGTTGTCAAGTAAAGAACCAAAACCTGTAGAAACAAGGGTGCGGAATCTTATACAAGAACTGGTTGATGCAAAAGTAGAACCAGAACAATTTTGTGATAGGTTGGAGAAACTATTGAATGCTTCACCACAACCGTGCCTTATTGGATTCCTCAAGGTATTAATATTATTATTTTGTATATAATTCATTTTTATTAAAATATTTTTGTTATTTGTTTATAGAAAAGTTTACCACTCTTGAGGCAATCACTTATGTTAAAAGAAATGGTGATTGATGGCATTCGGCCACCACAAATCAGTTCGTTGACTCAACCTACTGTTGTTTTAGCTAATCAACAGCAAGCAACGGTAAAATTATTTATTTATTTTTATACTACATATTTAATCAAAATTTGGTTTAAGAATTGGTCTTTTAAACTTTTTATTAAAATATTAATCTAATAAATTATTAATAATATATGTACCTAAATTATTTTATATTGATTAAAAATAGCATTATGTTAATAATTGCTTAAATAGTTTAAATTTTATACTTTAGAAAATATAAAAAGTATAAATGATTTAAAGTACAAAAACTGAAAATTCCGATTTTTTTTTTAATATGTTGTTCTTATAATCATTACCTACGTAAGATGTAGCCAATGTTATCTATACAATTGTTCTGAAGTAAACTGTGTTTTGTTTTATTTATTTGTTATCTGTTTGATTACATATTTATTAATTTATAAATTCATACTTGAAAATTATTATAAATAATATGGAGTTTCCTTATATTTTATTTTTTTCGCTGTGTTTTATGTGATAAATGCCAATTATTAAATAAATATTAATTTTTAAGTTTATTTAATGTTATTCAAATTTGTATTATCAAATTGTAGATTATGGATATAGTATTCAGTTTTATATTTTTGTGTAGTTGATTTTACTAAAAATTAAAAAAAAAAAAAAAAAAAAATAATTTGTAGTATAATATTTATATATAAGTACTCAGTATTTTATACTAATATTGTCCCTCTATATTTTGTTAACGCACTACTCGTAAGATAATATAAACAAAATGTTCGAAAAAATCTATTTTTTCTTTAATATCCCTTTATGACAATTTTGAATTTCCATTTAATGGCAATGAAAAAAATTATTTTATGTCGTCAATCTATTAAGTAGCTATTTAAGCTCAATATGAATCAAATTGGTTAGTAAACAATTTTTATGCAATATGTATTTATTACCTACTAGATGTTTTTATTTAAAAATAATTCCTGCCATTTTTGTAGTGTACAATTTTAACGTTGATATAATATAATATAATTTATATGATATATATATATATATATTATACAAAATTTCATATTTTAGTGATGACAAATGTATTAAAATTTGCATTTCTTATACATATCTATCACTTTGAAATTTGGTGGACTGAAAGCAATAACTTAATAAATAATAAATACTACATACAGTGTTGTTATTTTACATTCCGACATACAAATTGTATGACTACAAGCTATATGGCATTAGTTATTTTAGTAATTAAATATTATTATATTTTAACTAGAATACACAAGTAATGGCAAATATCTTAAGTACTGCTTCTAATCAACAAACGGTTAGAATAATGACTTCCCAACCAACCCTCACGCCAGCAAGGACAATTAATACTCAACAACAACAACAACAACAACAGCAACAACAACAACCACAACCACAACAACACCATCAACCACAACCACATAGGATTATTTCTGTAAGTAAATTTATATTCTTTAATCAAAATACATTTTACAAAAATAAACCCGACAATATTATGTTCACTTTAAATAAATGTATTATTAAATCATAAATCTTAAAGATAACTAGTTAATAAATGGAAAAGTAATGATGTTCATAAAGTTTATAAAGTAATCATTTTTTATTTTTAGCTGTTTGACTGAATTTAACAAAAAAAATGTTTATAATCTCTTTTATTCAAGTTATAGTCTACTCTATGTAAAACCAATAACATTGTCTATGTATTTCTTATTTTTATTGATATTTGTCTTATTTTAATTTTTAACAAATTTATATAAATTTTGTACAATCCTTAATGTATTCTAATATTCTAAATTATAACTTATAATTATTCGACATTGTATTATTTTGGATACACTTTTAGAATTTATATTTAAATTCATTATTATATTATTATAATATATACAATTTTGTGTTTTATTGGCTAGTGCAGTGTTTAATGAATGCCTGAAAAAATGAAATACTTAATGTCTATAAATTATAAAACAAACCTTGTAAGCAATTTAATACTGTAGAGGCTAGTACCTAAAGTAGTGTTCAAATACTTATTATTATATCTTTCTTAATTATTGTTAATACTTAATTTTCTTCTTTTTAATTTGTTGTTTTTTTTTTTGCAATTACAGCAACCAGTCAGGGTACAAACCCCAACAGGTATTACAACTGTTAATAAAATGGGTTCAATTCGTATTCAACCACCAGTCGCATCGTCTCAAACTGGTACTCTTCCACCGCCACTTACATCAACCTCAACCCCAAGACCAATGGGTGGTGGACGACAGATGCTTGTAAAAGCAGTACCTATAAAGACCCCTATTGGTTCACATATTAAAATCAATACTACTTTAGCGCCATCGACCGTACAAACTAATAGTATAACAATACCTCAACCTCGTATACCGCCATCACCAAATTTAATAGCACAGCCAACAATGATCAATAAAGTTCCAACTCCAATTAGTGCGCCTACTCCAATTGTCGTTCCACCTAAACCTCCAATTAAAGAGAAAGAAAAAAAGTCATTTTCATCGTCAGCAGCATATGTGTATGTAAAATAATGTGCTTAGTTTAATTTTAAAATAAACTTACATAACATAATATAATATAATTGATTATTCATGTTATTATTAGTGGTGATGATGATATTAATGATGTCGCTGCTATGGGTGGTGTAAACCTAGCAGAAGAAACCCAAAGAATATTAGGATCCACTGAATTTGTTGGAACACAAATTAGATCCTGTAAAGATGAAATACTATTACCACAAAATCCATTAGTAACAAAAATTAAACAAATTGGTAAATATAATAAGTAATTTATTTTGTTAAGTTTATTCTTATTTGAAATCCAAACAAATTGGATTGAATTTAAATATAGAAATTTCAAAATACATTTTGATTGATATACTAATGTTGATTGTGATTATATGGATTTAATATATATATATTTTTTTTTTTTTTTATTTTTAAAAAGTAATACACAATCTGTAGATTCAATTTTTTACAATAAGCGTATGGGCGATAAGTTATTTTAGCGTGAATTGACCGATAAAAGAAGCCACCCAGCGGTGACATTTAATAGCTTGACTAAATATATATATTAAACATTTAGAATTGTGTAATTATCAAAATAATGTACAAAACAAAATATATTTTTAGTAAAACAAACTGTCATGAAAATAATTTGAGTATGGTTTAGTTATTAAATTAATAATTAATAATTAAAAAAATAAATAATAATAAGTAATATTTTAGTTGTTTATACTCAAAAAAGTAAAATAAATGTATGAATACCTCGACAAGCAGTATTTTTTTTAAATAATAATATAGTTATTGGATTTAAATTATTTAAATGGTATTGTAAAGTATATTGAGATGATCAATTTGTCTTATTTTGATAACAAGGGAAGTTGACTTTGTGGCGTGTATCTGTTGGGGTCCATTTGTTACACTGATCAATGATATACTCTTCGTTAATTATTGTTTGACGATCAATAAATTGATGACTTGTTCCTCATTTTCCTGTTCATTTTTCATATTGAGTTAAATGCATTGGTAATTAATTTTTTTTGTTGTCAAATTGATCGTGATTTTAAGTTCACAGAATGTGTTATTAAATTTGAGGGAAATTTAACATTTTAAGTGTTTATAAGGTATCTCAGTACCTATGTAAAAAATGTGACATTTTCTTTCAAGTTATATATTATTGTATCTTAATTTTTGTTTACAGTAAATAAAGAAGGTTTAGACGATACCGCTGCTGATGTACCAGCATTAATATCTCATGCGGTTGCTGAACGTTTAAAAGACCTTTTAGAAAAATTTGCTGTTGTAGCTGAACATCGTTTAGATTTTAATAAAGTAATTAATAAAATACTTAATATTATATTTGTTTAACATTATTTATTTTATGTTAAGGCGGATAAACGTTATGAAATTACTAGAAATGTTAGAGGTCAAATCAAATGTCTTGAAGAAATTGACAAGGTTGAGCGTAAGAAACAAGATGAAATGGAACGAGAACTCTTGTTACGGGCTGCTAAAAGCAGATCTAAAAATGAAGATCCAGAACAAGCAAAATTAAAAGCTAAAGCCAAAGAGGTTCACAACATTATTTTATTTTTTTTAGGATTATTTGTGAACAAGTATTTTTTGAATGTTTAGATGCAAAGGGTAGAAATGGAAGAAATGCGACAACGGGAAGCTAATCTCACTGCCTTAAATGCAATAGGACCCCGGAAAAAACCCAAATTAGAACCAGGATTAAGTCCTAGTTCACAGGTAAATTTAAATTTAATTATATGTATTTTTCAAATTCATCATTCAGTCATTTTCAAAATACAAAGTTACTTTGTATAAGTGCACCTCTTTCACATTAATTACATTGAATAATCATTTAGTGAATTTCAATGAATTAAGTAAACAATTTTAAATAATTTATTACAAAACAATTATTATGCTATTCAAACAGTATTATCTATAATTGTTTCTTTTGAATTAATTTATTAACCTTTTAACACATGCACAGGGTAAATAATGACCCCAGTCATATTTAATATCATAATAACATTATTATTATTATTATTAAAGATAAGTCATTTTGTACCTTTCTAAATATGGTTTATCTACAGTTATTCGGTATTTCCACTTTTTTTTTTGCGTTACTGAAAATTATACTCGAAAATGTTGTCGTTGACTAATCACTGTGTTCTATTTAATATTAAATATTGCTAGACTTAATTCACAAATTATTTTTCACGAAAATACACAAATTAAAATGACATTTGAATTTTTTGAAAAATTTGTTCAGACATTTGATGGAACCTATTAAAATATGATTATTACTAAAGATATGCTACTGAAAACAATTAAATGTAAAATAAGGCAATATTGTAATATATCATATGGTGAAACTTGTGACATTGAGCATCGAGTAAGACCTTCAGGAAGGTGTTCTTTTTGTGAAAGATCCAAATATAGGAAAACCACAAAAGTTTGTACGAATTGTGCAAAATTAATATGTCGTGATTCTTTAATTAGAACTAGTCCAAATTATTTTATATCATCTGTATGATGATACCTATACAGGTATCAAATGTAAAATAAAATAAAAATTTAATAATTATGTGTTTCAAATCATTTTTGATGTTTGATAACTAAAAAATATTGAAATAATTACTGTACATAATTCATTTTTTGGGGTAAAATTTTATCCCATGCCCGTGGTCAAAGGTTAATGACTTACCTCACTTCTATCTTAAACAATACATTTAAAACTTTAATTATATGTTATCTAATAATATAATATCAAATATTTTAGAACTTGTGCCTGAATATTTTATAATGTTTTACTATATTATTATTAACTAATGCATAATATTTACTTTATACTAAACTAAAATAAACTGTTACTGTTGAAATTTTAAATACTGGACAATTAATTTTTATTTTCAGAACCAAAATTCTAGTATTAGTACGAGCTTAACAAATAGACAAACAGTAAGTAGTTCTAATTATAACAATAGTTTAAAAATAAATTTATATTTTATTTTAATAGATACCAAGACAAAGGATAAAACGTGTTACCATGCGAGATACTCTATTTGTACTTGAACAGGAAAAAGATATACGCAGAAAGGCAAATTTTATGTTCAAACCATTTTTAAAGTGATATATCATCAGATTATTGTTGCAACCGTTCCTCATTGCGGTTGCTGGGTAGTCATATTGACTATGTTTTCTGCCGCATTATCAAACTTATTGAAGTTTTTATTGAATACCTATTCAGACGTATTCTAGACTTATTTAATCATTTGCAAAATTGTTAATTTTTGTTATTTTATTATTATTTTTTTTTTCATTCACTGTTAATTATTGTCTTTCTTGGTTAATTGCTACATATTATAACAAGAATTTAAAATGGACATTGTTGTTATAAATCGACTGCAGTGAAAAAAAATTATGCGATGTATCAAATATGGCACTCATCAAGCCTATGTTAAAGATAATGTATTTTTTTATTGTAAATAACACTAATGTATTTTTAGAGCAAGTATGTTAAAAAAAAATATTTTGTTTATGTAAAAAAAAAAGAAGTTACTCAATTTTGTTTCTGTAAGTTATGCCCTGAGATAAATGAGCACTCATTATATATATTTTGTATAATGTATATATTTTTTTATTATAATTAATTAAATTAATAGGGTTCGGTAATTTTCACACACACAAGAAAAAAGAACTGTACATCACTTTCCAATGGATACACATATCTCTTTTATCATGCAAACTGTAATGTATGATAGATATAATTAAAAACTTCATACCAACATATTCAGTTAATTATTTTAAGAAAGGGTGATAGACAAATAAACAATAAATGTATAATATAATGGTATAATACATAATAGTTAACATATGGGTAAAAAAGGGAAATAAAATATGTATAGCTTATAATGAGGACATTTAATTTATTGAAATTTAAAAGGTCATATAGTACAAATCAAATTACCATTATTTAAAAAAGAAAGTAGCTAAATAAAATATTCCATATAGAAAAATATTTATGTCAGTCTTTTATTGATCATTTATATTAATACATATACACAGAATGATTCATTAAGCGTGTTCACCCAATTTTTTTTAGTTAAATTTTGCATAGATTCAAATTCTGATTTTTGTAATTATTAAATGTAGTTATTGTAGTTATTTTCTAATACTTTGATTCTTCACAACATTTAAGGAGTATCCTGTGGCCGATACCAAGTTTGGTTTTTTTAAATGATATCTATATTAAAAATTCCATAATTAAATTTTGATGTAAATATTTTTTAAAATCGAAAGTTGGTATCGCCACACGATATTTCCCAAATGTTATGAAAAATCGAAGAATTAGAAAATAACTACATTTAAGAATTACAAAAATCAGAATTTGAATCTATGCAAAATTTAACTAAAAAAAATGGGGTGAGCACGCTTAATGGATTCACTTGTATATCAATAGTTTGCTGTATCTGCACGACCTTGTCTGTGGCAGATTGTATACTTATGGATGTGGCCTTCAACCCTCATCTACCACTGGCTACCTCCATAATCTTTCTCTACTTATACTATGTTCTTGACAGATTTTAAAAAAGCAAACTATCAAAAGAGGACTACTAGAAAATCCCGGAAAATAATCGTACGGACAAGAAAACAGCAGACTGTAAAAATCCAGATTATGGAACACTGTAATCGGCCGAATAAATAAATGCTTAAATCACAAAGTCCCGGAATGCAAAATTACGTACAAGAATAATCCGGAATTTTAAAAACGCTATTAATATTGATAATCATTACACCGGGTCTGAGCATGTCTATCCATCTCCTAAAAACAGCCATAAAATGAACCTTCTTTTAATCTTAATTCGTTTATTCTATTTTGTATTGTGTATGCGAACTATCGCCATCTATCTGTGTTTTTTTTGTTAAATTTCGAAAAGTTCTTGTCCGGGACATTACAATCTGCGTATTTTTATATTCGGAATAATTATAGTCTGATTTTTTTCAGACATTCAAATAATTTTCTTAAGTATTTATGCTTTCTGGATTTTTACATTCCAGAATATTTATTTTTCCGGCCGATTACAGTCCGGACATTGATAGTGTTTTTTTTCCAGATTTTTATAGTCCGTATAAATGCTGCTAATGATTTTTTTTCCCGGAATATTACAGTTCATATGATTACTGAAAATTTCCGTATTTTTACAGTCCGTCTGATTATATTCTTGACATTTCTGGTTTAATCTTTTAAAAAGTACGTAGAAAAAAATTTTTATCGAAAAGAACAAAAAAAAATCTATTGACCGTATCTACTGGTCTATCACTAAAAGCTGCAAAGAGAAATATTATATTAAAAGTACAGGGAGTCCTATGTACCAGGATCGGACACGTAATCCGAAAACCTGTAGTTAAAATACCTTAGATCCGTGAATCCTGGACCTATCGGCTATGACCTTAGGATTCAGCAGGGCCAGACTGGGACTAAAAAGGTCACTGGGATTTAGACCTAAAATGGCCACATAAATGTATTGTTTGTACACAAAATAAGTAGTTTCTACGATTAAATGTTTAATTTCTTAAAATTTAGAAAAGTGTCGAACCATTTCCCCAAACTAGAAATAGCTGTGACAATTGTAAATTCAAACAATCTTGAATACATTTTCCCACTATCAGAACTGTTTTGAACTACTTTTCTAGCAATAAATCCTGCTATAAATCACGTCGACAGAAATTCCAAAGAAGAAGACTTCTTCTAACGTACCGAATTTTCCCACTTGCCTACACAAATCATTCCGATTTATTTGTGTCACATTTCATGTAAACCCCAAGAGCGACCATTGTAACGTCCACAACCCATATGGTTAAATTAGGCACTGGTCCGCCCAAGGCCTGATTTAAAGAAATATAGGCCTTGTGCAATACTTACTTTGGGGTCCTATTTGAATTAAAACAGGAATAGGTAAAAATTAAAAAATATATTTGTAAATCACAATATTTTTTTTTTTTAAATTAATTTCTATAAGAATTTAATTTTAGTGTTTTTTTTTTTTTTGCAAACTCATTTTTTTCAATATATTGATTGCCGGTAACGATAAATAATTTATTAAATTTTCCTTTACCTAGTAAAAAAAAAAACGTATTAGAGTTTTTATACGTTTAAGTGCAAAATACATCATTACATACATCAAATTACATCATGTAATTAAATTAAAAAAGGTCGGGCAACTTCGCACGTGGGTGTAGCAAATGTTATAGGTGAAAAATTGGAAAGATAATAGAGAGGAAATTTAATGTATATCTGTATAACGATAAACCATTTCTAAAGAAAAAACGATTCTGAGCAGAGTTCAGTGGATACTGTTGATTTATCAAAAATATATATGCCATATTATGGTAAAATAATATCATAGGCATTATATATTTTCTTTAATAATTTATGTTTAATATTATTCCTATTTTCCTGTTTTTCCTACGGGTTTCCTCATGTTTGATCCCGGTTTGTTCCATTAATTGGGAAAACTTCTGGGGAAAATCAAATAATCACCTTCCTAAGTACCTCTCCAGTCCGATTTCCTTCCAAAAAAGATGAATAACTGTGAATTATCTGCAGTGTATTCTTGTGAAGAAAGAATTTGAAGCGAAAAACTGCTAGTTTAGGAACCTACCTTAATATAACTTAAGGGGCGTCCGGGAATTGAGCCCCTTTATTTTAATACATTTTAGATTTGACAAGGCAATAAATTATTCAATATTAAATGATATAGAATTGTCAGAGTTTTAAACAGTGGTTATATCGATTATCATGAAATGAAATGGATAAAAATAGCTAAAAGCGTGATTTACGAACAGAAACAATTTATATTTACGGCACTTTTGAATACTGTGTAAAGCAATCTGTATTGCATTATTTTAAAATATTTAATAATTACTTTACTAATTATTTATTTAAAAAAAAAAGAAGACTGACATACTTTGCACGTGGGTGCAGCCACTGTTGTAGGTGGGAAGTAGGGAAGGTAGGATACAGACGGGAATTTAATGTATATCTGTTAGTAACGATAAATCATTACTAACGAAAAACGATTCTGAGCGGAGTTCAGTTGATAGTGTTGTTTTGTCGACAATATATATAGGTATGTCATATTATGGTAAAATAATTAAATAAGCATTATATATTTTCATAATATACACGCGTGAGCGTCAAAAGGGGGACATACACCCCTGTAAAATTTTAAAACCCTCAAAACAATCACTTTTATTGAACCTCGACTCATGATGTATGACTCACAATCTGGATGATTATTGATTCACCCTTCCATAATGAACCTATCGTAACCAAACTTTTTGTACAGGCGTTTTGTGTTCCTTTATCCATCATGTATTTATCTAGGTATTAAAACGCATGTTCGGAAATCTGGTTTCACTTTGTCCCTCACTTGAAAATCAAGATATGGGCGTCCATGATGTATGTATGTACCATACAAATAATAAATAAATTTCTTTAAAAAAAAATAAAACCAATAACAATACTTATTAAAAACCGAAAAAAAATGCGTCAAAATGACTCGCGCCGAACTGTTTCATTTATCAAAACAGGGGCGGACTGGGAATATTTAGACCCTGGTGTAGAAGGATAAGAGGGGCCCGAAATTTTTTTAACCAGTGAAAATCTAATACTAACTTTTAATGTATAATATTATTGTAAATTATCCTATATTTAGATAAATAGAAATTAATAAACATAAAACTATAAAAAAATAAAATAGATAATTAGTCAAGCTGACATTGAGTACTTTATAAAAACATCTAACGTCTTACCTTAATTTAAAAAAAATTAAACTTTCTTTAATTCTTGTCATTTCCAGCAATAATTAACTCAGCAGTCTGTCTTGTGTGACGCTTTTCAGCTCCACCTTTAACGAGGTTTTTAATCTTATTGAATTTTTGATTTTAATTTTCATCATTTTACAATTAGAAGGAACTTTAGGAAAGTCATTTTTTTGATTTTCCCCAGGAGTTTTCCCGACAAATGGGAAAAAACGGGAAAATAGATATAATATTCAACAAATATTGTTAAAGAAAATACGAATGTATAATGTATAATATGTAATTATTTTACTATAATGTGACATA